AATAATTCACTTACTGTGTGCCAACTGGAAACTGTTTTTTAAGAGATTTGATCTAACTCAGAATAATGCCTACTATTCTTTTTCAGATCAATAAGATCATTTATTACTATGTTTATTATTATCACACTAAAACATGGGCATCTTTAAATTAAAAAAAGCTTTGCAATGCAAACTGTGCACACACAAAAATGCCAGCAACATACTTGTGATACTTCTATTTCAAAAGGAACTGGTGTTCATACAGCAAAGTAATGATGTGGATATTGTTATATTGCTCAAAACAACGTGGAAGTTCCAGGTGAGCAGTGCTCAACTAGGTTTCGTTTCCTTTGGAATAAGTCACTGGAGACTAATGGTGTTTAATAATATTTGATTTAGCTGTAAATATACAAGCTGAACAAACATAAGTGGAGAGCTAGCTTAAACACTCCTCCAGACAACCAAATCCATTGTCCCACATCAAATTTGAGAATATTGTTCTCCTACATGGCAGGGAGGTGAAGAGGGAGAAGCCCCACCCATTTGTCCTATGGCATGGAGCATAGTCGTGTGTGGGAGCAGCCTACACACACTGATGAACAAGTGAAGCTGCCTTATAATGTGTCAGGCTATTTGAGAAGTGGAGAGAGTGTAACAATCAGGGCAGGTCTTTGGGTCAGAAGTCCAGGGTCCCATGCAGAAGAAGGAGCAGGAGAGACCCCAAACGCAGCAGGGCTGGCTTCTTTTTTTGGAAGAAGTCAAATGCACATACACATTACTGTGTGTTCAGGAGGCAGGCAACACTTAAGACCATTTGACGTGATACAGATTATTCCACCCTCCCCTCCCCAAGAGTCTAAATTTACTAAGTGCACTTCTGGTAACAATATTTTATCATGAATATATAATAGGAACTTGAATCAAGCGAGAGCCAAGGACAGAGATGGCTGCAATGTTATGATCAGGAGAGCCATTTGCACAGCACTGTCAGTAAGAGACTGCCCCAGTGTCAAATGTACTAGGTATTATTTGATTGGGGCTGCCAGTTACATGTGAAAAGCAAGATGGGAGAAAGAGGCAAAAATATTCAAAGAGATGGAGTCCCAACCTCTCTCACCACCAAAGGAACACAAGTGAACAACACAAGCAACGCTGACACCAAACTCTACATACATTAAACATAATAGAAACACCGCCACCCGACCCCACCCCTATCCATCTTCCCTCTCTTCACCCCCCCTTTCTTTTCTTTTTTTTCTTCTTCTCCCCCTAATGCCTCAACAAATGAAATGGATTTGTAAAAATGTTACATGGAAAAAAAAAATACGAGGCACTACACTTCTGTAAAACAAGAAAATCCTTAATAAAACATTAAAAAAAAAAAAAGAGATGGAGTGTATTATAAAATAAGTCCAAAGCCTGAAGTGTTTTGCCTATTTGGTTGTTCAACATGCTGCTCTTCTGTTCCATATGCAATCTGAAAACCACCACTTTTATCACTCATCCAGGCAGCTGCTTGTGAAATATTTCAAAGACTGTGTATGATCATAGAGTTGGAAGGGGCCGTGAGGGTCATCTAGTCCAACCCCCTGCAATGCAGGAATATCAGCTAGAGCATCCATAACAGATGGCCATCCATGATGGTATAATTGTTCTGTCAGTGTAGTTTTTATTTAAAACTCATATTATGGCTTTAAAAAAAAAAAAGTCGAATGAAAAATTCAGGTGTAGAAAATGAATAATTGCTGTGACAAACTCCTATCCAGTTATCATTTGTCTGTAACAGGAGCCAGATTTTCTATCAAAAGACCACTTTTAAAAATACTCACCAGCTCCAAAATGTCTGTTGTCTGACGGTGTACAATTATTTTGATAAATGAAATCTGAAACGCTCAATGATAAGCCTCTGGGAAATGGAAAGCTCACAACCCTACCCTTCTCAGGAACTATTCAAACGTTCTGCTTTCCAAATATCTGAGCATCTTCCTCCAACTTTGGAATGCTTACTGGGAAGTAATATTATATGAAAAACATGTCTACATGACTTTTCAATTATTCAGTTAAGACTGGAATAAGTCTTAGTTGGAGATTGCAAATCTTGTGAGATTGTGGGCTTGCATCCCTTGCTAAGGGTGAGAGCCAGCAGACAAATCATTTTTATTTAATGTGCCTTTAGTTCATTCATTCACTGAATGAAGTCCAACGAAGCCCCCCCTTTTTTCCGGCTTACCCTTATCCAGGTGCCGACGCCCAACCAGAGCTGCAGGGTTCACGCTGTAGGCTGTAGATGCCACCTCTCTAAGCAGACATCCTAAGAACCTGCAGCAGAAAAGCTAGGAGTCAACCAAAGGTGTTGAACCCATAGTTCAGATCTGATCAGTTTGACATATCAATTAAGTTCTTTTTTGTGTGCGTTGTATCAGTCTTCAGATTCCCAGGTAGTGTGTGTGGTTTTTTTTAATGGGCAAGAAGCTCAAAAGCACAATGAAAAATCCCACAAAGACTTTCCTGTTTACGTCAGCTGAATATGTTTGTAAAGCTGCCACCCTCTCCAGAAGTCTACAAAACCCACAAGCACACCAAAGCACCCACCAAATCTGCAGGTGTCTACATTTGCCAACTACATTATTTTTCTGAAGAGAAACCAAATCAATAAAAAATCAATATGGGTGGAGTAGGAAACTGAGGAGGAGCTGATAGTGAGCTGCCGATACATTTATCTGCCATCTACTGCCAAATTAATGTCTGCTGTCCAATGTCAGCAATTAATTGGTTTCTAATTACTTCCACCAAGTTTAGTTTCCCCAGATGGTAAGGTTGTACATTTGTTCTCAGCCCAGACCACACAATGATATCAACAGTGGTACTAAATTGTAGTGAGGAGTTTAACAGAACCTGATGTTTGTATCCAATGCACTGATCATTTGCAACCCTGCTGACTGAACCTCTCTTAACATTTAAAATTCTGTTTTTAAGTGTCTGAGTTACTGTGAGTGTGTATTATTGTATTTGCAAGTACTGTATGTGAATGTGCACATTTGGGCATGATGCAGCCATCTGTTTAGCAAGTTTTCTGTTTAGTCTTTATTGTTCTGCTTGATTTCTATATTGTGTGCATGTGTGTGGTGTTCTGCTCTAAGCAGCTCTAAGAATTCCACTGAAAGGCAACCTAGACTCAGTTACCTCAAAATCATTTGCATTAAACTCAGCTGAATAGACATGTACTAGATTGCACTGCAAAAATAGTTTAAAATCTACTACCTTTTCTATATATAGGCAAATGCTAAAATACACTACTTCTCTAAATTCATTTAGAATAAGAGAGCAGCACCCTCGTCCTCCAGACCTTGGTAAAGGAAACATTCCCTTCTTTTGTCCTATCTCTATGACAACCCCCCCTCCATAATAAACAATAAATAATTGCAGCGCAGCAAATATACATGGAAGTATGAAATTTCTGAATCATGAAACAGCAGCTATGAAAGGCAGACTTCTCTCCATCTAAGTATAGTGCTCAATCCAGTCCAGGATTTCTGTACATCTCTGTTGGCCTGAAGCCATTTTTCTTGAGTGCATTGCCAAGAAAGCAGTTGAGAAGCTTGGCAGGGCTATTCCTGGAAATGTTCAATAGGTCATCTTCTGGAAAAGAGTGTTGACTGATAGAGCTGAACAGATCTTGTTCCTTGTTCTGCACAATATGCACAACCTCCAGCACAGCTCATTTCCTTAGATTCTGCCATATCACAACCTCAAACAAATGACGACCAGCAGAATTTGCCCTGTGCCAATCCGCGTTTCTTAAGTCCTATTTCCCTTCTGGCTGCAGAACTACGACTGCATAGCTGCCATCAATACTCAGACATTTAGGTGAATAATACCTCATATAGCAGATCATAAACACATCAATCTGCAATTAGGTTCTATCAACAATGTTAAGGTTAGTTGCTAGAGTGTAAATTACTGGGAAGAAAGAAAGAAAGAAAGAAAGAAAGAAAGAGAAAAAAACTGCAAGCACTCATAAACGATAATACTTCAGAGCAACAATGATGATTCAGATTATTAACCAGTGGCAGGTTCTCTGTTCCTTCCCATGTGGAATGGATGTGTCACTGTCTCCACCGCTCCCAAAGGACTGTAAATGTTATGTTCGGGCATATACTTCTGACATTCTTCACACTGACTCTGAAGGAGATAGATAGATAGATGATAGATAGATAGATAGATGATAGATAGATAGATAAGATATAGATGCCATTTCTCAGAAACCATGAGAGGATTTTTTTCTGCCATTAAAGGCAACAGCTTGTATATCAGAATGAATAAGTAGATAAATAAGCTTTGTATCTTAGTTGGTCACATCTGTGAGACAGATTACTTTTCATGCATAGGATTGCACTCTGAATGATGGCTTGCATTTGCGGAACAGTAACACCATCGTCATTATTTTAACATTTGCATAGCACCTTCAAATGTTCAGAGTGTTTCACGTAAATTATCTTCTTGTATTCCTTACAACCACTAGCATTATTATGTCAGAATTATTATATCCTGTGTTACATACAGCAGGAATGTCTCTTATGCAAGCAGCACTAAATGACATGGGAATTATCAAAGAGCTGAAGAAACAAAACAAAACGGCCTTCCATGCTCTTTCTGCATCCAGATTTACAGGAGAAATGCCTTCTGCAGAAATTCACTCTCCATGCATACCAAATAATACTTTTGACTAAATGTTTTGATTGTACAAAAGAGTCTTCTAAAGAGTGAAGATAAAAAAGCACTAGTGATTTAAAAAATAATAATCAGTGGCATCAGTTGCAGCTGATGCTTATTGGACCTGGTGGGGTGGAAGTCAGGGAGACCAACAGAAGGTGGAGCCAGAGCCAACTAATTCTAGTTTCCCTCTGCTGAGTTCTACCAGGGCAACACAAGGAGGAAGCTGACAGCAGCTCAACCCCCTGGACTGGTGAAAGTAGGCATCTACTCTAATGGACCTACCTCCACTGAGTGTGGTTGATCAAGCTTGGATAGCTCATTTGGTTAGAGTGTGGTGCTGATGATGCCAAGGTTGCAGGTTTGATCCTCGTAAAGGACAACTGCATATTCCTGCATTGCAGGGGGTTAGACTAGATCCTCAGGGTCCCTTCCAATTCTACAAGTCTATGATGGAATACATTAATTACAGATTTAAAAAATGGTACCCTAGGGGGTCACATGGGTAAAACTCTGTATTTGCTAGCATGGGTCAAGAGTACCCCTGCTTACTAAGACCTATGTGTGGTTTTATGATGTGAACTAATAGGAGCTTTAGGGGGGATTGATGGGGGCAATGTTGTTAGGATATTGATGTTCCATTCCACCTAAACAGATGTGTGGAGCTGTTGTATGTCACATGTCTGTTTACATTCTAGTACAGCTTGCTGGGAACTTTCGTTTGTGTATTGTTTTTGCTTTGTTCTTTCTGTTGCTTGGACACTAAGGGGAGCAGACATGTTTTTCCTTTGTCCTGATGCTGAACAAATGCTTGTAAATGTGCTTACATATGCCTCTAAAGGTTTCTGAGGCTTGAGTCGCAGTTTCGATGCTGTTCCAAGAACCGGAGTTTGCCCGGCTGCCAGCCGGTGGGCTGCAGCCAGCTGGGGGCTGCCAATTGCCCCCGTCTCCCAGGACACATCCCATGGAGGAAAGGACAAACTCCCCCTCCCTGTGGGCTGTGGTACTGACCCTCCATGGCTGTTCTTATTACAGGTATGGGGGAGAGGCATGTTAAATGCATTCATGTATTAAACAGCACATGTGTTCTGCTCCTAAGAGACTCAACTGGCTCTTTGTTAAGTTAGGTGTATTTATAACTCACCTTTCATTTCAATGGATTCCAAGGTGCAAGGCTGCATCATTATAAAATTCAACCAGAACAGCCAAATCCTTCAAACAGGATAAACGGTAAACAATTAGCCCAGTGAAAACAACAACAGGGGACTGACAAACTATTACAAACTGTGGGGAACTTGGTTGTGGAGCAGCTGTGGCAGGGTTTAATTCGCTGCCCACTTTCGCCTTGTCTTCTGCAATGATTGGTCATACAGCTGAGTTGCCTGTGGGCAACTACGTTACACTGCTGATCTAGCTGTGTCTCTACATGCCCCACACCTGACATTTCTTGTGACTTCAGGTATGGGGGCAGGTAGGCATAGTTCAGAGAAAACAGCCTCATGGGCCAAACTGAGACTAGTGCAGGAACAAAACTGCATGGACTGGAGGTTCTCCACCCTTTTAAATCAAGGTCTGATTTAAAGGCCAAGTACTTGCAATGGTTTTCCCAGTAGTGATGTATGGAAGTGAGAGCTGGACCATAAAGAAGGCTGATCACAGAAGAATTGATGCTTTTGAATTATGGTGCTGGAGGAGACTCTTGAGAGTCCCATGGACTGCAAGAAGATCAAACCTATCCATTCTGAAGGAAATCAGCCCCGAGTGCTCACTGGAAGGACAGATCCTGAAGCTTAGGCTCCAATACTTTGGCCACCTCATGAGAAGACAAGACTCCCTGGAAAAGACCCTGATGTTGGGAAAGATTGAGGGCACAAGGAGAAGGGGACGACAGAGGACGAGATGGTTGGACAGTGTTCTCGAAGCTACCAACATGAGTTTGACGAAACTCCAGGAGGCAGTGGAAGACAGGAGTGCCTGGCGTGCTCTGGTCCATGGGGTCACGAAGATTCGGACACGACTAAATGACTAAACACCACCACCACCACTTGCAATGGCTTTGTTCATAATAATCTTTTCTCCCTTTGTTGTCCCTTTACTGACAAAATGTAAACGGTAAGCACCTTAGCGCAAGGATTTGTATTGTTGCTTATGTTAAAAGTATAATTTATACTGGGAGAATAACAAACAGCAAACAGCAAGGAGAAAATTTCAAACAGTTTTGCAGTTTGCTACTATCAGCATGGATGTGGTTGGGTATATGCTGGTTGTGACTTGTGAAAATTTGTTGCTGTTTTGCAGTTGACCAGAATAAAGTTGAATATACAAGGCTGGGTCAATAATTCCTTGAACATTTCCTCCCTTTCCTTTCCTTCTGTCTTAGCATCACCTGATGTTTAACCACCAGTGTTGGTGCATTACATACTGCAGCAGCTGGCATCTTGAAGCAGTTTGGAAAGAGCCTTCTTATTTAGGCTTTATCTGCATCTCCGTTTGGTTTGTGCAGCTGGTGGGTGAGATTCCAGTGCTCGTTGCATGCAGTGCCCAAAGAAACAAACACTGACGCACACAGTGCACCAAAATATTCAGGCAATGGACTGACATTCTAAGAATACAAACAAGAGGGAACAGATGCCTGACACTGCCAGCACAGTTGCTTTCCTGTTATATGCAATGACATTTTATGAGGAAGTTATCAAAACAGTACAGAGAAAATGAAAAGCTAATGTTAATTTAAGAGAAGACTTGTTTAAATTCTTTCGGTGTTCTGTTTGTACTCTATAGACTTGGCCACCTCTAGAGATATTGTCACCAAACTTGGCCCAAGGATTCTGGAGGTGGGCGGTAGTGGGTTTCATCCATGTTGCTTCAGAGACCATATTGCTGATAGCCCCTAACGTACAGCTCAGTTGGTAGAGCATGAGACCATTAATCTTAGGATCATGGGTTTGGAGGCTTGACTAGATGGTCCTTGTGGTCCCTTCCAGCTCTATGATTCTATTATTCTACCCTGGCAGTGTAAAAAAAAGGAAAGGAAAGGAGGTTATATGTTACCATAATAAAGAAGCATAGCGCCAGCCATATATTTGTTTATTGAAATATTTATATTCCTCACTTTGTACCACCAATGGGATCCTCAAGGCAGTAACCGGCAGTCAAAAACCCCAACACGCAGAAAATCCCAGCACAGAGAAAAAGGATGTTGAATCAGCATGACAAATTATGTTTGAAACAGGTTTATGGGTAGAGAGAAAACGAAAGAGCTACACTCATCGTTTCTGTAACTTTCAGTCACTAAGGCTGGTTTGCCACAAAAAGAAGAAATAATTATGCTATATCTTGAAAGGGAAAATAAACCAGAAATGTAACAGATATGCTGTGGTCACATTATGCAACCCAGAGATGAACCGACTGTGTTTCCTGTGCTTCCCCTCATTTAAGAGCAAAAGCCTAAAAGCAATGTTTAAAAGGATTTTTGAAATGTTTCATCGTGGTATGGGAGAGACGGAGCATTATAAACGGTCTTGTGCAATTTGACAACTCTAAAAAGGTAAAGGACCCCTGACAGTTAAATCCAGTCATACATAAAGTCTTGTTAAACTTTGAGATGCAAAGAGAAGCATTTTAGGGTTTAGACAAATGCACCTTACCATGGAGGACATACCGTAAGTGTGGGAATGTTACCAAGAAGATCCTGTTATGTGCGAACCAGATCACTGTGAAGAATACACACCTATATTTTTGTTAGAAGAGCGCTTAATGGACCCAGATGGACACCTTCCAAAAATAGGAAAGAGAAGGACCCACTTGTTGTTATATGCGGATGACGTGGCCATAATCTCATGTTCCAGACCGGGTTTGAAATATCTGCTGAGGAAGTTTTCTGATTACTGTTTTGGAAATGGTTTATCCATTACCGTATTTTTCGCTCTATAGGACACACTTTTCCCCTCCTAAAATGCAAGGGAAAATGTGTGTGCGTCCTATGGAGCGAATGCAGGGGGGAGGCAGGCGGGAAAAGCCCCCAAGAGCCGCACACAAGCTCCGTGTGCTCTTGCGGGCTTTTCCCCAGGAGGGAGAAGGGACTGACTAGCCGCATCAGTCCCTTCTCCCACCTCCCAGAAAAGCCAGGAGAAGCCGCGCACTCTTTAAAGGGGTTGCGCGGCTTCTGCGGGCTTTTGCGAGAGGTGAGGGAATTCCCCCACCTCCCAGAAAAGCCAGGAGAAGCTGCCCAGCCCTTTTAAAGAGTGCGCGGCTTCTGCCGGTTTTGCGGGAGGTGGGGGAATTCCCCCACCTCCCGCAAAAGCAGGGAGGTGGTCTGGGAGAAGCGCACAGGCTGCCTGCAGCCTGTCCGCTGCTCCCAGAGCTTGGGGGGGGGGGAATCATATTTTTTCCCTTGATTTCCCCCTCTGAAAACTAGGTGCGCCCTATGGTCAGGTGCACCCTATGGAGCGTAAAATACGGTAATTATGAAAAATCTAAAATTTTAGTATTCGAAAGAAGCTTCTCTTGGTCTAAATGGGTGCTTGAACAGATTAAATACTTCAGTTATCTAGGGCTCACATTCCATCATATAGGATCTTGGAAGCACCACTGGCAAACCTCCCTTCAAAAGGCGGAGATCACAAAGCTAGCCATACTCAGGATTCTTTTTCACAAAGGGCGGCAAATATGTTCCAGCAGCCTTAAGGGTTTTCAACGCAAAATCCGTTTCCCAACTCCTGTACGTTAAGCCAGGGCTGAACTGATATTACCCTTGCTGGTACCTTTCCCGGGAAAATCAGAGGCTCACTATGTCAGGTTCCTGTTGGAAGACCGGACGAATGCTAGAACATTAGCAGTGGCAAAGTTTTTATCGGTGGTTGCAAGAACCAATGATCCCTATCTTTAAGTCTGAACAAAATGCTTGTTTAACCTGGAGGCAGGCTGTCTGAATTGTGCATTGCTTTGTAATGATTTGTTGGGTCTATGGACCATAATAAAGATTGATTGATTGATTTTTGCACACCTACCAGTACTCTACCTGAGCAAGTTTTTTGCTTGCTGTTTGAACTGGTGCTGCCCTCTTGGCTTGTGAGTATGTCAGTGTGCAAATCTATGCATGTCTATCCGGAAGAGCGCCCACCGAATTCCATGAGACTTACTCTCAGGACTGTATGACCTGATTCACCTTTTTAAAATTCAACTATCTAGGAATGTCCTAGCAAGTCTCATTTCAACTGAAAATGTCACTCAAAGTTCTAAACTTCCTCCCAGAACAATTCTTCCAAGGGAGACTAGTCTTGTGCTTCAAGAAACCAGGTTATAATGGACCCATGGGTACGAAACCTGACTCTGCTCAAGTGTAATTAACATGCAAAGCATGAAAGCAGTGTGCTTTAGCAACTGTTGCCAGAGTTACAGAGTTTGCTGCATCCATATCGTCCTGGTTTCCTTTTAGCATAATCCTTTCAACTGTGATGAGAGACCAGTAGCAGAAGAGTGTTGTAAAGCCTGAGAGCAATTATTTACAGGCTGCTCTAAACAGGTTGTGAGTCCGTTAAGTCCTGGGCAAGGAAGGGTGTCAAACCTGCATGCTTGTCAGAATTGCAAATCATGTTATTTGTACCTTTTTTCTTTTCTGGTTTTTTTTTTTTAAACCTTCTGTTCCTTTTCTTTCATGCCAGAAGAAAACTATTTTTCCAATGATCCAGAAATCCTTTGACTGTGTTTAAAGCCCTTGTGAATTTTTTTAATAACGTATTTTCTATTAAAGTTTTCTTGGTTTACAAAAGTATGTGCAATGTTTCTTATTTAAGCTACATTTTCTACAGATCAGTTTCATTTGCTGAGACATTAGTGTTACCTTAGAAAGAAAGGGGGGAAAGAGGTGGAGGGGGGCATGGTGGTTGGGGTTGGGTGGCAATGCTTCTATTCTACTTCGTGTATGTGTGGGGTTTTGTGTCAGTGTCGCTTGTGCGGGTTTTCTTTACTATTTGCTTGTATTCCTTATCTGAAGGGCCACAGGTTAGACACCGCAATTTACAACAGTGTTGTAAGGAAGGCTGGAGCAACTTTTTCCTATGAAGCTGACCTACACAGGGTCAACTGAGGGGCCACAACCAATGGTGGATGGGGCCAGATCAGAGGGTAGGCAAATATTTTCTGTGCCTCTCCAGCCCTGCGCTCTCTGTCCTGCGCACATATATATGAAGTGGAAGTGTTTCCCAAAAGGTTAGTCCAGTACACTGGTCTCAGTCCCCAGTTGTAAGGTAAGCTAGTATTTTCTTCATGGTACCCAAGGGGAGGAGCCCAGGCTGAGGGATAGTGGATTGACAAAGCCATTCTAGAGCTCAGCTGAGATTCAAACTCCACTGGTAATTCAAACTGCTTTACCACTATACAGTCATACCTTGGGTTACAGACGCTTCGGGTTGTGTGATTACGGGTTGCACATCACACTGAATCTGGAAGTACCGGAACGGGTTACTTCCAGGTTTCGGTGCTTGCACTTGTGCAGAAGCAATAAATCATGCTTTGCGCATGTGCAGAAACGTCGAATCGCAACCTGTGCGTGCGCAGATGCAGCGCTGCGGGTTGTGGATGCTGCAGGTTGCGAACGTGCTTCCCGCACAGATCACATTCGCAACCCGAGTGTCCACTGTACTACATCATTTCTTTGGTACTTACAGAATAGCACCCCTACCAGATTACACTTCATTTGTTGACAGTTCAAATATACATTCCCATGGTGTTCAAAAAAGATTGGCAGATGAGAAACAAGACCCCAAGGCCAAACTGGCTTACTGATTACACATTTGGGAAGCAGATACTCTTACATAATTATCATCAGGATAAAATTAAAATTTGACTGGAGCATAAATTACTTCAAGTGGCGCAGCGCTGCTTTATAGAGAATCAAAAATAAATACTTGATGGTGTGTTTCTTGGAACTGCGGGCAGGAAATTGGGCTGACAGACATAACCCACAGAGTCAACTGCATGGCTGCAAAATATTTCTGACTGAAAATATTTAGTCAAACGTTTTTTGCAGCATTATTTTTTTTAATCTACAGAAAATGTTTAGGCATTACTATGGAAATCTAGCATTTCCAATCTAAAATACATTTTTTATTGCTGGATTTATTTATCACAACAGAAAGCCTGTGATGTAGGGGAAGAACACTTTCCAGATCTTCATTTTTTCACAGAAAACTTTCCATTTCTTAAGTTTATTAGCAACACCGAATGGCGACCAACTGCAAATAAAGTATTGGACAAGCTTAGCAGTTTCTGTAGCTTTGTTTAGTAGAGACAGACAAAGCAAGCATGCAAAATTAGATCACACCCTAGGAGAGGGGTGGGAAACCTCTGACCCATGGCCAACACGGGACCATCAGGGGGTCCAGTTTGGCCAGCAACGCCATTCCCTCCAAATGATGCCCAACTGCCAATCAGCTGGTGTCACTGGTGACATCAACTGAAGAACAAAACCTTCTTGGAAAACCTACCTCATGCTGATCCACTCAACCTCTGAAAAGGATTAGCATGGGACAGGCTTTCCAAAAAATGAGCAGGTCTGCTTTCCTTGCTGCATGTACAGCAAACCTGAAAGCAGACCTGGTTTTCCTCTTCATTGCTATATGACAGAATAGGGTGCCTAAAGCTGTTGGTGTCTGTTTTAGGCTTCCGCTCTGAGAGAGGCTGCTCCATCACACTGCAATGAAGAAACATGTGCTAGCCTCACTGCTCAGTCCCCATTCCTCTGCCCTCAGATGGGAGAGTGGGGACTGACTCAAAGCAGGTTTCTCCCACCCTTTCAAAGATTGCTCTAGCAGTGATCTTTAAAATGGTGGGAGAAACTGCTGCAGAGAGAACGTACAGTCCTCACTCTCCCCTGCTTAAATGCTGTAACAGGGACTGAAAGGGATTTTGACAGGTGGGGCAATCCACCTGTCAAGTCATGTGGCGTTATTTGATTGACATGTGGGTTGCCCCACCCACCTGTCAAAATTGGCCTACAAGGTGAAGCCAAGTAAAGATCTGCCCTCCAGAGCCACAAAAGTCATGTGGCGTTATTTGATTGACATGTGGGTTGCCCCACCCACCTGTCAAAATTAGCCTACAAGGTGAAGCCAGGTAAAGATCTGCCCTCCAGAGCCACAAAGGTTCTCCACCGCTGGCTCTAGGACATTAGAACATTTTCCAGTTAATCTCCTCCATCTGTGTATGGAACTGAATTACCGTATTCACTCGAATCTAATGTGCCATCAAATCTAATGCGCACCCTAATTTTCGCAACAGAATTGGGCCAAAAAAGGTAGGTGTTCATAACTTTCGCATGAATACAGAACATAGCAACATTCATTTCATTTATTTAATATACCACTCTTCATCTGTAGATCTCAGGGCAGTTCACAATATAAAAACACAAAGAACATGTTAAAAACAAGACCAAGAAACCACAAACCAAAACCCGCTCCCCCCCTCCCACAAACACATTATACACGAACTGGGCACATCTGGGCACTTAGAATTTGAGAAACTACCTTCAACCATACAGAGAAACACCCACATGAGCACTAATCAGGTACCAGACTAAAACCATTATTTTCAACCATGCCTTTTAATGGATATTTTGAGCCTCAACAAGTCCAAAACATTTCAAAACTATTGGCCATTCTATATTGCTGCTCTCTTTATAAATGTATTACAGTGGACCCCTCCGGATACAAACTTAATATATCCCGGGGGTCCATGTTGTTGTTGTTGTTTAGTCGTTTAGTCGTGTCCGACTCTTCGTGACCCCATGGACCAGAGCACGCCAGGCACTTCTGTCTTCCACTACCTCCCGCAGTTTGGTCAGACTCATGTTTGTAGCTTCGAGAACACTGTCCAACCATCTCGTCCTCTGTCGTCCCCTTCTTTCGGGGTCCATACGTATCCCGAAAAGTCCGTATCTGGAGGCACTGCTTCTGTGCATGCATGTGCAGCGAAACCTGGAAGTACCGTATTTTTTGCTCTATAAGACTCACTTTTTCCCTCCTAAAAAGTAAGGGGAAATGTGTGTGCGTCTTATGGAGCAGATGCAGGCTGCGCAGCTATCACAGAAGCCAGAACAGCAAGAGGAATCGCTGCTTTCACTGCGCAGCGATCCCTCTTGCTGTTCTGACTTCTGAGATTCAGAATATTTTTCTTCTTGTTTTTCTCCTCCAAAAACTAGGTGCGTCTTATGGTCTGGTGCGTCTTATAGAGCGAAAAATACAGTATACACTTCTGGGTTTGCAGCGCTCATAACTAGAAATTACGTTACTTGAAGGTAACGTAACCCGAGGTGCCACTGTAGTAGGATTTTAGTATTTCATTTTAAGCTTTTGTAGATATTAAAGCAGAAAAGTGGTCCATAAAACTGAATGAAATGAATGGAATGAAACAGCTCTCCAACACAGTCACCTGAGAAGCAACAATTCCATTTGCCCTTCCTACTGCATGGCCCTTTCAAGTTGGAGAGCTGTTTCATTCCATTCATTTCATTCAGTTTTATGGACCACTAAATGTAAATGGCTGTGTCTTAGGACAGAGACTTGATATCTACTCACAACTTGCCACAGAGTGTGGTTACAGGGATATAACTCAGATTCTATTATACTGACAATATGAATCAACAGGAAACTGTCTTCTTGACTGGATGGAACTAAATTCTATTCCAGAAGAAGCTGTGTGACTGCTTCCAAAACAGAGCTCTCTTTGCCTGTGTTAATCTTCACAGGGTTTGAAGTGACCTTCAGCAAGTGTGAGTGGATATCAAGTCTCTGTCCTAAGACACGGCTATTTACATTTAGCACACCCCTAGTACCTGCTAGCACTTCAACCAGGTTTTCCCATTGATGATCTAGCTCAGACACTAGGACATTTCTCCTCACGTCTCACAGGTTCAGCTTACTTATCTGAAGACAACCAAGGATGGGGCATTAGAGGCATGCTGGCAAATCCTGCTCTCTCTGAGGTATTGTTTCCCCCTTCTTTATAGCCCTCCTTGAGTTCAAAAGTGAAGTTCTTAAGTGGCAAGGCTTCTGTACTTGTATACCACTTCAGACCTTCATCCTTACGGGAGACAGCCATAAAAAAGGGGGGAAGGCATTACGTTGGAAGGCAAAATGTGCCCCTACTCTCTTTCCTCATGTGATTGTATTTACATCAGTAAATTGAATGCCTGAAAAAGGCTAAGTAATGTATACAATGGTATCTCGGTTTTCAAACGTAATCCATTCCGGAAAACTGTTCGAGTTCTGAAACGTTCGAAAACGAAAAACTCAATAGCTGATAGCTAGGCCTCAGGATCTTGCACTCAGCGGAAGACGCATGGCATGTTCAACTTCTGAGGCGTGTTTGAAAACCGAAGCATTTACAGTGTTTGAAAACTGAAATGTTTGTTAACGGAGACGTTCGAAAACCAAGGTACTACTGTAGTAGCTTTGGCACATAAGCTCCTACCGGTGGATGCTTATTTCTGTTAGCCCTTCTACTTTCTAAACAAAAGGTTGACAGCCGCAGTTGTTAGTACAGTGGTACCTCTAGTTAAGAACTTAATTCGTTCCAGAGGTCCGTTCTTAACCTGAAACTGTTCTTAACCCGAGGTACCACTTTAGCTAATGGGGCCTCCTGCTGCTGCCGCGCCGCCAGAGCACGAGTTCTGTTCTCATCTTGAAGCAAAGTTCTTAACCCGAGGTACTATTTCTGGGTTAGTGGAGTGTGTAACTTGAAGCATCCGTAACCTGAGGTAACAATGGTTGCAGCCGCTGGGTGTCAGCTGTGTGGAAGAGGAGCCTCCAGGACGTCACTGACAGGAGATGAGAGGCTGGAAACAAGGCAAGGAGTGCTTAGACTTGGCACTACACAGGCGCCTGACAGCTCACTGGTTGGGAGCACTTCATGAAGCGCTGCCTCTGGCTGCTGCCTCTGTCACTTTGCATTTCCTAATGCAAGGATGGGAACTTGTGGCTCTCAATAATAATAATAATAATAATAATAATAATAATAATAATAATAATTTATTTATACCTTGCCCATCTGGCTGGGTTTCCCATACATAGGTTGCTGGACTAAATCATCCCTGACCACTGCCACTGATGATGAAAATGGATCAAAGGCTGTGGGAGCTCCTCTACCCCAATTGCTGCTCAATGGCAGCAGTTTCTTCCTACCTGTAGTGCTACCTCATGAGTGGCTACTTCAACTGCATGCTTATATCCATTTCAAAAGGGACTGAAGCACGCCAAATATTTTCCAGTTCTGTGAACATGTTGGATTCAATTTCATACAGAGGGGGCTTTTGAGCCTCCAGTCACACTAGGGGGTCACTGGAACATCTGCTGGATCACAGAAGAATCCACTTCTCCTGACTTCAAGCCACTACACAGGCTCTCCACAGTAGCTTTGTTCCCAAAACGCTGCCTCCATAAAATGAATGCGCTCACAATCTGTGACTGGATATTGTAGGAGTGATTGACTTTACAACGATAAATGTCATTTTGCGTCAATCCCAGGGACAATACGATGCACTCCCATTCAGGTCCAAGTCTCCTAGCAAGCTTGTTGATCTGCTGATCTGTTGGTGGACTCTTCAAAGCGTCTCGAGGAATTCCAGGTATCTCATCATCTAGAATAAAAGAAAATGTACATCGCTATGAAAAATTGTTACCACTTTTAATGCCACATTGTTACTGGGGAACAATCAGCTAGTAACCAACAATCATTAGATAGGCATCATAAATAAATCTCATTCAGTAATAGAGTCAAAATATCTGCACTTCAGGAGTCCATGGGTCCAAAATAGAGTCCAGTAAGTGTCCCCACAACCCAAAGTTTCCAAAATATACAAATGTACCAGTGCTGATGAATACCGAAAGAAGCACATAGCAATTTCACATTTTCAACTGCTACTGAATTGAGCCTGTAGAGAAGTAGCGTTTGAGAGATGTGGTTAGCTTGATCCATCTATATTGTGCAGGTTAGGTCCACTGGACATGTGTGGTGACAAAGAAAGGTAAAAGTTCCAAAGTAGAGGAATACCCAAGTTTGTTTAAAGAGGGTGAACTAAGAACCAACTGAAGTTCCATTGCTACTACTACACCTGAACCTAGAAGTAGTAATCCTTCTCGAAGCTCAGAATGCAAGTGTTAGTACTGGCTTCCTTTTCCAATTATAGGACTGGCCCTTCGCTTCTGTTGCCTTGGAAATTGTATCAAAATGGGTGATAAACACCATTCAATGGGCACTAATTATAATGGTAGGATATGAATGTGGGAAGGAGGGAAACGGGCAGCTCCTTACAAAACAGCCTTATTCTGAAAGATATTTCAGAACTCCAGGATCATGCCGGCAACCCCACATCAAAGCAGCACAATAGTAATAATAAAAATACAACTCCTACGTCATTGTCAAAAGTTTTCATTTTCTTTTTTTTTAGGAAGAGTATAAATAGATATGCAAGGCTTAGCAGATAATTTGGATTGTTCAGAACAGATTGTATAAGAATATTACAAAGTTCTTTTTAGATGGAAAAGGCAGCTACTATTACAACCATTTAAAAAAAACAACAGTATTCAATTTTTCAGATAACAAGAACTATCCAACACAAACAGTAAGAACTTGAAAACAGATCTTCTGTCAAAAACATAGCATTCTGTGGGATTCAGTCTTCTATTTTTTAAAAAAGACTTTTTAATGGGCTTTATAAACAGGGATCATAGGAATAATAAGTGATATAAATAATACTGATTCTCATGCCATTTGTACATCACAAAAATAGCGTAATAAATCTGCAGTAATATCTATGACATATATTCATTATTAGTGGTCCATGTACAAGTTCTTGGTTCATGGAGTGGTTTTCATAATAACAATAACAAAGGGGAAACAGGATAGAACATAGTTAACATATAACATTCAACATCACATAGCTAAACCACCTAATCATGAGCCCTTATGGTTGTGCTTAGATTAATTATGAGTAATAGTCATTTTTTCCTTTAAATTACCAGTGAAACAATATAAAGTGTTGGTAGATTTACAAATGTGGGAAAAGGGTTGAAAGCGAAGATAGTAATTTATGTTTATATCAACCAGATTGAGCCAAATGCTGGTGGTGGAGCTTCTTCGTTTTCTGGAATACAGTTGTACCTTGGATCCCGGACGCCTTAATACTCGGATGTTTTGGCTCCTGAACACTGCAAACCTGGGAATGTTCCGGTTTGCAAATGTTCTTTGGAACCTGAACATCCAATGGGGCTTCCGCGGCTTCAGATTGGCTGCAGGAGCTTCCTGCAGCCAATCAGAAGCCACGCTTTGGTTTCTGAATATTTTGGAAGTCGAACGGATTCCATTTGAATGCCAAGGTATGACTAGCATATGTTATAAAATTTAATCACACCGGGGTAAAGCAATCTTTCTTTATCTTTCCACCTATCAACTGCAGCTTATTTGTTAATGTCTGAAGGAGAGCTGTTTCCTAAACTGTTCTGCCTATCGTTGTGCCAGAAAGGTCTTTCCAGTGTACTACGTCTCGCTGCTTGTAATTAATGGATTCTTAATTATTTATTATGTAAATCAAGATTGTTGCATTGAAATATATTTAATAAAGCTAACTCTGGTTTGACTTCCAATTGTTGTTTTGTTATTTTATTCATTTCTTGGAATACTGAATTCCAGAAAGGCTGCAGACCAGTCTCCCACAGTTTGGATGCCATCTCTCACCATCCCTGACCATTGGCTATGTAGTGCATAATTAATATAGAATTTGTTGGGGTGCTGGTTTCTAGCCTACATGTCTTTTAAAAAAGATCAGCACCACTCTACATGCATTTTGCTATTAATGGTATGAGATACATCATGCAAAAATCTCAACATCTCTTTGTGGTGGATATAACAGATAAGACCCTTGCCACAAGCAATATTTCACTATCACATGCAGAAGTGTAAGTGTGTGTGTGTGTGTGGGAGAGAGAGAGAGAGAGAGAGAGAGAGAGAGAGAGAGAGAGAGATGGAAGAATAATAATCACAACTATCTTAAAGCAGTTTATCCTTACTCCCTTCAAGATACCACCAGAATAGCAATTTAGCATTTTGCTAGTGTTCTTTAAGTAGTCAATCATTACTATAACTGAGAAAGCCAAACAATTTAGTTTTCCATGCTAAGTATTGTATAGCCATGCTCTTTTCATTTTTACTTGACTGGAAATATAATGAAGCTGTCAGGCAGACAAAAGAAAATCTATATAGGAAGGGAACACAATACTGTAGAAGGCCTGAGAAGTATGTTATTACGTCCAATTCAGAAACTACAGCTTCTTGTACTGGTTGCAATCATCACATTGTATGAAGCAGGCATTACCACACAGCTGTTCAGTGAAGTCACTCCCCAAACCCCTGTGGGCTCTACCAAAGCCTTCCCCAACCTGTTTCCCTCCAGATGTTTTACATTACAACTCCCATGAGACCCAGCTGGCATAAATAAGAGTACTTGGCTTGGACCATGGAGTTCTGGATTCAGATGGGTGGCTTTGGCTATGACAGCTTCGAGTCAGAGGCAAAGATCCTAAAGCACTCTGCTGATGCAAGAAAGAGGTCGTTCTACATACAGGGGTTATCATCATCAGACAGATGAGAAATGGTTGTATGAAGTCTCTTCCTGCTACAGCTGCAAATTTGAGAGGTTGGTTTTTGGGTTCTAACCTCACTGACACCCAAAACCTGAGGCACACTTCGTGGCAACGGTGAGACATCCTACCACGGTGAAATAAATAAGCTAAAGCACTGAAGCTTCAGTTGACTAGGCCTTCTAGCCTGAGAAAAGAGATAAGGTAGAAGTACTTGCGGCAGAAGTGAGAGCTGGACCATAAAGAAGGCTGATCGCCGAAGAATTGATGCTTTTGAATTATGGTGCTGGAGGAGACTCTTGAGAGTCCCATGGACTGCAAGAAGATCAAACCTATTCATTCTTAAGGCAATCAGTCCCGAATGCTCACTGGAAGGACAGATCCTGAAGCTGAGACTCCAGTACTTTGGCCACCTCATGCGAAGAGAAGACTCCCTGGAAAAGACCATGATGTTGGGAAAGATGGAGGGCACAAGGAGAAGGGGACGACAGAGGACGAGATGGTTGGATAGTGTTCTCGAAGCTACCAGAATAAGTTTGACCAAACTGTGGGAGGCAGTGGAAGACAGGAGTGCCTGGCGTGCTCTGGTCCATGGGGTCACGAAGAGTCAGACACGACTAAATGACTAAACAACAACAATACTTGTGGCAGAATAAACACTAGTAGTGGCCAGTAGGTGTGCCAGTGGTGGCCATCTGACCTTCTGCGTTGCTGCTGCACATTGGGATGGAGAGGGGATTGGCTCCACTATTGCATTTGCACCATGTTATCCTCACCACCTCCTCACTGCTTCCCCTTCTCCATCTCGGTCTGCTGCAGTGACATGAGCAACAGGAGGTCAGAGGTGTGTGCTGCCAACCCACCACACTGCCTGCTACTGGCAAACAGTGCCCAGCTATACCCAGCTCTACCATTCAGACAAGCAGTAGCTTGGCATGGAAGTAGCAGTGGATGTGTCCTGTTAGAAACTGGCATATTTTAATAGAGAAGTGGTTTTTCAGAGGGCTGTATGATGGGAAATAAATGTGACGATCTTAAGGAGCTCCAAAATGTTTGCCCTGCATTAAGGAATATTGATGGGAACAGAGCTGAGAGAGAGGAAACAGTGTGATAAATTTAGTTAAGCTAGTTCTGATTGGGGGAAATGCTTTTGCCCATCTCTCAGCATTTTCTTCTAGTTCCCTGTTTGTGATCAAGACAGGATTTCCATGCACAGCGGACATACGCGAATAAGCAGGTCATTGCAGAGGTTATGCTTGTACTGAAGCAACGATTTGTTAATGGAGCACAGCGGGAAGGTCTCCAGTGATTCCTAAAAGGCCATATGTTCCTCGAAGCACTGCAGCTATAGCAACTGCTCGCCACTTGCTTTGTTTCCAGGAAAGCACTGTTCAGCGCTGGTTTTGCTCAAGCCTTTTTATTAGATTATAAACTCCTCCAGATAGGAATTCCACACTTTGCTACGGCATCACAGTGGCTGCTTCTTCTACAGTTCCATATGGCGAATGCCACTTTAAAATCGCGGGAACTAGGCAAACAAAGTGTTTTGTGATTTGTTCAGGAACAATGAAGATAATAATACAAGGGCAATTAATTTAGAAAAATGTTACGTGGAGATGTGTAAAAAATACAAGGCATATTTCAAGAGTGGTAAATACACGTATCTAATCATACTGTACATAACAAATGGATTTTGGCTTTAAAAGAGGATTAGACAAATCGGTGGTGAATAAGGCTATCCGTGGCTACTAGCCACCAAATTAAATGGCTTTAAAATGGAATTAGAGGAGGATAAGTCTACTAGTCATCATAGTTAGATGCTACCTCTAGGAACAGAGGCAGTATGTATTTGAATACCAGTTGCTGAGAATTTCAGGTGGGTAGTGTGCTGTTGCTCTCAGGTCCTGCTTGTGAGCATCCCAAAGGCATCTGGCTGGCCACTATGAGACTAGGATGCCGGACCCTTGGCCTGGTTCAGCAGGCTCTTTTTATGTTCTATGTTATAGATATATTCAGTAAAGTGAGATATGACAGAGAGAGAGAGAGTGGTACCTTGGTTCTCAAACGCCTTGGTACTCAAACAACTTGGAACCCAAACACTGCAAACCCGGAAGCCGAATGTGCTTGAGTGTTACGCTTCTGATTTGAGTGTTACGCTGAGGTCTGTCTGTTTTTGCTATTTTTTTTGCATTTTTGTTTTTGCGGCCCCTTTTTGTGTGTGACTGTGTGGAGCCCAGTTCAGCTACAGATTGATTGGTTGTGTGACTGCAGTATATTGTTTATTGCTTTCATTTTATGGATCAAGGGTCTCATTAGATAGTAACATTCATGTTAAATTGCTGTTTTAGGGCTTGTTTTTAAAAGTCTGGAACGGATTAATCCACTTTGCATTACTTTCTATGTGAAAGCGCGCCTTGGTTTTGGAATGCTTTGGTTTTGGAACTGACTTCCGGAACGGATTACGTTTGAGAACCAAGGTACCACTGTATCTATAATTTTACACTGCAATGCCTTAGGAGAGAGGTAAACAAAAGATTGTTCCACGGTCATGTCCACAGTCCCAACAGAAATAATAACTAACGCAAATAAAATAATTCTCTTCACGTTTGCTAAAGTCTATTTAATTCTATTTTTATAACACAACTGTAAGGTCACTGATGCAGTTTTTTCTCTAACAAAGGAGATAAACTCCTCCAAGGGAGGAGAGAATTCAACAGCCCGTAAGTCCGACATGCAATGGATATGTGTAGCCATGAAAGGTTAAATGCATTCATCTCCCTCAGCAAGAAATTCAAAATCACCCACTGAATTAAGTGATAAATCTGCCCTGAATGCTAGAGTGGCTGCTGCTGGGAGTGTGAAATGCTAAAACTGCAAAATCAGCTTTGTAACAAATGCAGAGAGGAAGAACAGGGGGTCCATATTAGGGGTGCTTTAGGAGTTTATCACATAATACGACTTACAAGAGTAAGTATATACCGACTGGCAAATGTGGCAAGGAGCATCATTTTTGAAGTCACCCATGTTACAGTTTTAATACAAAGAACAGGTTACATTTTGTGCCCCCAAGTCAACCCCATGAGAAATTATGGCCGTAAACAACAGCTGAAAGATTAGGACATGAGGTGATTTAATACTAGGTGCCCTTGGCAGCACAAACAAAGGCACAAGGCTGAAATCTGTGTAACACACTGGTAAAGATTTGCAGATTCATACTGTAATAGCCTTTAAAACAACTATTCTCCAATTTGTCCTCTTTGAAACAGATGCTCGTTTCATCAAGCCAACACAGGTAAAAACAGTCACATTTTCAGTACAATTTGAATATTTCAACAGCCATAACAGGAAACACATAACCAAAGGCGCTGATTCACTCGACTTCATGGAAACCAAGAACTCCTAAAAGGACAGGGATGGTAGATGCTTTCCTATTTATCTAACTAGAGATTTTATTCAAGCAGAGGGGTAAGGCAAGAAGCTGAAAATACTATATTAGCGGGGACACGGCTGCGCAGAGCTCCTGAGGACGGCTAGCACCAACTGCGCTACCTGGTTAGTCCCTGCGCCGCTGCTGCCATGATTGGGGGGAATCAGGGGTGTCCAGCACGACAACCGAGGAGGCCACGCAGGGCCTCCAGCCCCCCACAACCACTTCAATCCTGCTGGGACCGAGAGCACCCCACTGACAACCTAGTGGAGCTCCTGGGCCCGGAGGCCTCCAGAGCCAAACACAAAAAACAAGGAAAACAGGACGCAAGACAGAGCCACTCCTACCCCCAGCCGAGCACCAACTTACTGCCACTGCTGCCGCAACCACTGCCGCCACCATCGCCGAGGAAGAGAGGCAGGAGGGTACCGGGAGGGCCAGGGACACCGCAAGGAATCACTCAGCCTAGCCCTGGCCCGACCCCGAGCCTACCTCCCTGGCGGCTAGTGCAAAGAGCAGGCCGGGGCCCGGGAGGAACCGAACACCGGAGACCAGCCCGGGGGAAAAAAAATGTGGCGCAGGCCCTCCCCTGCTGGAATTTATTTATTTATATTATTATTATATTATTATTTTTTTCTTTGAAAAACTGTAATGGCATCCATGCAAGAGGCCTGAACCACTGAAGACCGCTGCCTTAGCCCTAACCCATGGACTCGACATCCAGGTCCCGTGGTCCCCACAGTGAAATTAAAACTGCCTGTGAGTCAAAATTACCATCACCACTCTAGAAAAGGAAAACCAGATGCAACAAAAACAAATAGAGCAACTCCAAGAGGAAAACACATGTCTGAAAAATAAATTAGCTGATATGGATAGCTGCCAAGAAAGAGAAAGCATGAAAGCGAGAATTAAACTAGCAGACGCTGAAGATCACAGTAGACGCTGCAATATCCTCCTCCACAATTTTTCCCGAGAAAATGGAGGACAAAACCCGACTGATCTCATCCTATGCTGGCTAAAAACCACAATTCCAAACCTGAAACTCAAAGTAGACGATCTGGATAGGGCACATAGAGCTCTAAGACCCATGCCAAAAGCCAACGCCCCTCCATGAGACATAATCATGTGCTCCGCCTGCTACAAAAAGAAAGAAGAAATATGGAACAACCTCAGAAACTCAACCAACCTCCCGATATGGAGAAAACCCCATCCTGGCCTTTCAAGATTTATCTCAGGAGACCCTTAACCGAAGAAAAAACCTACGCCCATGTATCCAACGTCTTCAAGAAGCAGGAACAAGCCCTGGGACCCTAAATGCAGCCATTCACTTCCCCCTTTGTGTAGGCAGGCAAACAAACCGAGAAGTCTTCAGTTAACCATAGTTTTCTGTTACATCAAGGCTTCCAAACAAGCCACATTATGAAACCATGCTTTGAAGCTGTTCTGAAGTTGTTAACCATAGCTTCACGGTTTATAAATAAGGAGAAATTAAGTTTAACTGGTTTGTTTCATGGCTTTTGTGAAGGGAGGAACAAAGTGGCTGACTGTGGGGTCATAAGGCTTGTTCAAATATTGGCTTAAACTGAAATATGATAGTCTGAATGCAGTCTTTATGGTAAACAGTGGAGCTCTCATGGTAATCTCACTCCTTTTTCTCTCTTCGCAAAGCCTGTCAAGTATCATCTATAGGATGCTTGCAAAACAATCAACTAGACTGGGCAAAATTCTCATTACGGCAATTTCTAAAGAAGAAAATTTGCACAGGCAGCATCACAACAACTGAGGTCATGGATCTGGGATTTCTGCTACAGCTGTTTGCTCTTACAATCATAAAAATAATTGCTATTTACGAGAGGCGGTTATATAATGCAGTTAAGCTCAGAGATTACAGTAAAACAGTTACAGTTATTTTTAGTTCCAATTACAACCAATGCTGCTTTGTTACAGAAAAACACTCATCAGAACATCTAGCTTAGCATACATCTAGTTCAGCTTTCCAGTCCATGAGTGGCAAGGCAGATGTCCCTGGGAGACTCATCAGCAGGGCAAATATGCAGATATCCCTCTACTACAACATGTTCCAAATATCTGTCAAACTGGCTGTTGCCTGGATAAGTTTGCAATGGGGCCAAGGCCAAGGGTTGGCTCTTGCAAAGACCCACCCTCCAGCTGGGGGACCCTGGAGACCTATCAAGTCCTGTCAATGGGAAGAAGGAGAAGAAGCAACCTCTGCTTATCTTGCTCTCTCCATGCAAATACAGCTTGGGCTCAGAGGAAGAGACCGAGTGAAGGGGCAGTGGCTATAGAGTGGTGCCTCTCCTTACAAACTTAATTCGTTCCGGAAGTCCGTTCTTAAGCTGAAACCGTTCGTATCCTGAAGTGCTCTTTCGCTAATGGGGCCTCCCGCTGCGTGTGCGTCTCTGGCGCATGATTTCCGTTCACATCCTGGGGCAAAGTTTGCAACCAGGAGCAGCTACTTCCGGGTTAGCGGAGCTCATAACCTGAAGCGTTTGTAACCAGAAGTGTTCGTAACCAGAAGTACCACTGTAGTAGAAAGGTTAGTAGACCTATTTAGGGAGGAATGATGCTCAGATTCCCAGAGCCAGTGTGGCATACTGGTTAGTGTGTTCAACAAGGATCTGAGAAACCAGGGTTCAAATCCCCACCCAGCCATGCAAGACACAGGGTGACCTTGGGCCAGTCACCATTTCTCAGCCTAACCTCACATTCACAGGATATACAGTGGTACCTCGGGTTAAGTACAGTGGTGCCCCGCAAGACGAATGCCTCGCAAGACGGAAAACCCGCTAGACGAAAGGGTTTTCTGTTTTGGAGGTGCTTCGCAAAACGAATTTCCTATGTGCTTGCTTCGCAAGACGAAAATGTCTTGCGAGTTCCTGCGGGGTTTTTTTCCTCCCCCCCCCCTTTTTCCCAAGCCGCTAAACCGCTTATCAGCTGATCTTTAAGCCGCTTAACAGCTGATGCTAAGCCGCTTATCAGCTGATCTTTAAGCTGCTTAACAGCTGATGCTAAGCCGCTTATCAGCTGATCTTTAAGCCACTTAACAGCTGATACTAAGCCGCTTATCAGCTGATCGTTAAGCCGCTTATCAGCTGATCTTTAAGCCGGCTAAGCCGCTAATACTGTAGCGCTAAGCCGCTAAACCTCTAATGGGCTTGCTTCGCAAGAGGAAAAAACCCGCAAGACAAAGAGACTCGCGGAACGGATTCTTTTCGTCTTGCGAGGCACCACTGTACTTAATTCGTTTCGGAGGCCCGTTCTTAACCTGAAACTGTTCTTAACCTGAGGTACCACTTTAGCTAATGGGGCCTCCCACTGCCGCCGTGCTGCCACCCCCCCCCCGCGATTTTTGTTCTCATCCTGAAGCAAAGTTCTTAACCTGAGGTACTATTTCTGGGCTAGCAGAGTCTGTAACCTGAAGTGTCTGTAACCTGAAGCGTCTGTAACCCAATAAATTTTTTAAAAATAAAGTAGCAAGCCCAAAGAACAGCCAAAACCTGGAGCTAGCACTGAAAGGAACCTCTGTCTTTCTTTCACAACTGAAATCAAGTCAGTGTAAAACCATCTAACCACGCTCAGCACACCTGGCCCCTGAAACGAAAGTTCAGTTGAAAGATGATCCCACTCTCACAGCTAATGATATTCCTAGTCATTTGGAGCTTCTCAATCAAGACAAGTTCAATTACTTTTGCTGTTTCCTTCCCTTTTAATCTACTTGGCTGATAGATATCTGTTCCACCTTTCACTACAAAAGGATGTTTAGGGGATAAACAAACAAGACTTACCTGGGAGCTATAGACTGCTTACTAATCATGGGTTTTCAACTTGAGCCTATATTGTAGCGATTTGCAAACAGTTGATGTGGACACTCCGATGGGCCTGCAGATAGGGATCTTGTGAAATATTCTGCCAGGGCACGGAAGGGTGGGTGCTGGTAAGAATGCCACAAGATCAAAGTGGGATTCACTTCCAGGTCAAGGGTAAAAAACAACAACATCAAAAATCAAAAGGCGAGTCCTGAAAAGAGACATAAATTAAACTCCAAAGGCAACATAAGAGAGTAAATAAATACAATGATTTCACTGAATTCATGTAGCATGTCAAAGGGGGGGCGGGATAATGTGTCACGGGAGTATTATAGCAATTCCTTGTCCATGCAGCACCCCCTCCAAAAATGTTTACTGGTTCTGGAATCTTTGTATGCTTATTCTGTAGGCAGATACAGTGGTACCTTGGTTCTCAAACGCCTTGGTTCTCAAATGCCGAAAACCCGGTAGTAAGTGTTCTGGTTTTCAAATGATTTTCGGAAGCCGAACGTCTGATGTGACTGTCGGCTCTTGTTTCCAGGCCACCTGCACCAATCAGAAGCTGCGCCTAGTTTTTAAAACATTTAGGAAGTCAAGTGGGCTTCTGGAACGGATTAAATTTGGTGCTTTTTTTTTGCTATTTATTTTGCATTTTTGTTTTTGAGGCTTTTTTGGTTAATTTGTTTTTGTGACTGTGTCGAACCCAGTTCAGCTACTGATTGATTGATTGATTGATTGTGTGACTGCGGAAATGGATAAAAGCCCCCCAATGACTATCAGCAGTGCAGGTAAGAAAAAAAAATAATTTTTATTTTTATCATCTACAATACTGTCTTATTTATTTTACAGTACAGTACATTGATTATTGCTTTCATTTTATGGATCAATGGTCTCATTAGATAGTAAAATTCATGTTAAATTGCTGTTTTAGGGGTTGTTTTTAGAAGTCTGGAATGGATTAATCCATTTGCATTACTTTCTATGGGGAAGCATGCCTTGGTTTTAGAACGTTTTGGTTTTGGAACGGACTTCCAGAACGGATTAAGAGAACCAAGGTACCACTGTGCAATGATAGACCTTTGAGGTCAGTACCAGCCTTGTTACAAAACTGAATCCTAGGAGTAGCTAAAGTAGTAACTAAAAACAGAGGCTGATTGAAATGACAAAGCGGTTTATAAAAAGATAAATAAATGAAATCAAGAAAAAATAGAATTGCAACCCTACTTTAAAACATACAAAAGTTAAAATATCAAAACAGATTTATATTACCTCAGCTTTCTAAGTATCTGGGTAGGCTTGTCTAAACAGGAATGTTTTTAAGCAGGCGCTGAAAAGTGTATAAGTGATGTCGCCTGCTTGTTCTCAAGAGGCAGGGAGTTCCACAGCGCAGGGGCTGCCACACGAAACAATTGAGTTCTTATAAATGGGGAACAGGTGTTGTGTGGCACCTGTAGTTATACCAATTCCACTGACCAAATCAGTTGTGTGGGCACATATGAAGGGAGGTGATCTTGTAGGTAAACTGGTCCCGGTGCAATTAAGAGGTCTTAATGGACATAGAAAGACGAGAGAAGGAGTTAAGAAAAATCCATTTTACTCTATACCAGGGGCTGGCAACTTTCTAGGGGGGCAATGGGCACATTTAGAATTTTGAGCGGCGCCAGTCAGAAAATGGCAACACAAAGTGGCTGCCACATATAAAAGGGCAAAAAAACAGACAGGAACAAAAATGCTATGGGCATTGTGGATTTTTGAGGAGATATTTGCTGAGAACTTTCATAAGACTTTCTGACGGCTGCACTGGTGCCTCAGGACACACACACCCCACCACAGTTAATCTAGTTTATGCATTTTAGGTACAACTTTCTTTCAGACTGATCCTTGCAATCTAAAAGGCCATGTTCCATTTCAGGATATCTGGCTTGTCAATCGTTTTGTTTATGCAGTGCTGGTATATCGGGTTCATATCCTCCCACCCACCCATCACATGAAAACAGGTTCCTGCTATGAAAATACTCTCATGGAGCTCTGGCTCTCAAGCAAAACAATACTAGGGAATGCAAACCACAGTCCAAAACAAACCTACTGTAAACCTAGTATAGTATTGACCACTTATAAATAATTAACCAGCACATGGATGGGGTTCCCACAGGGACTCAAAACACAAGCATGAAAAGAAACTGCAGATCCACAAAGTGAATAATAGAGTTTAAGAAACTCTCAACTCCACAGCTGATACACCCTGACCACACAAATGAGATAAATTATGGCCTATAAATGCAAGCTTTTCAAGACAGAAATATGACTCCCTTACACAGAGACAGGTGTATGAACAGTGAGATGTTTTATCAGTTGCTGGTGAAAAACCCACTGTGATGCATGGGGGAGGAATTGCCACATCACAGGTGCCTCAGAGAGAATAGTAAGGAAAGCAAGAAAAATAGATACACAAGTCCTTCATGGGCCTCCTGTAGTTGCTTCCTTCTACAGAAAAGCCTTAAGTTTACACACTTGCCCAATGTGTCACTGTCCAATAGGAGACAAGAAGTTACATGCAGGTGTGTGCAAGGAGCAGCATACTTCTGGGAGAGAAGGGGCACGGCGTTATTTACCGTATTTTTTGCTCTATAAGACTCACTTTTTCCCTCCTAAAAAGTAAGGGGAAATGTGTGTGCGTCTTATGGAGCGAATGCAGGCTGCGCAGCTATCCCAGAAGCTAGAACAGCAAGAGGGATTGCTGCTTTCACTGCGTAGCGATCCCTCTTGCTGTTCTGGCTTCTGAGATTCAGAATATTTTTTTTCTTGTTTTCCTCCTCCAAAAACAAGGTGCGTCTTGTGGTCTGGTGCGTCTTATAGGGCGAAAAATACGGCAAATCATTGTTAGAATTGTCAATGCCCTGCTGTATGGGGTGCAAGTGTACACATTATAAAAATAAGACTTATTTCAATTTGCTGCAAATACAGTACAGTAATACCTCTGTGAATGTTGGCCTTGTCTAGCGTCCATTCTGGCAGTTGTCAGCGGCAAACCCGGAAGTACCAGAATGGGTTACTTCCGGGTTTGCCGCTCGTGCATGTGCAGAAGTGCTAAATCGCGCAGAAGCGCATGCGCAGAAGCACAAACCACTCCACGCGAATGCGCAGATGTGGCACTTTGCCCTGCATCATTTTCAGCTAGTGGCCAGGGCTCTGGAACGGATCCTGACCGCAAAACGAGGTACAACTGTACACGACAGTGGCACAACATAAGCAACAAAAATATATACATTGGTAAAAGACACAGTAGCAATGTACTTTGTCCAATTTACTGCCACTGGCTAGAGAGGTAGAAAGAGCAATCGTGTAGGAAAGGCGATATAGAAAAAGAAATGCAAGGGTGTCTAGCAGCTTTAGGATATCAATTAAGTCCCTCCACTGCCTCGAAGACCATGCTGTTCTTAATAAGCTCCAAATTGCCTGCGTTGAGTGCATGATCTCCTCCAACACATGTTGTACTATAAAACTGCTGGTGAAAGCCTGGAGCTCCTGAATAATGCAAAAATGAAAATAAAAGTCTGCACTACATGACCTAAGACTACATTCCTCATCATCAGCAATTTGGTACTGTTGTAAGCTAATTCACAGAAACACAGCCTGCATTCCACAGGATGTTCCAAAGGAAAGGAAGGGTTTTGCAAAGCAAAAACAAATAAAAGGACCGTGGTATCCCTAAGAGTAAGAAACACTTGAGAGAAGTTTGGTACAGCTATTGTACCAAACAAGAGCTGCTCTAGCAACCAGTACCAAGATGTTTTATATTATTTTATGCCTGAACTTTGTAGAGTTTGTGTTGACCAATAAAATGAAGGCTATTGTCCTGCACGCTACTTACAAGTAAACTCTTTTAAATTCAGAGGAACTTCCTGCTGAATAAATGTGTACAGGATTGGGCTGCAAACACAAATAAGCAAGATTTCATGCACCTTAGGAAACTTAATACAACTACTATAGTTATACAACCACTATAGTTACAACTATTAAGCAGTTTCTTCAGACAAGTTGGGGCAGGCTTAACAAATACATGCATGTCTGTCAAGCAGCAAATAATTTTCTTGCTCCACTTTCATGTCAGTTTAACAGATTTTATGTAATATGGGACTTATAGTACTAAAAACAAATGCAACACTCTAAATAATACAAATAATACTAAAAACGGAGTGTACAGATTTTACTGACAAAACATCCAAAGAAAATTTTAATAAAGGAAAAAGCTAATCAGAAAAATAATCTATAAGCAGAGAAACCTCCTGGTTGAGACTTTAAAGTTACTGGCCTACACGGATTATTGATTTTTACTATTAATTCTTTCTGTTTGAAATACTGTATTTTACAGCTGTTTTAACACAGCAATAATTCACCACAGAGGATCGAAGACCGCACATTTCCAAGACCAAACTAAATTTTGACCAATATACATATAAACCCATAGTGATTCACGTTGTCTTACAATGCATAATCTCTGGAGACCATTAAATATAAAATTCTCTGTCGCCACATAAAACTGATTTGTGCTAGTTCTACAAGCAGCTTTTTAATGCAACTTACTTTTATTCATTTCCCAAATACCAAACAATGCAACACAACACAACACATAATTATTGAAATGGGGAGTACATCGCACAGTTCTCCTGAAGTAGTTACACTCATCATATCTATCTTTGAAAAGTGTCCTTCCACAGGCTTCCATGAGAACCCAGAGGTCCGTACCAGTATTCCTTAGTTGCTGCTTATGTAATAAAACTTGACAAAACAGCATAGAATTTGCCCATGTCTTGGATTTTCCTACAGCCTTGAAGTTGGTTAGTCAACTTGCCTTAAGAGCTGTTGATATCAAACTGCCATAAGGTCAGCATCCAAAGTTCTTCTGAATTTGGCTATTGTGCACCTTGTCAAAGTTATCAGATAAGTTATTAGTTCTTTTGGCCCAAATCCCAATTATCAGAATCAAAAAACAGAGAGAAGGGCAAATTTTGGATTTGGAAGAATAACCTGCCAAAATTGTTGAACTAAAGGGCAATTTCATAGCACCAAACCGTGGCTTAATATTATTTGCAAACCAAATACCAACCAGAACAAAGGAAGTTCCACTCACCACTGTCCATAATTAAAGTAGGTGATAGCAAGATCTGCAAAGCAGGGCAATCGATTGGCAGCGGAAAGAGAGGAGGAGGAGGATGTGGGTGAGTTTATTAGTGTGTTAATACTACATTCCACTTTATAGCCTGAGATCAGATTCAAGGTGTCACCGAAAGCTTCACATCTGTCTAGATTTTAATTTGTTTAAGAAATTTCAGATAACTCTCACAATGCCAGGATCACAATCTTTTTCTAAGTAGTTTTATTTCGCCTTTATCCAAAGCTTGCCTTTATCAAGTCACTCTACAAAGCAAGCGGGGGGTGGGGGAGCAAGAAGGGCGATATACACGTAAGAGGGTTGTTTGGTGGGTTTGTTTGAGTTTTGAAAAGCAGATTATTTCAAGCATGAGACTTTGAGTCGTCTGTTGCAAATCTAAGTGCTTCACAGTTATGCAGCACTCTGGATTTCCTAGAGATGAGATTCTGAGAAAGAGGAGGGGGGTGGAGGGAGCTCTAGCATTAAAAACACAAGGGTTTTGTAAACCAAACAGGAGAGCTTGGAAAGCCTTGCCCTTTTACAGTTTCCTGTCTTCTTGGAAATCTCTCACTGTTGAACACATTGGATTACGTGAGCAGTTCAGTAGCTGCAGAAGAATTTTATTTTTCATTAAACAAGCATGAAGGTGTTCTTTTTAAAATCCGTGTTTACCGTGATTCTGAAAGCCTGTATTTGCCCACCCTCCAATATTTGACAGTTAGAAAAATGGCTGGAATAAGGAAGACATAAGGGATAGCTGCATATTCTTGCATTGCAGGGGATTAGACTAGGTGATTCTCAGGGTCAGCTTCCAATTCTATGATTCTATGTTAATATGTTATGAGGTTCGATAGTAAACATGGCAGAGGATATTTATGGAGCACCACTTTGCAAAACAAAGCAAAACAAAAACAAAAACAACCCATTGGTTTCTGCTACCGAGAGGCTTGCAATCTAAAATGTAAATAGTACGGATGGAACAGAAATGAAAGAAGCACGCCTATCAGGAGAGAAATATGAACAAGACTCAATTACACAGGTTTTGGCTTTGGATTGCTGACACACAGCCAAAGATGTTTTGAAACAGTACTTCAAAAGATCATTATCTCTATAATTAAAACCCATATTTCCCTACATTTAGCAATTTATTTATTTTTTACATTTTTGCTGCCTTGCTCCTTCACCCCTAAATACTAAAAGATTCAACATTTTCAAATAAAGCATTTCACTAGAACTCTTAGTAAGACAGTATTTTGCTGTCAGACAGGAACCACTACAGTAGGGTATTTACATTCAGTATATAGCACCATCCATGGCAAAGGTATAACTTTAGTGTGGTGCTTGTGTGCCAAAGATCACTGTTTTGAACTATGCTACTTGCACTGATCCTCACAGTCCATGGTTTGTCATTCCAACTACCTAGATCAGTGTGGAGGTTGTTACTGTCTGATGTAGTTTTGAGGTGTGCCTGACATCCCAAAAAGCCTCAACCTAGAAGCAAAGAAATAAATAGGCACTTGTTCTTAATTAAACCAGCTCAAGGATGACAGCAAGAACCACACGCACACACCCTAACAAGAATTTTGCCATTGACTTCCATGAGTCCTGGACTGCCTCCAAATCTTTCACTTGTTCTTACATGCAACTGTTCCAAAAAGGGAGAGAGGAACTTCACCATTCCTGATGACATCAAGATTTCTTAGAAAATGCAAAACAGAAAATTCTTAGTAGGGAAACATGTTGCACCTTTCCTGGAATTTTATCTTTACTGAAAACCTTTGAAGCTGTTCTTCATTAAGACAGCTCCTGCCCCCTTGAACTTGAGAGCTTTATACTTAACTAACTCTTCAATACAAGGAAATGCTTTGCGACAACTGCAAGCCTTTACGCTAAAACTGATTGCACATTAACAAAACTGTCTCTTCAAGGCTACGCTGCTACCATTTGAGTTGATCACAAGAGCAAAATTGCAGAAGTCTTCATTGATACTAATTAACTAACAGTTACAGTAGAAATAGAACAGCAGCCCAAACTTACATGTTTTCTTAGAAATGATCCCACTTTGTTCACTGGGTCTTGCTCTCTCTAGTAAGCACATCTAGTATAACAGTCTTCCTTGCTGGTAGACAATGCCTTGCTTAAGGTTAGGATGACTTGCCCTTTAATAACTGCATACCTGTTTTCCCCGCAGCAAATTTTAGTGGAAGTTGTTCATGTGACCTTAAGTTGTCTATCCTAGGAATGGCTAACCATTTCTGGGCTGAGGAATTTGCCACTGGCTTGGGCATCTACCCTGGAGAGCTACATGCTAGCAGTTTGGGGAGGAGCGTCCTACACTTGCAAGCACACAGTCTCCCTCCTTAGCTGATCTCAGAGAGCTTATCATCCCCTCCCCACCCATTAAATTATGAATCTGTTGACTGGAGAGCGCCTGGGTCGCATCCCAACAGGGCACTGGACTGGCAGCTCAATCAATACTTTAGATTTATTTCTTTTTGCCGCCGCCACCATCGAATGAGGTTTTGGAGGCCAGACAAACTGGCTTTTTTGGGTCCTCCATTTTTCTGAAAAAGCCTATGGGAAGCCCACAAGCAAGACCATAGCACAACAGCACTCACCACTCCTGCAGTTTCCAGAAACTGGAAGCATCACTGCCTCCGACAGTGGTAGGAGAACATAGCCATCAGAGGACATAGCCTCTTGTGGGAGTGAGTTCTGTAGTTTAACAATGTGCTGTGGGAAAAAGTACTTTCTTTTATATGCCTTGAATCTAGTGTTATGAGAGGGAGGGAGGGAGAAAAAAGTCTATATCTATCCACTTTCTACAGAAAATTCGTAATTTTGCCTCTTACTTGCCTTTTCTCTAAACAAAAAAATCCCCAACAGTTGTAATCTTCCTTCATAGGGGAGCTGATCCATCCTCTTGGTCATTTTTGTTGCCCTTTTCTGAATCGCTGTGTTACATCCTTTTTGAGGTTAGATGACCAGAGTCAGAAAGGTAACAGCCATTTCACTATCTTAGACACAACCAGAGAATAATTTACAGTGGTACTTCGGGTTACACACACTTCAGGTTACATACGCTTCAGGATAAGAACAGAAATTGGGCTCCGGCGGCGCGGCGGCAACTGGAGGCCCCATTAGCTAAAGTCGTGTTTCAGGTTAAGAACAGTTTCAGGTTAAGTACGGACCTCCGGAACGAATTAAGTACTTAACCCGAGGTACCACTGTAATTGGAAATCCATAATGAAAGGCACTCCTAGCTTCGTAATGTAAAATACATTCCAGAAACGTTAGGTATTAAGCCATGCCTTGTGTTTATGTTCTGGAAGCAATTCAAAGAAACATTCAGAGCAAATGCATTCTTTAAAACTTCAGCACAGAAAAAACAAGAGAGGAGAAATCTTGTACCGCCTTAAAACATTATTTTAAGCAATTCTGAAATCGAAGTCTAGAATCAAAACACAACTCCCATCAGTTGTGACAGCACAATTGCTCCCACGAAGGAGTTAGTTTTGGTTTATGGAAGTTTCCAGTATTAATAGCTCTCTTTTTCAGGAGGATGGTACTAAAGAACTCAGAGGAATATCTAAAACATCAAATATTTGATATAGTTAATCTGCCAATTGCGTTGCAATTGCGCTCTGGGAAGTAAGGGCTTATTCATAATTCCTTTTGTCTTTCTGTTTTCCTATTCATGGAAAAACACTCTTTAGCACTCAAGAGGAGCCAACGACAATTTGGGTTTCCCTTGGATTGCCATTTGTTCTGATCTATCTCTAAAGAGTGGGTTTTCCTTGGAAAGGAGCAGGGCAAGGGGGAATCCGCTCAGACCTGTGCCTAGAAAGCCCAGGTCAAGCAGAAAACCATTCAGACTGTGCTTCTGGACACGGCACAAGCAGAATTATAGATAAGCCTCAAGTCTCCACTCCACTCCAGTCTTCACTCACTACCCCTCTCCTTTTAAGCTATTTTGAAGAATGTTCTTTGTGACAGAGAAAAAGTTGTGCCAGACTAGTGAGGGGGCAGGTTATTCTCGGAAGAAGACGTCCCTGCACATTGTCACTTGGATGAAAGTGATGATATATTAATTTGCAGTATCAAAAAAACTGAGGAAGAATAAAAATGATGTGATACAAAAGATGTGGCATATGTTCTTCTGTCTGAGCACGCATATAAATGAAGGCATTTTCTCACCTCAGGAACCTAATAAAAACTTGCCTTACTTTTAACACAAGTGAAATATGATTTGGTGTGGAGCTGGTGCCAATTGTTGGACTTCAGTATGTTATGATGAGAGCACAAACTGGGCAATTATCAAATCCTTAAGTGCGCTTTTGCCACAGGATGCCTCAGGCCAGAGACATCTTCCACTTGCTTTGGAGTATATAGGGATTAAAAGCATTATGCCTAGCTACAGTGAAGTACTCTAAATTTCAAATAGTTTTTTGCACAATATTATGCTTTACCTATGAGATATATAATGCTTTAAAGACACACACACAAAATGCAATCAAAAGCAGAAACAATGAAAATAAAGTGCTGTGAAGAAAGAAACCTCTGCAAAACTGAAGCCAAATTTCATCAAACAGAGGAATATAACGCTTCGATCTAGAGACGCAAGATTGCTATTAAAATGAAATACTGCAACAAGACTGTATGCCTTCATTGCAAAACATGAAGAACTCAACTATTCACAGTTAATAGCAATATATGAAGCTATAAACCATAACAGTACAGTTCTGTGATTCAGCATGAAAGGGTTTTATTTCCCTAGAAACATTTAGGGATTGTTACTGATGTTTGACCTCTGGAGCTTTCGCTTCCAAAATTCACAAGTATTAAAAGCCTGAAAATTGTTTAAGGCTAGCAGTCCTTTAGCACTTTGCAGCACAGCAGAGGAAGGTCTCAAGGTGCTGAGAAGGCAAGGTGTGTTTTCTGTCTTCACTCTTCCTTAACTTCCTTCCCTCTTCCATCTTTGCTCCCACCACCCCGTATGAGCTGCCCCACAAATTCCAGGCTGCCTGAGTTATGAAAAAGAGCACTCTTCTGAGAGGACAGGGATATACATCGACTTTTTGCTGCTTGTTAATTCAGATCTGTGACATCTTTTCCACTTAATCTACAAGGCAAATTTTCATAACTGTTGCTATTATTCAGAAAGATCAGAAGACTGTCAGCACAAGGGGAAACATGAATCCTCTATTTATCAAGAGGAAAGTAAAGGCAGCTGCAAAACAAATATTGCCTCACAGTTTCATATGTACAGTTTCAGGCACAGCCCTCTCTGAGTTAAACAAAAAACAATTCAAACTTCATATTGGCACAGTGGGTGCCACACAAACTAGGACTTTTTCTGTAGGCATGTATGCTGAGACATTGTGAGGACATTTGAGATATGGGGAAAGAGAGAAAGAGAGAGATGCATAACGCTCCAGAATGAAGAATAAGCTTTTAAGTACGAAGCAACCATTCATTTTAATAATATTGTACTTAACACATTGTTTGCTCTAAATAAGTCATGTGGCCCTTGAGGTTTTTTTGGACTACAGCTCCCATCATCTCTGGTCACTGGCCACCCTGGCTTAAGATGATGGGAGTGGGAGTTGCTCATTCTTGATCAAAACCTATGTTGTACCATAGTTCTTGCAGTAATATTCAAACTTGGAGCAGAGGCAGCAACTTGTGCCGAAGATTTAGGGGGCCCGTGTGATGCACAACGTGTGTGTGTTGTCATGCGCAGGACGTCACATCTTCTGGAGGAGGCCGAGCATAGAGCCAAGCACTGCACTGCTTCAATGGCCACAGTTGCTCCTCTCCCACAACAGGCCTCCTTCCATGGCAGGAAGAGGAGGAGCCGGCCCCCTCACAAAAGATATGGGGGGGGGACAGCTTGGCCCCCATGAGCTGGCACCTCTGCTTTGCACAAACAATCCAAGGAGTGGTCATTATTTTAGTGGCACCCATGAAGGGACTTCCAGTTCGGAAGGTTCACCACAAGATTCCTTGCATCACCATGGAGAATCACGTGCAGCCACATCCAACTTATGAACTGCACCCCAGTATTGCAAAGAACTTAGATGCACCTCTCAGAATGTGAGGTGCAGCCATCTGGTATTTACTTCTGGCATTTATATACCACTCCTTCAATAAAGTTCATCAGCTGGTAGAGATGGGCCAACAGGTAATAGAAAAATAGCCAAGAAATAAATACTGGTCACAATGAAGGAAAGTATTCAGACACATGAAAGTCAAACGAGACAGTTATAGTCTAGCATTGCTGGCATTGGGGAAAAGCTAAATAATAGAAGCAGTGATGGGAAGGAAATCCACTGGGTCACTTTGACTTGTTGAATAATTTAGTACCAAGAACTTGTCTGTAAGCTACGTAGTAATAAAAAAAAACCTTGAAATCTATGTCAAAACTTTCCAGTTTCATCTGCTGCTTTAATAATTCTATTGCAACAGGTGCCTGCCATAAATGGATTTCTTTTTCTTGGAAGTGAGGGATATTATCTGTGTGCTGCAGATTCAACTGCTCTATGGATGAATCTGAGGAAAGAACAAGAACAAGGAACTAGATCCTTTCCATTCTCTGCTGTCCATCCCAAAAGGATCAGAGATGATTGTATGAGTAAATCAGATTTGGGTATGAGCTTATTACCTCATGTCCAACCATAGCAGTGAAAAACGAACAAGAAATTAAGGGAACGGAAATGGTAACGTTAAGAAAACTTGCTTTTAATAGAACGATACACGTTATACAGTCTATTCTGAGATACAGATATCCAATGAGGAGGAGGCAGAAATGGAAACAAACATGTACTAAATAATGTTTTGAGCAAAGGTTCCCAAATAAGATAAAATATCTTATTAACAGAAATAGAAACTCACATTTGTGTTTGCAATCAACTGGCCAACAACAAAACTTCAGATTAAAACTTGAGGAACTGAGCCAACATCTAGTGACTCCAACGACTGTAGAAGCATTTCTACGTCATCAGTGATCCAGGAAGGCCACTCAGATCAGAGTTCAGGGCTAGTGGAGGCACGTTGCGTGTGATGGTTTATGCTTGTTATTAGGAAATATACTCCCCTCATTACACTCACTCTGTTATAAACACCACCACCCACTACTCCTCCCCTGTGTTCGTAGATACCATTAGCTCTTTCCTTTTATTTGGCTTAACAGCCGGAGAACTCATCTCTTATGCTGCTGGCTGTATAAACTGAAAAGCAAATACGAATACAGCTGCTTGTTCTACAACTGTAAACAGACACTCTTCCGATAGCCTCAGAGGCTAAGAATCACCTCCATATGACCAAACCAGGAAGCATGCTTTAAGAGCAGGAATGGGGAACCTGTGGCACTGCGGATGGTACTAGACTACAAATCTCGACTCTAAGCACTTATCCCGCCCCTGCCCCACCAAAAAAGCACCACTTTCTGGAGAAAGCCACCCAAGAAGGAGAAGAAGCATTGCAAGCTGGGACAGGATCAAAAAAGCTAAAGGAAAATCAACAGTCACACTCCCCTGACTGTCTCCTGACACAATCCGTTGTGCAGGGCACTCTCTTGAGGACTGCTCAGGAAGCAGAGATTTGCCACTGGTCTAAAATTATTGAGATCTTCCGTATCTGGAGAAGCCCGATAGAATCCTTAACTCTGTATGTACTTAAATCACCCCTGAACTCAAGAGAACTTAACCATATTTTTAACTTTGGTTGGGAAATAGTTCAAAGAAAATGTGCTTTTAATTATTTCTGATCATTTTCATGCATGGCAATCCTACGCATGTCTAGTTGGAAGCAAGTCTTATTTGTTCACTGTGATCCTTGTAAATGCACATAGGACTGCTGTCTTAGAATCACAATCTAATTATACGCCACTGGCAAAAGCAAAAAAATAAAATATGAAGTGGGAAACAAATGTACATTCACAGTTACTAAACTTCCAATTCTTATTTTGGTAACTTTAATTTAATAGAAATCCCAGTCCCTCCCCCCCCCCAAAAAAATGCATAAAGAGAACTTTTGAAAATGATAAACTAGGGCAAACTGATGGGAGGAATATTTACATATAAATAAATATAGCAAACGCCACAATACTTTTATTCACAAATAACAAATAGGCAGGAAAGCTGCATCCTAACTTCACTACTAACTGCAACAAAGGATTTACAAGACTGAATGCTCATCAGTTAACATCCACATTTCCCAAAAACCTTTTATGTCAGAAAGGAGGATGGGTTAGAACCTTTCACCAATGTCGAGATTCCTATGTACAGGGACTATGTGCTATTTCTCAGCATCTAACTTTTATCTATATAAATGGGGTTTAGAGGTGGAACTCAGAAAGGAGAAAAGGAAAAGATTCTGGAAAGAAGTTAACTAAGAAAGCAATCCTAGAAGACACAATTCCATAGCACACATTTTCTGCATTATAGAAACACGCATCATGTAACATTCTGCTGTTCCTAGAAAGAACTCCACTTTCCTGCCAACAACCATGGCTTTTCCTGATAATCATAAATATTATGCAGAGGCTTTTAGACGGTTATATTTCTTTGTCATGATTGCCCACACTGGAAATATTCTCTAAGGAAGTAATCCTGCTGTGAGGTTGATTAGTATTTGGCACAAATTATTGTTATTCACAAGGTAAATACATCTATGATGACATAAACAGGATTGAAATAGTTCTGGGGCCTTCTCATCCAACCCTAGAGATAATTTTGTTGTAATCAAAATCCTACTGTGTAGCACGGCACAAACACAGGTAGTCTGAAATCAAGATCTACACAGCTATCCCACTTCCTTTTGCTACTTCTTGTTTGAACAATCACACATACCTTAAAAAGGGGGGGGGGGAATCTCCTTTACAATTGCCCATATGAACAAGGGACCGCCTGATCTCACAAACATCAGCTTAAAGCCAAGTACTTTAACTGCATTTAATTTCAAACCAGCTAAGTTAGACTCATAGAACTGCACAGCTGGAAGCAACACAAAATGTCATCTAGTCCAACCCCCCCTCTGTAATGCAGGAATCACAGCTAAAAAAAACCCTGACAGGTGGCCAACAAACCTCTGTTTAAAAACCTCCAATAAAGGAGAGTCCACCACTTTCCGAGCTACCCCATTCCACTGTCAAATAGTTCTAACCAACAGAGAGTTCTTCCTAATGTTTAGTCAGAATCTCACTGCTTGTGACTGGAATCCATTGGTTCAGGTCCTAGCCGCTAGAACTGCAGAAAACCAGCTTGTTCCATCACCCATGTGACAGCCCATCTGATATCTGAAGATGGCTATCATCTCACCTCTCAGTCTTTGCTCCGAATTCTTGGGACTGTAATGGAACTAAGCTGGTTTTTAATGCATTTGTATGAAACGGTTTGTAGATTACAAGTTATAGAAACAATATACATATTATTTTGTAACATTATGTCTTCTATAACCTGATAAAGTAGAGCACAATTACAGTCATACCTCAGAAGTCGAATGGAATCCTTTCTGGAAGTCCGTTCCACTTCCGAAACGTTAGGAAACCAAGGCACAGTTTCTGATTGGTTTCAGATTGTGCAGGCGCACCGGGAAAAAATACGGAAGCCGTGCCAGATGTGCCAGGCTTCCAAAAGGATGTTAAAAAATTGGAACACTCATTTCTGATTTTTTATTGTTCGAGAGCCGGAATGTTTGACTCCCAAGGCGTTTGGGAGCCAAGGTACGACTGTACTTATGTAATACAATTTACATGTGGTTGTTCTTAAAGAATGCCTTGATCCTATAGCTACATACGTGGGTCTTGCAAATTTATACCTTGCTCTTCATCAGAAAATGATCCCTGGTCACTACATAACATACAAACATATACAATTATCGATATACAGTGGTACCCCGGGTTAAGTACTTAATTCGTTCCAGAGGTCCGTTCTTAACCTGAAACTGTTCTTAACCTGAAGCACCACTTTAGCTAATGTGGCCTCCTGCTGCTGCTGCACCGCCGGAGCACAATTTCTGTTCTCATCCTGAAGCAAAGTTCTTAACCCGAGGTACTATTTCTGGGTTATCGGAGTCTGTAACCTGAAGCATATGTAACCTGAAGCATATGTAACCCGAGGTACCACTGTATAAGAAAATAAAATAAAATTACAATGGTACCTCGGGTTAAGTACTTAATTCGTTCCAGAGGTCCGTTCTTGACCTGAAACTGTTCTTAACCTGAAGCACCACTTTAGCTAATGGGACCTCCTGCTGCCGCCGCACCGCCGGAGCACGATTTCTGTTCTCATCCTGAAGCAAAGTTCTTAACCCGAGGTACTATTTCTGGGTTAGCAGAGTCTGTAACCTGACGCGTATGTAACCTGAAGCATATGTAACCTGAGGCACCACTGTACAAATCATGTCACACTGTTGAATAAAACAATCCCATATCTGTCCCACTTCAACAAACAGACCCAACAACATTTGAGAATCCCTCATAGAATCTGATTATACTAACTCTATGCAAGGCACAAAATCAGAATCTTTCCTTCCTTTTCAAACTTTTGGGATGGAATAATGTTCTGCATACAGCATTTCTCTCTTGCTGTAAACACCACACAGCAGTTTTTCCAGGAATATAATTAAAATAGAAAACACTGCGTACGTGTATTTGTTGACTGTTCAGAACCTCAAAAGAAGGCTGCAACACCCAACCGAGTCAGACCTTTCATTAAATGCAAAAATACATCAAGAAACTAAGACAGCCAAACCATATGTTCTAATAGGTGGCTTTGGAGGGGAACTACACAAGTAGTTGTTAGTAGTACTAACAGCCATGATAGCAAAACTGAACCCCAACTGTGGAGGCATACCTCTGAATACCAGTTGCTGGGGAACAACTGAGATCAGGAGTGCCAACTTGAATAGAATATTGTGGTGGCCCAGGTAAGCCCCGCACACACCATTTGAATGGGAATGCCCATCAACTCTGTGGGGGCCCAGCCCCCTCAAATATTTTATTGTGGGGGCCGAAGCCCCCACAGCCCCTAGAAGTTGGCTCCCATGACTGCAATAGAAAGCTATTGCTTCCAAATCCTACATAAAGGAACAGATCCTGCTAACTCTACCAGTATACTTGAAACTACAAGATTAGCAATCCACAAAGAGTTGCCCAAGCTTTGTTACTAACTGAAGCTAACAAGCAGATTGCACATTGCAGTCCAGAAAAGGTGGGGTTATTAGCTAAATAGCCTGGGGAGGTCATCCAAGTCAAATAAATAATCAAAAGGTACATTATAACAGGAATGGTGTCTGTGGAACATGAATGATTTGAATCTAGACAAGAACTTTCAGATACATGAAGACTCAGGTAAGGAGCGTTCCATAGTACTTTACAAAATTCGCACTGTAATTTTATAAACAGATTTAAGTTAAAAACTATTTTATATTTGAAATTATACCATGTACCTTACTTTCTAAGGTTTCTGTACTCAGGAAGTATTATTTCTTAATTATTATAAAAATAAAAAACGGAAGTGAAGAGTTGAGCTTCACCAGAAGCTTGCACAACAACTGCTAAATGCATATTACACCATGAAAGCTTGATGCGGGGAGAGAGAGAAAGGACGCTGGACGGTTGATAAGCAGCCTCCCCATTTGCTTTTTTCCAGTTCTGCCCTTTGAGAGTGATGCTTGGGGCATGCTCTTCCGCCTTGTGGAGACTTCAATGTGTAGTTCCTCAAGATTCTGCATCTACATGAAACCACTATGTGGGATTACCCAGAATTTTGGAGTACATTGTTAGCAATATGCTGATGACACACAGCTCTAGTTCTGCTTTCCATCTGCAGGTGTGATAGTGGATGAGCTTTGCATGTAGCAGAGCAAAGAGCACAGAGAACACAGGGGGGCCCCCTCCATGATGGAATTTAAGGCGGCTGGGAAAACAGATGTCCAGGAAGGAGATTTAGGTGGAAGCAGAGGGGCTGCCTTGAGTACAAGATTTGGGTGGGGCGGCAGTGTGCATCATCTTTGTGTGACATCATGCATTGGACATGGGTCGGGAGTATGTGATGCCATACATGTGACACACGTGTGAAGTTGCATCATTGGGAGGAGGCCAAACAGGGAGCCCAGCGTGGCGCGGTTCAATGGCTGACTCCTGCTGAGCTCAAGAGAGGAATCCACACTGCACTGGGCTCCCTGCGCATTGCACATTTGACATCAGTAAAAAAAGATGAAACATTTTTAAATGTACACATCTTTTGATGAGCTTCTTTTCCACCTTGGTGAAACAATCTCTTTAATATACACAGGGGTTACCAGAGGCCAGATTAAACTGTGTTGGTAATAAATTCCCACTCTATGCTGCCAGCTGGCTAACCCTGGGTTACAACAGGGATTGTACAAATCATTAGAAGTAGATTAGTTACTGAATAACGTATTTAACTTTCTGTCCACAAACACAAGGTGTCCCACGTAGTGGAAAAAGAAAATAATATAAACAAACCAGGCTTTTCCTACTCTTCCCAAAAAATTGTACAACTGTGCAAGAATAACACAGGCATGGGCACTAACTATGGCTATGGGACCAGGAAGAGGCTGTGGGATTGTAGTATTATTTGCCGCAGCCTATTCACAACCACCCATTCCCAACTCTCAGCCAGGCCTGAGAACTGACCAACATCAATACAGACCAGAAAACACTCCAAACCTAGCTGGAAACTTTGTTAGCCATACTTTACAATTATGAAGAGTCACGTCAACAGAGACAGAGGAGAAAGAAATTATTCTAAGTGAAATAATCAAATTATTATTTATTATTATTATTAAAAATGTTCCCATAAGCATCACTTGAAAGTAATTCAAGGTTACAATCTCCATAACCTCAAGGATTGTGTAACAGAAACTTGTTAAAGATTATGTCATCCTTGTTCATAAATCTATCCCAAAAATATGGAGTATTGATTTAACATCCATGCTAGAAAACTGTCAGTGGAGCTGGCCAAAGACATTTTGCTGCTTGCCCCCTCCACCACCACAATTCCATCGAAACAAGACAAATGGACTGACCCCTAAATCTTATTTCAATGCTGTTGACGGGACACTGTCCTCTATCAAAAAAGGCCTTCCTGAATTCTTACTGAAATGTAACTATCCTCCTTAAAACAACATAAACATTTATGCACATATAAGTTGCCCTTTCTCCTTCAACAGGGATGATCGAAAACATAGTAACCATGAACATCCAAGCTCATCAATCCACAGTAATAGTACTAGGGTGATGAGTCTGAGGCCATTGGATCCCTTAGCCCAAGACAAAACCTAAAGTGAAGAAATCCCAAGACTCTAAGCCAAGGGCATCTTCAAGGATGTGTGTGTATGTATATAAATCAGATAATAAGAGATGAGCAGTTGTCTGAAAATTACCAGTTATGTAAGCAAAACTTCAGAACCCTTTCCCCATGTCTCATTCTTCCTCTGCAAAAAGGAATACAACATATCTGATGTAAACCCACATATTCCAAGTTTAGCAACCCATCACTGTACAATCTCGTCTCTATTATACAGTGCTATCCTATTGTTGTCCCTTTCCATTCTCCCTTTATTTTACTGTATGAGAATTAGTCATCTTTCAGGAGGAAAAGTTTATAATGACTCTCATTCATACAGATGCCTTTTCGTTTGCAAGCAAATAGAGACAATAATTCAACTATAAAATCAGTTCCACTGTAGTTTGGTGTAGCTGTGAGAGGGCTAGACTCAGGGGCGTAGGAAGGGGTGGGGGTGTGGTCCGCCCTGGGTGTCATCCATGAGGGGGGTGACAAAATGGCACATCACGGGGGGGGGCAGCACTTACCACGGGGCCTGGCCTGCAGTGTGCCCGAGCCACACGTCTCTCCTGGGAGTGAAGCAGTGGCTCGGGGCCCCACTCTGCAGTTTCAGGAGGACTCCATGGGCAGCTTGCCACGCTGCGCCACTCCCCTGGGCAGATCACTGCGGTGCCCCCTGGTGCACGGATTGCCATGGCGCCCCTGTGGGTGGCTCGCCTCGCCCCCGCCACTCCGGGTGCCAGAGCAGCTAGCTACACCCCTGGCTAGACTAAGACCAAGGTTCAAATCCCCACTCAGCCATGAAGTTCACAGAGCCAATCCCTGTCTCTATCTCATGGGGTTGTTGTGAGGATAAAATGGGATGGGGCAGGACCATTTTGAGTTCCTAGAAGGAAAGGTGTGATAGAAATGTAACACATCATCTAGAATGACAATGTACACAAGTCTGCCTTAAATCTCTTTTTAGCCTCATTTTTCTAGAGCAATGTTTCCCAAACTTACAATAATCATGTACCCTTTTTGAGTGTTTATTCTTACTGGTGTACCCCGACCACCAAATTATCTTCTGAGAAGGGCTCAGACGAAGATAATTTGTTGGTTGGAGTATACCAGTAAGAATAAACTCTCAATAGGGGTACATGATTATGATCCTATTTTATCTAGCAGATACCATACACCCTTTGAAATCCTTTTGTGCAGCCCCAGGGGTATGTGTACCACACTTTGGGAAATACTGATCTAAAGGATATAGTATATCCTCCCCTACCTCAATATTTTTAAACATACATTTGTCTTGCTATCTTCAGAAGTTACCACTGTAATGCCAATAGCTTCTAGGCCCATTTGCATTACTGGAGCTGCTTGGCTGCGACTTCCTCAAAGCTTCACCCCACAACTCTTGCAACATAAGAAAATTGCATAGACTAGGCTGAAGGCAAGATTATCCTCTATGCCCTGAGTTGCCTAACTGGGGTGGCCGTTACTTAGAGAGCACTCAAGTTATCAGTACAGCACATACAATTTCCTAGAAGGTAAAAATGAACCCTTTAAATAGATAATGGATTTTACACACACACACACCAGTCTGGACATCTGTTTTGAAGCAAGTTGACTACTCAGAACTCTAGACTTTGGATCACATTTTGCAACAGCTAACTCCACATCACAAACAAATTACTTAGGCTGACAAGAGCCTAGATCTCACCAAGGGGATGAAGCGCTCACATGGCTGAATATTTATTTTTATAAGATGACTTCTTGTCCAGTCTTTCAATTGTAGCTCACAAAAAAAAAATAAGTCAGAAAAGCAAAAACACACTGCAACACAATAAAAAGTCCAGTTAAGATTTTAAAAATTAGAAGATGACAACAAAACAACAGTGTAGAAAATAACCAGCTAACAGACTAAGCTTACAGTCCTACATGCATTTATCTGGAAGCACGTCCTGTTGAACTCAAGCGGACTTACTTCCAATGTAGAGACATGTAGGATTGCAGTGCCAAATGGAAAGAGAAGGCAGAGCTCCTGTGCTCTTTGCGTGGCAAGCTGCACTTACTGAAAGTCCCTCTTCTGCACATCTATTAAAGGTGCAGGAACCCAGTCTACTCCTTCCAACTGTAAATTCTACTGTTGCAGCTCTTTGATCAAAGGAAGAATGAACCCAATATAGTAATAGTTTTGAAATCTTACCATCAAGTGCCACTAGCATAACTTCATTGCGCTTTGCCTCAAGCTTGTCTCTCACCCATGGAAACTCCTGTAAGGAATCTAGAAAAGTCTCAAAAGCCTTGGGCCCTCTTGTAGGTAAGATGTCAAGGAGCAACATGGTTTTCCTGTGGCTGGTGACTTGGGACCTTATTTCTTGCATGTGGCTTTCTGTCAGGATGCCTTCTTGGTAAAGGTACTGAATGACAAGGCCCTCCACCAGCAGTTCTGCACAAAGCTCCAGGCGCAACGAGCGTAGAACCTGCTTGTCCCTGGCATCCATCCTGCAGGAAAATAAATAGAGAGAACTTAAATGCGATATATGTTGCACCTGTGGGGACTGCAACACCCACCAATGTTCTTTATCCTTCCAAATATTTCTTTTTTTCAGAAATGCTTTCCAAGGTAGGGGCACGTTTTTGGGTGCTAGATTATTACTATTATTTGCCTGTGTTATACTTACAGGGATTATGTAGAGGTTTTATTTGGGGGGGGTGCCTTCTGAGCACTGCAAGTTTTTATTTCGTGAAGTGGACTCCACCCCAGGTCCTTGATTTCCAAATGCATCTTTTATGCCCAGACAGGGTCGGACCTATTTCATAGCTGTCAACTTTTCCCTTTTCTTGTGAGGAATCCTATTTGAAATAAGGGAATTTCCCTTTAAAAAAGGGAAAAGTTGACAGCTATGTTATTTTTTAAAAGCCTGAGAGTACTTTAGCTGGATCTGTTTCAGTAAATGAAGAGTACAAGGTGTTTTGGAAGTATGTGAGCATCAAATTGATGAAAGGCTGCATCTTTTGTTGATTTAAGTTATCAGGGCATCTTGCACGAAGCAGACAATCAGACATACTCACATTTAGGACTGGTTCCCACCCAAAGATAACCGACACTTTAACATAGGGTGGACACTCCCTTTGGTACAGTAACCTATCTCCAATTTCTTAAAAAAGAAAAGAGAATCGCATCCACATTGTCACATGGAGCTGCCTTCAAAAAGCGGTGCAAAAGGTGTCAGCAAGAGTTTTGACTGGGGTTGGGGTTTGTTTGGTTTTAGACCATGTGACTTTACAGCTGGCCCAGCCTCACCAGTTTCTGATTTGTCTCAAAGGAAAATTCAGCGCACAAGTGATCAGCTTTATAACCCTTACGATTTGGGACTAGGGTACTTGGAACACTTTCTCCCCATTTGATTCTGTCACCCAAAATCTTCAGCAAATGCTTGCTACATATCCTATCAGTAGCAAAGGCTCAGTTGGTTGGGTACACAGGCCACAGCCTTTTCCACTGTGGCATCAAAACTTTGGAATTCTCTGCTGTAGGTCAGCTCCATCAGCAATGATGCTTTGATACACTGTGAAAACTGTCCTAATTTAACATGCTTCTGGTCAACAGAGCTGATTTTTATCCCTGCTTTCACTTATATTATCATTTTTCTTATGCTTTATTTATATTAGCATATATACTATTGCCTGCTGTTAACAGCCTTGTGGCATTAACAGCTTTGGAGGTATGTCCAGTTTGAGTCAGAAGAGGTCAGAGAAAAGCATTTGAATCAACATCTCCCAGGGCAGCTTTCAAACAACAACTAAAATCAACCAGTAAAACATTATTTTTTTAAAAAAACTGTTCAAAGCTGCAATCCAGGAAGACACAGCAGCAACATTAAAACAGAGAAAAAAGTATTAAAGACCTAGGAAAAATTACAGGTGTCTCATCTTCTGTTTTTATTCTACATTTCTTCCTGTTAAGAAAGTATGTACAGGGTTCCCTGACAGGAACCTGCAAACCTTAATTTCCTTAATTTCAGCCAAGTACATTCACACCATGCCCTGGGGTCCAATCTAGAAAGAAAGAATCTGTTTTTTTTCTTAGATACCTGCCAGAGTGTAGCAGAATCGTTGTAGTAAAGCTCTTGGAGGCAGCAATCCTTATCATACCCGCTTTAACTAAATAAGAGCAGGGCAGGCGACAATAGATTGTTCATTGCTCTTAAGGTTTCAGGATTCACCATATTTTCTAGATACAAAATACCACAACTGCAACACAAATTGTAGAACAAAAAATAAAGATCTATTCGCAGTGGGGAGCCATACCTACATGTCTATGACTGGTTTTTAATTAAACCCCTCCAAAAAGAAGAAGAAAAAAAAGAAAAAAGCGAAGAAATGTCCGGAAGCGTGTAAAGGAATACGTAAAGACGAAACGAAACGAGGGCAGAAGCTCGCAGGGGAAGCTTTGCAGAAAAAGCCGAGAGAATTTGTATAGTCGGACCACCTGAGAGAGGAAGCGATGTATGTTTTCGGTGAAAATACTTACAAATTTAAGCGCAGGGATTATTGATCATCAAGCTCAGGCATTCCCAGCTCGCTCTTCAAGCACTAACTTTCTTGAGAGCGAAATATCCAAACAGGAAGTGCTGTCCGCCCATGTTTCTTAAGGGCAAAACATAAAACGGAGGATAAAATGCATCGTCTGGAGACGGAAGTTCCTGGTTACTTTTGACGCCATTTCCCTAAACGTGACAGTTTCCAGTAGGAAATAATGGCTCATGTCAAAGCTTTTTGCACAAACTGTGACTGAGCAGCAGCAGAAGCGTGTTCTCTCCCCGTCCTCGGCCAGCTGAGGGGAAGAAGGAGGTGGAAGCGCAGGCAGGAGTTCGCGGTTCTTCAAACTGGGTTTTTATTTCGTGTGAGAGCGGGGTGCAGTGGAGAGTCATTTCAGTGGTTTTATTTAAAAGGACACAAACACAAGATTTGCAGAAAGATTCCAAGCTCGCTTAGCCCGCTGTTCATATGGCACGTTTGAGGTGGAAGCGCATCTAAGGCTGAGCACACAGTCGTGTTGTTATCAACACACTTCATGTTTGTGAGTGAAAGAAACCCACCCTGGACCATGAATCTCCACAGAGCAGATGCGGACTGAGACTAGTAGTCACAGCTGTCAGCTTCTCAAAATTAGCTGGTGAAACGCAGCCTTTGTGGTTTGCAACACTCCTGCAATGTGGTCCAGTGGTTTTATCACCACTCTGCAGCCCAATGAAAGTGGCTCGCAGCAACTCTGTACTTGGCTTACTCCAAGTATTGTGGTCCGGAGCTGAAATTGAGGCTGAAAAGAGCGTAGGCTGTGATGTGGTGATGTTATTGCCTCGTTGTGTTTGGAGGCAAGGCGTCCTCATAATCCACCTGGTATTATCAGATGCAGGCTTGGAACAAACAAGTCACGGCAATTCTGTCAACTTCTTAGGGTTATATTGGTGATACGCAATGTCACAATCGACATCACAGTATGGATACTTGTTCAAAAGACTGGGAGTAGTAGTAAATGTACTTCTTTCCATTATTATGTTTTTAAATATGTTGGAAGCCATCTGGAGTGGCTGGGCCAATCCAGTCAGATGGGTGGAGTAATAATAATAATAATAATATTCCAGAAGAAAGCTTGTACAGTGGTACTGGTTGTCAAATGGCTTGGTTCCAGAACAAATCCGCTCCTGAACATCGCAGTGTTCCAGTTTGCAAAAGTTTTTTGGAAGCCGAACATCCGACGCGGCTTCCACTTGAGTGCAGGAAGCTCCTGCAGCCAATCGGAATCCGTGCCTTGGTTTTCAAACTGTTCCAGGAGTCAAACGGACTCCCAGAACAGATTAAGTTCAACAACCAAGCTACCACTGTATAGGGTAGGAATGGGAAACATGTGTCCCTCTGTATTACACTGACTCCACCTTCGCTTTCCATTGGCCACCTGAAAAAAATTGTCTGTTTTCATTGGGAATACATTTTTAATCAGTCAAAACTGACTCATCTAACCACTTAATCAACTGAACACAGTGGTCCCAATGACAATTAATATTAAATGCACACTGAAGGCAATGGAAGGACCTGAAGTAGCCATTGAAAACAATGTGGATGAACCAGAATCTGTCCAGCTTACATACCATGTGTATCACCATACCAGCAATCTCTAACCTGCCAGTTTCTGGTTCTCAAAAATAGGTAAAAAAATTATTAACATCTCTCCCTCACCATTTACTTCACCCTTCTATTTGAAATTGTTGTATTTAATAAATGACAGATCTGTGACTCACAGTACGTTGAACGCTATTAAATGCAATTTCTTTTCATAATGGATGTCAGTGTTTGCTTCCGTGCTTAATGTACCAAGTGTCAAAAATGTCAAAAGTTGCTTGTGTGTGAGTCATGGCAGGTACAGTATTACTTGCTCTACCTGATCATGCTTACTTGCTCTGTTTGAACCAGGTTATCTAAGAACTGTACCAAGGCTTGGAACAACACTACTGTCTTTCCATTATACGTAGATCACTAAATAAGTCCACCTTCCTGCATATGTTTTGCTCTCTTCTAAAAAACACACCACAAAACCACTTATTTCAAGCCTAATTATTGGTGGTGTGTGGTGCCTGTGACAGTTGTTCTGGTTTGCAAAGGTTGCAACCTCTTAAACCCACAGTGCTTCCAACGCATTTTGAACACTGCAGAAATGATCAAAAATGTTTTCATGCTATAGAATTCCTAATTTTGTATTATCAAATAGCAGATCCACACAATACATTTAAAGTGCATTCAGAGCATGTGATTTCCCCCAAAGAATCATGGGAACTGTAGTTTCCCCCCTCAGAGCTGCGGTTGTCCCAGGCTTCTTTGAGGAGGAGTCATGTGCTTTAAATGTGTGTTGGATGTGTTGGTGTGGATTGAGTCACACTGTTTTCTTCAACACCGTTTGGTGCCAAGCCACCTCATTTAAACCTGAGATTTGCCTTTCACGCCAAGCCCCGTTTAAGGACTCAGTGTTTGTTGGCCACCTATCATTCTTAAAAACTCTCAAGTTGTATGCTGAAATATGATTTAAAACAAATATGTAGTAGTTACTGGGAAACAAAGGATCTGGTGAGTTAAATAATGGCTCCCAAGACTCCTCATGGAAATCCATTTATTGTTTCCAAAAAAACTTAATTGGCAGCCGAGTCCCCTGAGGTTTTTAGCCAAAAGTAGTTACCATGTTCTCATTTGACCAGGCTTGGGTGAATATTGTGAACAGGGTAGGTAGATGTCAGCACAAACAGCTTTGATTCCAAACCAAATACATTGTACTTCTTCATAACATCTGAATGACCCAGAGCTTGATAGCCTGCCAAGAAGGAAGTACATAATGTTCACCACAGCTGTTCAGAAATGGGGTAACCAACTGACAATACAGGATTTTCATAAACTGGTGGAGAACGGAACAAAATTAGACATCACATCAAATTATGATTTAGCCATTGACTTCCTAAGCAGTTTAGGACTCAGTGAATCCCTAAGCTTCAGATCAGTATGCATGATATGGTAGTTTTGATAAAGAAAACCGTACACAAAAAGCGTATACATGTTAAAATAATTATCCATTTTTTAAAAGTTCATTAAACATGCTTTAAGTACCACCTGTATTACTTCAATATATGTACATGAACAAGCTGATCAGCGCTTTTTATATAGCAGGTAACAAAATAGGATATCTATTGGATAAGTCTTATGACCTGAGGAAAATAAACTTTTGATTCCAAACACATTGTGTTGGAATAAATTCTACAATTGTATATTGCATACTTGGGATTGGAGCACAGGATTTGCCAGCCAAAACTGGAGACAAAGTAATGACGTATTCTCAAAATGCTGTTATCTTTTGAACACGGATGACTAATGCCAGAGAATGAACGCCGATGTCTTCAAATTCCACTAAAAATAGCAAGAGATTCGACACATCAAATAAATAAATAAATTGCATGGTTAATTTAAGACGGGAATGTGGAATCTTTTTTCAGCCTGACGGCTGCATTACTTTCTGGGCAACCATCTAGGACCACATGCCAAAAGTGGGCAGGCACAGAGTCAAAAGTGAATAGAGCAAAAAGAAATGTCAAATTTCTCTTTGTACAGCAGGCTACTTCCTATATATAGTTATGAGTTTTGGGGTGCCATATTCCCCTAAATTCCTGGACCCAGTAAGTGCTAGAATTTAATCAAGCCAGACATTGAATCCCTGGATTCAGCAAGGTGGTTAACGGCATAAAGCTGGAGAGAGGGTCAGAGCACAATGGTTTATTTCTGTTTGAATCCACGGCTGTGGCTTTGGGAGAAGCAAGACCTCTTTGGGGTGTTGATGCTGTGAACCCCTTCATTATAGGCTCAGGATGTATATATGTGTAAATAAGCCATCTATCCTAAAGACACCACAGTCCCCGCTGTGCTTCATTTCCAAAAGGAAACATGAAACCCAGGGGAAGTGGCTGGAATCCCTAGAATCTTACACCGCTCGGAAATTGGGGTGGTGCAACAATATGCTTTCACACACCTCTCTCTACCTTCCACACAGTCAAACAAAAGGCATTATCAGAACTTAAGGACACATTCCAAGCCGGCAAAAACACTTGATGCAAATTGGGCCAGGGAGAGCTGTGGCCTTGAGGTCCAGACATAGAGGCCTGCAGTGTCACATTTTGTCCCTGGGCACCTGCTTCCCCATCCCTGGTTTAAGAAACAGTAAAGCGTTTAATTTTATAAAATAAGGAAGTATGCAGGACTTATTACATGAGTCAAAATGTGTTGCTGCCCTTTCTTTTAAGAAAACAAAACCAAATAAACTTGTGCCACCAAATTTAATCTGTTGGTTTTCAGCTGGCTATTAGCAGTTTGGAGACAAAAAATGTGAAATGTCTGAATTTGTTCATTAGAAACATATCTAACTTGCCTAGTCTCTTATAGTAGTCTCTTGTGCCTCTTATGGCTAAGGTGAAAGCTAGTTTCTTCCCTTCCCCTTGCTAAGCCGAACCAGCAACAAAAAAACATATGTAGGTATGGTTTGGAGTTACCAATACTAAAAGAATGGAAGACCTATCTTAGTTTGTGAGAAGGAACAGGGAAGTGAGACAGATGTTTTGTTGTGAATCGTAGCATGGTCCTTCCGCTTCTCCTCTTCTAGGTTCCTTTCATCTGCTTGGGAGTAGGAGCAGGGTTGATGTGGGGCCTGTGGCTGTAAGGTGCTGCTTCCATTGCTGCTGGCTTCAAGGCGGAGATGAGAAGGGATCCAGATGTTGGGACTCCAAGAAGCATCTGGAGAGCCACAGAATCCCCACTCTGCTTAGGACAGTGAAGTCAATGAGCACGCCCATGCAGGCTTCTTCCCACCAACCTGTGCACTTATTCTGAACACACAAGACAGCACGGGGGAAAAGAACGGGGGGGGGGTGACTTATAGCCAATTTTTCCAATGAACCGAGTGCTTATGCATCATCACACTTCCTTATGACAGAAGCGTTTCCCCAAAATATGCAAATCAGGCTGCGATCCTAGATTGATAGATGTATCTGCATAGCCCTAAAGACACAAACCTTTTTTTTTAAAAAAAACAACCTCCAAATCAAAAGTCAAGTTTTTGGTTTTTTTAAAAGTTAAAACAAAAATTACATGCTCAATCTCTTCCAATTTTAGTGGTTGCACTTCTTTTTAAACTAATTCTTTGTCTAGATTAGGGTTAGTTAACCTGTGAACCACTAGGTACTGTTGTACTATAATTCCCATCATCCCTCACTATTGGCTATGCAGGTTGGCAATGATGAGAGTCCAATAACAGCTAGAGCGCTACAACTTTCCCACTTGAGTCTAGACCCTTGTTATTTACTTTTTTTCACATATCCAAGAACCAGGTTACATTAGCAAAACTTCTTGCACTTAACAAATGGTACTGGCATTCTCTACGCACGTATTTGTGTCAGCACCATCAATCATCAGGCTTTAACATTTGCCAGCTCCATTAAGGCCCCCCACCAAGAGCAGGACCTTTACACTTTCCTTAGGTTCAGCCAGAATAGACACAAAACATCTTGCTCTCATGTATATTCAGCACTCTGTGAGAGGTGAGCCCCCACCCCCCCAGTACTTTTGAACAATGTAGTGGATACAGGGATATAGTTCAGATAGCAGCTGGGTTGAAGGAAGCACATTAGTCCCTTGATGTGGCAGATCACCATGTTAACATGCAATTTGTTCCTGACCCTCTGGGATGATCTCGCATTGCAAGTCCCTCATTACTTGAGTCCAGAGACAGAAGGTTCTGCTTGACAAAGTTGCCCAAAACAAAGGAATGTATAAACCAAGTGAGCAGAGATTTGGCCAAATCACATAAACTGCTGCCAGCCATGTTCATTATCTCTGTGGATCACCTACATTTATCCCCACAAATATATACCCAAGGAAGACCAAGACTGCTTGTGTACTCAATAAATGTGTGGTCTTACTCTAACTCTTGCAGATTAACCAAAGCTTTGGAGGGCAGGGGTAAAAAAATAAAAATAAAGTTTGTCTTACTATCTGTTGCAGGGCTGAGAAATCTTCAGGAGATCAGAGTTTTAGTTGCTTCTTCTCGTCATGACATATTTAAACTTCAGCTAGAAAGGGGGGAAAGCAGAATACAGATACAAGGAGCCCCCAACTTCAGTCCTAAAGCAATGTTGGGTACCATTGAACTTCTGAGTAAACTTGCATAGGATTTTACAGTACAATGTCGTATGCAGCTAATATGCATAGTATAAAATAAGCAGATAGAAACATTTCCCCCTTCGTTCATAAAACCAACATTCAAAGTGCAGGCTAACAAGTAGATTGACAAGACAGGCAAAAAGACAGGCAAAAAACACATAATGAATTCATGGAATTCAGCTGTAAGCTGCGGTGCTGACCACTAGCTCAGACAGCTCTAATAGACAAGAGCGTAGGTTTACAAATCACTATCAAGCATGATAGGTGGAGCCTTCTGGGTCACCATCAGAACACCACTGAATACCAGATGCTAGGTCACCACTGTGAGGAAAATCTATTTCCTTACTTGTGGACTTCCCAAAGGCAGCTGACAGGCTACTGGGGGGAAATAATATGCTAGAGTACATGGATCTTTGGTCTGATCCAGCAAGACCTGTCTTAAGATTGACCACCCTTCTATTTAACCTCATAGGTGCCAAATTATGAACACTACAACATGTAGCTGTATATGTAGTATATATGTAGTAGTATTTGACTTGTGGGAATTCAGTAACACATTCGGTGCTTTTAAACTTTAATGTTGTTGTGGGAATACACTAGACAAAAACTGTGGAGCACAGAAAGTACACTAGAACTAACACCACCAATCACAATGCTAGTTACCTAATTTTTGAATAACTGTGTACAAAATGTGATATAATGAGATTTCTTTTTGTCACATATTTCTCAATGGAGATGAAAGAAGGCAAGGAATGTTTTTTTAAGCACTGTACAAGATACTTTCCGAATAACCCAAACACATTAAGGACATGCAGCCTCTGCAATTGTTTACTTTATTTAATACAATCTGAAATCTGACAGCTACAGCCTTGAAAACACAATCTTTAGATCACATAAACTTTCTTGCATTTCAAGGAAATAAGAATAAAAAAATTCTACATTGTAGAAGGAAGTTATAATTGCTGCTATCCACGATCAGGCATGGAAACCACAACTGCAAGTCTGCAGTCTAGGCTTATATAAAGTCTCATTCAAGGGAGGCCTATTATAGGCAGTAAGTGGATCTAAAACAAAAAAGGAGTTCTCTATCACACTAACAAAAACCTTGGTATACTACCCTAATATAAAAATGATCCACTGGGCCCTTGTAAAAGACAGTGAAGGGTTTGCTTTTTCAATTCAGCTTTATTTGAAATAAGGTTCCCTTTTAATTAGATTATTCAATGTAGTACAGTCCCCATACGTTGAAGGGAGATCATTGTAGCTATATACAAGTAAGCAAAGTCCATTAATTCTGGTTCAATGTGATTAGCTGTCTTACAACCTGATCCTAATCACGTCTGCTTAGAAGTCTATTCCATGAACAGTCCAAATGAGACTTGGCTGCAACCCAAGAACACTTATTTCCGAGCAAAAATGAGTAGGGCTGATCAGAAGGTTTTCATAAGTTATTCAGAATCAGAAAGCATTGCTAGGTCAACATCTGGGGGTAAATATGAGCAAAACTTTGGTGTTATAATGTTGTAAAATATCCACTATGTTCTACAATGTCCCAATTTTCAGCCATAAACTAAAATGAACAAGTTATTAACTGAATGAACAGGCTGCAATTAATGCTGTAAGAAGACAGCATCTTAGGCAGCCTCAAGCTCATCTTAAAATCAGACAGTTAACCCATTCCTTATAGAACTGCCACCCCACCAATAACTTCTGTGCCAGTTGTTTATTTTCATCTGGAAATTTATGTCCCAGTATCTAGGTTCTCCTACAGAAATTCTGAAAAGTTTGGAGTGCCATAAATGCAGTTAGGAAGTCATTCGCTGCATGGGATCCAGATGTTTGCTCTCACCTTAGACCTTTTAGCGAGAAGACACTTGCACCTTCTCAGCTCTCAAACTACAGTATTTTGTCACTGGGAAATGTGAATCTTCCACAAGGTACTGTATCGATCGAGATTGCTATTTGCAATGCGGTTGCACAAGTCTCAAGGACATGCGTTAGGTAACGCCTATGACATCACTGGTGATGAATCACACAAATCCCACCCTTCGTACAGAAGTGATTTTTCAAAGACAGCCACACCACTAACAGAACGCTTGAATTAGTTTGTTGTTGTTGGTAGTACAGGAAGAACGCTCCCATTGGTTCTCAAAAGAGAAAACCAGTCAAATGTGGCAGGGCCAAACAAGATATAGGTTGGTAGACCTGACTTTTAGATGCAGGACTGCCCCAATATAAAGGAGTAGGATTTTAAGAGCCAAAGGAAGGCATGGATGCGGAAGAGGGACAAACCTTTCCTCTGCTTGCATCTCAGCCTCACTGCAACACAGGCACTTTTCTCAATGAGGTTTAAGAGACTGGCCAATCAGGAGAAACAGCAGACATTACTCTGCTGCAAAGTTTTGACTGTGGAGTCCTGAGTTCAGCTACATCGCCCCATGCCACTTCCACACATAAAGATTACCTTGGCTATTTTCAGAATGACCTTACACAATACATTTTTTTTGCAGCTGACTGCGCAGGGCTTTTGATTTCATAAAACTGTATTCATATCTTTTTTTAAAAAAAGCGAGGCAGAATAGATGATATATTTATATCCGATATTTATATTCTTTCAAGAATTCCTTCAGTCTTGTTGGCAAAGGAAGTTCCTGGATCTCATTAGTGTATCTGTTTATAGCTACCCTACAGCAGTGCTGTAGAGATGAAGTTGAATGACAGAGAGGTTTATTCAAATACAGATGGACTGTTCCATTGGAAGGCATTTCAGACGCAGTTCTTCTGTCCTTGCACATAAGAACGTAATATTCAATCAGGTGGACCACACTGTCAAACTGCCGGAGCCTTGACCGAACACAGATAATGGAATCCAGTCGGAATTTGCCATCTTGAAATTCTATGCGTAGGTTGGTAGGTCCGACTGACGTTTTTACTGAAATAGTAAGCAGGTACTCAGAGTGCGAGCTGTCTCTGACCAAGAAAGTCCCTTCAGATGTATCTTGTAATCTCTCCTTGGCTTCTACAACACTCAAGTTACCCCAGTACCATCCTGATAAGAGGAGGAAAACAAAGTTACTCAAGTAGATTCCACTAGAAGGACCCCCACCCATTTACAGTCACTGCTGAACCAAACACTTACTGGGTGGCCCTGAACAACTCACTGCCTCTCACTCTTAGTGAAAGGGGCCTGTCTCAAGCACAAGAACAATTTTCCTCTGCAGTGTCTCTACCTGAGAATAAGTCCCATTCAACACTGAGGGGCTTACTTGAGTCAGCAGTGTGCACAGAATTGGTCTGCTCAAGTGCTATAATAAGTGACAGAAGTAGTTAAGCTCATGCTATCCTGCAATGTGTCTTATTTGATTAACAGTAACTTTAACCCCAAAGTACCCCAACAAAGTTCTGGTGCCTGAAACTATATGCAGAGAGCACAACAGCAAAGCACAATATAATCTTTACAGATGCAGGCATACTTACAGCCAAAGATTCTTCTTTATCTTGGGCAAAACAAATCAGGGATGGGGAAACCATCCCTTTCACGTAATAACTTCCCACATCTTCAATCTTTTTTTAAAACTAAAGAGAATATTTTGCTGTCTAGCTTTTGTAGGAAAACTGTTTTCTTTGTTCGTACAAATTCCCATGACAAGGCAGTAAAATTCTAATCACTGCCCTCTTGAAAAGCCTTTCCTGGAAGAAATGTAGGACATAATAAGCTGAAAGACTTTAAGCGAATATTCTGTCCATGTGAGAGATTCTGCTCCATAACTACACTGAACAAATTAAACTGTTTTCTGCTCAAGACACAGTTCTGTTTCCCCAGAAAGTCTCCAGCGACTCTCGATTCACAGAGAAGGCTGCCGAATAAATTAAAAGACAGCCTTTGAGAGGCACCGTTATCCTTGAAGCAATCCTAATACGCGACACCCCGCGAAATACACGTCTGTAACCCGAGGTACCACTGTAATCCACACGTATCCACGCCTCCCAATCCGAAACGTGAAAGCCAACACAAAACGAAGTTGTGGCACACCACTATAGAAGTTTATTTAACGCTTAGAAAGGGAGAGTGTGGATTTTTCGTTTTCTTCTCCTTCGCAAAGCCTCGCCCTGAGATCACTATAGAAGATGGGTGGTTTTCTACCTTGCTCCGCTCGTTATTTTAGGTCGCGAATCCTCGGAACGAAAACCTCGACGCAGCTTTCCAGGGAGCCTCCTCAATGGCAAAGGGGGAGGAGGGGGAAGCATTCAGGCTTGCGGGGTATTTTTGACTCGCATCTCGAGCCAAAGCTCTTGCTCTTCCTCCCCCGACGCGCGGCCCCCGAAGTTGCGCGTCCCATTTCCCGATCCTACAGAACGCGCGCAGATGTCGCGCTCGTCCTCTCGGGAACCCGATCCAGGTCCGCTTTTCCTCCCAGCCCTTCCCACGCTACAGCCCCGAAGGCACCGGCAGGGAAGGAGGCGGGGAGCCCCTCCGGTTCCCACAACCGCACAAGTCCCCCCCCCCTTTGTATCTGGCCATTGTCCGGGGAGCGCAGCAAAAGGAGAAACCCCCAGCCTTTTCCTCTTTGGTCACCCCGGGGCAACCCCGGAGGGACCTTCACCTCGCCAAGGCCACGATTGCTCCTAATCGGACTTACCTGCGAGCCTCAATTCCCGCATGGCGAACTCCAGGCGCTCCTCCTCGGAAGGCTCCACCGCCACTGCTGCTGCTCCGGCAGCCTCCCACTGGGGCCCAGTCCTGTCGGTGCCATCCGAGGATTCGTCCGAGCGCAGGGTCATTTGGCGGCTCGAGGTTTGGGAGAGGGGGAGGGCGAGCGAGCGAGCTAGGAGCGCCGTGCCCCGGCCCCGAGGCCCCGGCGGCTGCCCCAGCCCATCCGGATCCTGGCCGCCAGCAACCTGCAACCCTGCGGGAGAGAAAAAGCGCCGGTGGCCGCTTAGGAGCGCTCCTGCGGAATCCCGCTAGGCTGGGGCGCCTTGCAGAGCATCCGCTGCAAGGAGAGCGAGCGCAAGAGGTCCTTCCCGCTTCGCCCCGATTTCCTCGCAGGGGAGGCGGCTCTCCCGCCTTTGGGCAAGCACTAGAGAAGGTGGGGAAGGGCCCCTCGCCGGTTTCCACCTGGGCCAGACCCGGGACAGCGCGATCGGGCTCCCTCTGGCTGGCCTCAAGGTGGAGCGCCTTCTCCTCGCTTTCCAGGCAGGCAGGCGCGCGGGCTGCTGTCGAGGAAACACGCGGTGGGCGGCCCCGGGGGCGAGCCGGGGGGGGGAACCGCGCGCACTCCGGAAAACTCTTACCTCCGCCTGCAAGCGCCGCATGGATTCCCCGCCCGGCCGCCCCGCTTCCCCCTCCCCGCACTGGCCGAAGGCGCTTGCAGGAGCTCGCCTTTGTTTTGGGAACCCGGGAGGCCAGCGCGCTCAGCCTCGCTTTTGTTGCAAGAGGGAGAAGCGCGCTGCTGGCTGGGCGGAGACGGATCGGCCAGCAGCGGCGGCTCTGTTTCTCTCCAGCCCCCGGCAAGCCTGGCTCTCTCGCAGCGGGGGCAGGCAGGCGAGTGCAGGTTATTCTTCTCTGCAAAGAGCTGTTACTACCAAGGGCAGGAAATCTGCATGTGACGCCGTGACGCCCAGCAAACAATTCCCGGCGGGCTGGAGGGATTTTCTCGCTGGCGCGCGCGCGCACGCGCTACCAACCCCGCCGCCGGGTAGGGGGTGAGGGGGTGGGGGAGAGAGGCAGGCATAACGAAGAGGACAGAATGCACGTGGGGAACGCATCAAACACCCCTCCCCCCCACCCCGGACTCGCTGCATATTATTTATTTGCTCTGAAGGAATTGGGGCCGGCAGCTTTCAACAAGGGGGGGCGGGTCCTGCATGGCTTCTCAGCTCGACGGCAGCTCGCAAACTTCAAAACAAGGAGGCGCGTCGTCGGGAGCGAAGTGGGTGCTCGGCTCCGCCGCCTCCTTTGCCGCCTTCCTTCGCTCCCTCCCTCCCTTCCTCGAATGGTAAAAATGCAAAGGCCGCTTTCCAAGAACTTTCCAGGAACCGCGTCACGTGACAGCCCGGCTCCTGCGCCTCGGCTTTCAATGGGGCTCGTCTTGCAGCAGCAGCCGCCACCGCCGCTCCTTTCTCTCTCGCTCTCCTCACAATAGGAGTGGGAGGGAAGTGGTGCGGTTGCAAAAACAAAACATAAGCGCCTGTCGCCCTGAATAACAGCATCGCCCGTCCGTCCGCCCGCCCCTGAAAATGGTTTTTTTTTTTGCAATCGCTAGGAAGCAGCCATTTCTTCCGACTGACCGGTTGCCAATGGAAAAGAGTCGATGTTGTTGTTGTCAGAGAGATTCTGGTGTCTGTAGCTATTGAAAGAGAACTGACCGGAGAAACGTGCCAGTGGCCCAATGGGTTAGTGCATCTGGCTGTTAACCAGAAGGTTGGTGGTTCGAGACCACCCGGGTATTGCAGAGGGTTGGACTAGATGACTTTGGGAGTCCCTTTCAACTCGGATGATTCTATGAAATGTGTCGTACGAAACTGGTTAGGCTGGCTGGAGATATGTGATCTTTACTTCATCGATGGGAGGTACGCCGAACCTGCGTGTCGATGGTGCGCGAATCTGTTCTGTGTGTACGTGGCAGACGCGTGTACGTACTCTGGTAAGCCACCATTGGCAGCGCAGCTTCGCGTTGCGTGTACACATGCCTTCGCCGAGTACGTGTGTGCGATTGTGACACAGTGATGGGTCGGTGCTTTCCCTTTGAAAGTGTGCAGTGGCCCAGAGGTGCCGGTTTAAGAGGCAACGAAATCGCTGTTGATAATGGTCGAATAGGTAATGTGCATTCCTTCAAAATGTGGCAAGCTAGCCGTTTTAGATCTGCTTGTTTCCCCCAGAAGGAATGGGCATGGTGTGCCAATGAGTTTGTACTGGGGAAAATCTATAATCATTTCTAATGATTTATTCCTGTACATTCACATGTAAATAAATCCTGTTGAACACAGTGGGGCTTCATTCCAAATAAACATAGGATTTGGGTTGCAAAGTGGCAAAGGAAACGACTGATCCATTCTTCTTAGTGAACAAAATGAAATTGCCCGTAAGGGGGGCACTGTGAATAGCCAAGCATTATTCCAGCACCTCACCAAGTTTAGTAAAGCTCACGGAATGAAGGCAATTTGTTTCTTTCTTGTTGGAGAATTTCCCCATGTAATTGGCATTGGGCTTGATACTGCATCATATGCATGGACAGTGAAAACAGGTTCCTACAAACACACCACCACTGTTTCCTTTAAGGATGTGTATTAAAAAAAACCTTTTGGCACCTGCTTGTTGTGGTTTAGAACCTGTAAAAGACAAGAAACCTGTTTTACTAGTTGGTACTGAATGCAGTGAAATATTGTTAATGAGAGTTCTACTCTATACAGTGGTGCCCCGCAAGACGAATGCCTCGCAAGACAAAAAACTCGCTAGACGAAAGCGTTTTGCGTTTTTTGAGCTGCTTCGCAAGATGAATTTCCCTATGGGATTGCTTCGCAAGACGAAAACATCTTGCAAGTTTGTTTCCTTTTTCATAAAACCGTTAATACCCGGGGTGCATTGCTTGAAGAGGTGCAGTTGCGACTTGACTTCGAGGAGCAACTCATAGAACGCGGTGTGGTAGCCTTTTTTGAGGTTTTTGAAGACTTTGGTGATATTTGAAGCTTTTCCAAAACTTCTTTTGCAGCCATTTGGTAAGTTAAACTTTTAAAACTTTTTTTGGGGGTTTTTGGATTTTGGGTTGGGGTGTTTGGAATTCAAGGACTTGGTGTTGGGGAGGGGTTTGCAAGAATCTGGAAGCATGTGTGTTTTTTTTCTGCATTTTTATGATTTTTTGTGACCATTGGGCCACTCTGCTGTTGTTGTTTTTTAAAAAAAATCTGGATTTGAATTTCTGTGTGGTGGGTGGCTTGGGGAACAGTTGAGGAGGGGTTTGCAAGAATCTGGAAGCTTGTGTGGTTTTTTCTGAATTTTTATGATTTTCTGTGACCATTGGGCCACTCTGCTGTTTTTTAAAAAAAATTCTGGATTTGAATTTCTGTGTGGTGGATGTGACTTTAAAGAGCACTTAATAAACTCTTGTTGTACCAAATTTGGCTTTGTTTGGACTTTTTTTAACCATAGGAACGCATTAATTGAATTTCAATGCATTCCTATGGGATTTCGTGCTTCACAAGACGAAAAATTCGCTAGATGAAAAAACTCGCGGAACGAATTAATTTCGTCTTGCGAGGCACCACTGTAAATTACTATTGGCCACTGAATAATCAATCAATCAATCAGTCTATAGTAAGATAATGCCTTAGGCACTGAAAATAAAACAATGGTGTGCTTAAAGCTTTTTCTTTAACTTTTGTGGCGGCAGGAAAACAACACAAAAAGTTATTGTGATAGATATATCGCATTTATGAATGTGTGGCATGTTATCCCAAGCAAGCCCCAGTCATGTTTACGTGGAATTTGGTCCTAGTGAGATTATTACTATTTATTATTTATTAAATTTTTATATAGCACTGTATCTGTAGATCTTAGGGCGGTTCACAACATAAAAGATGAAAGATACTCTCTCCCAAGTGAAGTGTGTGTAGAATTGCAGCCTTAAACTGCAGCTCTGAATGGTTGTAAATACAGGGTTCAGACTTAGGGCCACGTCATACATTAAGCATTTGGTTCCACTGTATATTTTTTAAATAGAAAATCCAGAGTGTTCGCCATGCTTTACATCTTTTCCTCCTCAGGCTGGCAGGAGGGTGAAGCCCATGTAATGCTAGCCTTGAATTACATTTGACTTTTTATTTTACTTAGAAAGCATAAACCCTACCCTTTCCGTGCAATTTAAATTACGTAAACAATTACAAATAAAGAAGCCCCATGGAGGAAGTAAAACAGCATAACAGTGGGAACATCTTAATCCATCAACATAAAACCCATCTGCTGCAAGACAGTTTGTTAAATGGAAATACAAAAATAAAATCTCTTCACGTTTCTTACTAAAGCTGAGAAAATAATGAAAGAAGTGGGTTTATACCTTTTAAAAATGCAGCACCCAGGCTAATTTTGGGATTTAGGGCCATATAATGCCAATTCTGTGTGAGCTCCTCTGATCTGCGTTTGGTTCCTATGCAAGGGGCTGGTTCTTAACTTCGCAATTCAGTACTTTCCATGTTTCCTTAGAAGCCCCACTGTCTTTGAGAGGTTTACTCCCTAATTAAAAGTGTTTATGATTGCACCCTTAAAACTCTTAGTAATCTGGGACTAGGGTACTTGAGGAAGAGTGTCTTTTTTCATGTGTACCTGCCTCCTTAGAGTGCTATTGCCTATCACTGTTAGTGGCTCTCTGAGAGGAATGGCTCTCAGGTTGTTTGAGCCAATGGCCCCAAGAAAGCCCATTTACCAGATTTTAGGACTGTGACTCCTTTAAATGGGCTTCAGAGACTTGTTCAGTTTGATAGGCATTTTATGGTTTATAAATAATTTTTATGGTTTAAATACCTGATCGGTTTTCTTGGTTGTTGTATTCCATTCCCACTTATTTTCTTCAGATAGGTTTGTTATTTTTAGATTGTATTCTGCTTTCATTTTTGTTCCCCTTTTTGAATTGTTATGTTGAAAAGGCAAGTTTCCTAGATAAGTAAGCAAAATATTTATGTGTGCTTCAAACTACGTTGTATCTGTCTGTTGTAAGCAATTGTTATGAATAGGGAGGACTTTGATTCCCCCTACGTTTACTTCAAATAATTGGGGTTAGCTTCTGGCTAAGGCCACGGTTCTTGGCTTACTTTCCAGGAAGCAATTCCCATTGGAACTTGTTTCCAAGTAAACATGCTCAGGATCTGGTTTATATGGGTTTTTAGAATTTGTAGGTGTTAATTCATTTCCTGAACACATCATGTAGAGAGTAATATGTAACTGGCTATTTGTCCAGTACAAGACGGGTATGGTGGCAAAGTAGAAAACGGCATTGTAGATTTCCATGTTTCTAATTCTAATGCTATATTAAAAACTCTTGCTTTTGACTGAGTTGAGAAAAGTAATTTGCAAGCATATCTGTTTAGAGCACTTTGTCCCATGAGTACATTATTTCTAGCACTAGCTGGTTAAAAGTACATTTTCAATGCATTGGATTCCTATTTACTTCTTTGTTGTCTTCAGATTTGGGCTCCAATCCTGTGCCTAGTTCCTTGTGAACCATGAACTTATTTAATGAGCTTACCTTGTGAACTCTGAGCTTACCTCTGAGTAAATTGCATAGGACTAAGCATGATTATCAAATTATGTGTAGTAAACACTTTCTGAGATATATCCACATGTTAAAACTTGTTGCTAATTAAGTATACAATTATGAGACGGATATACCTTATAGTTAAGCTATAATTTATTGACTAGTTCAGAAACATTAGTTTCCCTTCTGGGGGACAACAACTCTGTAAATATTCCTAAGGCACATTTTTGGTTTGTCTTGTACGTACTAGAATTAATGTCAGCAGAACAGGTCCGTGGGTGTTTTTAAAAATTCAGAGCACAGTTGGGAACAAATCTGTTGTGGAAGACAGTTTCATTTAATATGGCCTAGTTTTAGACTTGAAAAATTTTCTTAAGCCCATCTGATTCATCCTGAAAAAATTCTGCAATGTATTCTGAGACAAATACGTCTTTATTAAGTATTTGTGGTATGTGACTTCATCCAGTTTTTGTTTGTTAATTTTTTAAAAGATATAAACAGCATCTTTAGACTTTCTCTGCTGCTAAATTGCTTTCTCATGATCCTTTGTTTGAATTTTCAAGAAACCTTTTCAGCTTCCTGCTGAAAAGAGAAATATGGGGTCACTAAAAAAGGATTTCCAAAGGGTTATGGAGTAAGCAATAATATAAAAATACAGAGGAAGTTATTCTCCCTCAGATTTAATTACAGAAAAAAGACTCATTAGGGTTCTTGTACTTGGCAAGTAGATTAATTAATTACCTATTCTTTTATTATGTTCTACCTCCAAGGAACTCAGGGAGTCTCCCAAGGTTCTCACTTTTTTGGCCTACCATGCATAAGGTAGGTTAGGCTGGGAGAGAGTGTGATTGGCCCAAGGTCAGCTGGGGAACTTCAAGACCAATTGGAGATTTGATTCTAGAGCAGTACATATTCCAGTACCCTAACCACTGCTTTATGGGATCTTGCAGTATTTAATTGAGAACAGAATCTGCTTTTCCCCTCTGCAGCGACTGTAGTACTGAAATGCAGAGAACAGAAAGCCTCCCTCTGGAGTAATAGCAGCTGGTGGGTCCCGTTGTTGATATTTTCATATTTAGCAGGATTGTGTGGCAGTGCTTTAAATACTTGTGTCTTGGGCTAGTATTTTAATATGTCACAGTATTTTTTCAAAACTTTTTGAGTTATCCCTCTTCTTTTCCCCTGCTGTCCTCACTTCCAAATTGAACCTGAATACCGGAAAATTTGGGACAGATAAAATCAACACAGCATGTAGTTGATGGGATTCACTCCCACAAGATATAGTGATGACACTAACATGGATGGCTTTAAAAGAGAATTAGACAAATTCATGGAGGATAAGGCTGTCAATGACTACTAGAAAGAGGGCTATGTTCTACCTCCACTGTCAGAGGCAGTATACATATGAACACTATGGCAATCAAATAGGGAAAACTGCTGCTACACTCAGGTCCTGCTTAGGGGCTTTATACAAGCATCTTCGTGGCCCCTTTGAGGACAACGATACTGGACTAGATGGGCCTTTGGCCTGATCTACCTGTATTCTTATGTAAACCTCAAAAAGTGGGGAAATGAAGATTTTTTTGCTAGTAAGAAATTTGGTACGAAAATGAAGGAAGTGATGGCAGTGTTTCAATAAGAAATCATTTGGTATCTTAAATATGAATTTGGGGGGACATGACTGCCATACTGTGCATACTTACCTGGGAGTAAGCTCTATTGAACTCAGTGATGCTGACTTCTGAATGCATTGGCTCAACCAGTAAAATACATTAAACTATATCAAAGGTTTTTCATCAGCCAGCTGAAATGTAACCTTTTTTTGTTTGGAAATACAAGCAATATTTAAAAAAAAAGTGGTATCATTTAAATAGGGAACCTGAAATTGGAATCCCTACCAAAGAAAAAAAAAGTGTGCAACCTGATTATTTGCCCGACTTCCTCATTTGTTTCTGTTTCTTTATTGATCCTAGACCAGGGTGGATTTGATTTAAATCAAATCAATTTAAATCACGATTTAAATCACTAGTCAGTAAGACTTGATTTAAATCTTCTTCTTTTTTTTTTTAACAGAAAGACTCATTATTGCTGGTATAATCTTAATATTTACAACCAGATGAAGGTTTCGTTTTTGGAATAAAAAATTTATAAAAATAATAGATTTTTTTTTAAAAAATCACTGCTTTTTATCCACCCTGTCCTAGACCCTTCCAGATTAGAAAACAACTTTCAGTTCTGACATTTCTCAGTGACCGCAAGAATTGTAGACTGAAAGTGAATCAAGCTCCACCTTCCATTCTCCCAGTCTTGTTTTTAACCTGAGTTCTTGGCGCCAGTTTATTAACGTAGATAAGATAACAAGCATTTTCTAACCTACAGAGAGACTGGTTTGATTCCCTCCCTCTCCACACCTTCTGAAGGGTGTGGCCAGTGCAGCAAGGGCCCTGGTTAGTGATTTGATGGAAGCCTGGCTGCAAACTTAACCACACTTGCTAGGGCAGGGGGTCTCAATTTGGGGGGGGGGGGCCTGGGGCACATTTGGAAATCCAATAAACTGTAGACACGGCAAAATACCCATCTGGCAGAGGAAGAAAAAACAGTAATCCTCAGAATCGCACACATACGCCAATAAAAAGAAAACAAACCCGTAAGCCAAACACATGTGTACCCGAAACAAATATACACAAACCCAAAACAAAATAGGTGATTTCCCAACCCCCAAAGCAAAAAACAAACAAAAAAACCCACCCTTGGTGAGTACCAAGAAGTGTGCCTGAGGGGGCTACATTGAACTCAGGCTTTCTTCTGAATAAATTTGGTTAGGATTGTACTGTCAAACTGGTAAACGCCTTCTAGCAATGAGTTACAGACTGGATGAGAGTAAAAGCTTAAAACACGTTTCCTCTTGTGCCCCAAATTGAAGTTTGCCCTGCTCGTTGCAAAAATGAAGATTCGGAGAACAGGGTTACATTCAATAAGTTATGGGAAGGTGTAATATGTTTTCTGACAAATGGAAGACAATGTTACATAATTAACAGTGTGTTGAATTTGGACTACAGGGGACCAGAGTTGAGATCCTTGAGAGGGAGAAAACAAAGCAACACATAAATGCAGTGCTTTTTTTTCTAAAATAAAAATGTTTAGGGGTACTCTCATTTTCCTACTCATATTGAAATACTGCCCCTCAATGAGGCCAAACTTAGATTCACAAAATGTTTAGGGGTATGCATATCCCTGCGTACCCCATGAAAAAAGCACTGCACAAATGCAAACTTTTTCCGACTCCTTACTGAAAAGAGAATATGCATTCTTGTACTTGAGACCCTTTTTTACTGCAGTATTGCTGAGGCTCTTCACATATTTTCTCACTTAAGCAAGAATTTTTTTTCTAACCAAAGTGGCATAGCAGAATATGACAAATAACATGACAACTTTACTGTTTTTCCTGAAAAGAAGTATGCTAATTAAATTGAACACATGAATTTGCCTTATACTGAAGGCCAGACTAGATGCAAGATTTAAAAATACATCTTTGCATTAACATGCAAATTGTAAAAAATGCAAATAGAAGGGCTGATAATTGGGATCATCGTAGGCATAGCAGTTGCAGGGTGTGAGTCTAACCCGTTCCTCCCCTGCTGTGGTCCTAACAAAAAATTATCCTGCAACATTACCGTTTCCAATGTGCTTGTAGTATTTATTTTCCTGCTGTATTTTGAACTCTCTGGATACTCTTCAGTAAGCAATTCTCAATCTGTTTCCCCACCTTAAAAGAATTCTTTATTCATAACTACAAATTTAACGCACAAGTTTGTTGTGAAACAGAAAGCAACTAACTAACTCTATGCCTATCTATCACACGGATGAAAGATGGGGTTCCCAGACTATGGCTGCATTTGTTTATATCTGGAATTATTTCCAGAATTATTTCCAGCCTTGACCTGGCCATTGAAATCTTACGTTTGCCTAAAAATTGGATATTATGGGGTGGGGAAATTTTATGTTCATGTTTGCTTTAGTACATATTGGCCGAAGGTTATTATGTATATCTGATGGTTTGACGAAAACTAGTTTTTTTGTGTTTTTAAAGAAATCAGCAATTCTGAGAATTCAGGCAGAAAATGAGTAATTCTGAGAATTCAGGAAGTGTGCTGCATGTCACGCCTTCCTCCATTTGAGCCAACACAGACTTTGAGACTCGGATCCCAACAGGTTTTACATAATGGCACCCATGCAAGTCTAGCTCTGTGTGCCAGTGTCAACTATTATGTTGGGGTGGGAGGAAGTATTCCTGCCTGCCTTCCACATGCTGCTTTCTTTGGTCTTGGAAGAAAAACTCGCACTTGGATTTCAACATAGTATTTCTCTCCTTCCTGGTTTCAGTTCAGAGTTAGCATAGGAAGACCTGTTTTCTAGCCCTGCCACAGGATGGGCTCTTCTCCAATTAGAACATCGGGAATGCTTGGCAAGAATAAACTTCAGGAATACTTGGCTGCGTTTTCATTTTACAACAGAAGTACAGACTAGGGATGACAGTATCTTACTCAGTCTTAAAGGTGATGGTCCAGTTGGAGGAGTTGCCTCTTCCTTAACAACCGTTTTGGGGTGATCCCAGATACCTGCTAGGCAAGAATTTGAATCCACACCTTTTTATTTTGCTCAGGGCTGGGACATGGTTGAAGAATATGAAGAAGTGGAAACCTACAAGGAATTGTTGGAGGCAGGTGAGAGAAATTACTAGTTTGGTTCCTTATGGAATTTATGCCATACTCTTCAAAAGGTGAAGCTTGCAATAAAACAAAAGCATTGAAATTCTATCTTCTGTTTTAATTTATTGAGTTTATTAGCTCTAATCCAGTCCATTACCCAGGAACAATTTATATGTGCATTAAATTTTGTTACCTGCCTAATAGTGTGCTTCTGTAGAACCAATTGAAAAGACAGTGGTATTTTCGCTTAATTTCTGCACCTGCTAATTATAATGTACAACAGATTAAGGTTTATTACACCTGCTCCACCCACTTAACAATAAACAAACAATCTAGCCTCTAGATGGGGAAACAGGAATATCAGGTTTAAGCTTGCTGATGGCTGCAAAGCATTTTAGATGCAATTAAGATAATAAAATTGTGAGGGAAACCTGTTGAGGCCTTTGTACTCCTGACTGCAATCTGGTGAATGAAGAAGGACTGCTTGTTGCTATCTAATTCATTTAACCTAACTAAAATGAGAGAGTGAAACCAACATTTTGGTAAGGACAACTGAATTTGTAGAAAACTAAGGAACTGCCATCAGTGATTGTGTCATTTTATCATATTTACTTGGAAGACCCCCTGAGTCAGTTTAACTTATTCCCAAATAAGTATGCATTGGATTTCAGCCTTTTAGCCCCGTCCCACACAAAAAGCAGGCAAAGCCAAGAGACCCTAGGACAGTGAGAATGCAGAGTGTGTACTTTACCTCTGCGGTACCCGGAATTGGTTTGTGGTCTTGTGTTCTTCAGAAAAGAAATACAATTTTTATTCACGGATGCTTTCAACGCATATACAATTAGATTACATGGCACCCACCCCCAACGTATTCCCATGTTAGTGTAACACAATGCAAACAACATTTAAGTATCCCTAAAATCTTGAAAGACCTATACCAGTGAGACTGCATTTCTGCTTTTTGTGTGTGCGATGGATTGCTGTTCATTATTAATGCAGTGGTACCTCGGGTTACATATGCTTCAGGTTACAGACTCCGCTAACCCAGAAATAGTACCTCGGGTTAAGAACTTTGCTTCAGGATGAGAACAGAAATCGTGCTCCAGCGGCGCAGCGGCAGTGGGAGGCCCCATTAGCTAAAGTGGTGCTTCAGGTTAAGAACAGTTTCAGGTTAAGAACGGACCTCCGGAACGAATTAAGTACTTAACCCAAGGTACCACTGTATTGCACATTAAAACTTCAAATATAAAATCCAAACACTTAGTCCATGCACAGGGATTACATAAGTGCTATGTTTGTGGTTAAGTAGCAATCTACTATCTAAAATATAACTTTGTTTTAGGTATTCTATCGTTAGCTTATTCATGAAAGCAACAGCGAATGAGCAAGCAGTGTTCCCAAATATATGAACAAGGCAATGAAATGGTTCAAGATGTTATACTGCAGATATATGCAGTGGCCTCTCTCTGTGGTTTTTGTATAATGAAAAGCAGCAGAGAGAGCCTGGAACCAGAGGGTGGTATTCAATTAAGTTCTACTCAACAGTATACCCACTGAAATTAATGAACCTGCCTTAATTAAGCCAATTAATGTTATTTATTTATTTAGTGCATTTATATCCCATCTTTTCCTCCATGGGGCTCAAAGTGGCTTATATAGTTATCATGCCCCTCATTTAATCCTCACAACCACCCTGTGAGGTAGCTTAGGCTGAGAGATGGTGACTGGCCCATGGTCACCCAGTGAGCTTCATGGCCAAGCGGGGAATTGAACTCTGGTCTCCCAGGTCCTAGTCCGACTCTCTAACCACTGCACCACCACTGAAAAGATAAAGTTAGTTGAATACCTTCAAGAGATTCAAGAGAAATGCTTAACTCTTTCTTCTCCAGCCATTATCTTGCTCAGTCACTCCCCAAGCTGCTTTCCCACTGCTGGAGAATAAAGGCACAGCTCATTTGAGGGTGTGTGTGTGTGTGTGTGTGTGTGTGTAGGGACGCGGGTGGCACTGTGGGTTAAACCACAGAGCCTAGGACTTGCCGATCAGAAGGTTGGCAGTTCGAATCCCTGCGACGGGGTGAACTCCTGTTGCTCGGTCCCTGCTCTTGCCAACCTAGCAGTTTGAAAGCACATCTAAGTGAAAGTAGATAAATAGGTACTGCTCCGGCGGGAAGGTAAATGGCGTTTCCGTGCACTGCTCTGGTTTGCCAGAAGCGGCTTAGTCATGCTGGCCACATGACCTGGAAGCTGTACACTGGCTCCCTCGGCCAATAAAGCGAGATGAGCGCCGCAACCCCAGAGTCGGCCACAACTGGACCTAATGGTCAGGGTCCCTTGACCTTTACCCAGTGGGCAAGGTAAGTTGCAGTTGGTTGGGAAGAGGTTTGCACTCCTTTTGTCTGCTTGTTTTAAAAATCTTCCACTCACCCCTTTTTGTAGTTTCTAAATGATTGGGTGTTTTAAGCACATTTAACTGCTGCCATTGCATTTCATTTGATCCTTACAGCTTTGGGGGGAAGTGAGCAATTCTCTGTGTCAGAAAGGCTTCTTCCACATATTTAAAAGTTAAGATCTGTTTGAAGAATGAAAACACTACTGTAGTAAGCTAAAGGAATGAGAATACTGTACACATAAAGCCTCACATTAACTGGAAATATCAGCATAACTGAGTACATGTGCAAATCATAGGGGCGGTAGGCCTTCTATCTGCAGTAGCCAGAGAGTAGGGGCTTTTGCAAACCCTAACAAAGTGTTTTGCTGTGTGCGCGGGGAACAATAGTCTGATGTTCCTGGGGCAGACCATAATTATCTGCCCGCCTCCGCTGTAGCCAATACACTCATGGAGATGTTTGGTACTGTTGACTGAAGCATCTCAACACTCAATGCACTTTACATATCCAATTAGTGAAGAGCTTGGAGCCCTCTTCTGTTCATAACTGAAATAAGAACAGCCACAAAATCTGTCTTTCTGCTGTGGGCTGAAATATTTCCTGCTGTCAGTAAAAAAACACATTGCTGGATTGAAATGTTCAAGGCTGGTTGTGTACCAGTTAGAAACACTTTCACCAACTCTCAGGGTTCACATTTTTCATAAGCAAGCACTCTCAACTCATTGAATAATGCTTTTTCTAGATGGAAAAGGCACATAAATACCACAAGCTCATCCCAAGGTAGTTTAATATAAATGTACATTGCTGGTGCTCTATAGCAAATAACAATGGCAAGACCAGTTTTGATTTATTGCCATTTGCATGGCTGTAAGGGACTACCTTGTGGTGGCTTATTAGCATAGCAGTGGCTTTCAGCTTCTTTTAGTTTCCTTTACTGAAGCTCCTTCAGTTTCTTGCTGCCCATTTTGTATTTGTAGCCATACATGGCTTCTCAGGATTTATGAGTATTGTACACAAGTGGCAAATGATACTCTGTCACTGCAGAATCTGGTGTCACTTTGATGCACTCTGGAAAAGAGAGGCCTAGCTCATTAACAGCACAATCCTATGTGTCTACTCAGGAGCAAATCTAATGTAATACAATTGGGCTTATCGTCAAGTTAACATGTATAGCATTACACATATGTTCTTGGCCACTTCAAAGTTACTTTAAAACAGCTTGTAAATGTCTTTGGATTCATCTTGCTTGTTAAATTGAACTTCTGTAAATAATAAGAGTATTAACATGTGCCCTATTTTTATCTTTGCATCACCTCCTGCCACTCTTGACATGCAAACGAAGAGAGGGGAGCTGTTCAGTTCTTCCCCTTCCTTTCAGAGAATCAAGACAAACACATAGTTGCACTTAGGTACCCTTGTACCAAATCATTCAGAAAAGTGTAAAACGATCCAGTATTATAGTTCCTTACAAACTGCTTAACTTTCCTGGTGTACCCCACTCACGTTTCAAATTTTCCTCAAATTGTTGATAATGTCGTCAAGTCTTCATTTTACTTCTCTCTCTACCCCCGCCCCCCATTCTAGTACAGTGGTACTTCGGTTCTCGAACAGCTTAGCTCAGGAACAACTTGGAACCCGAACGCTCCAAAACCGGAAATAGGTGTTCTGGTTATCAAACTTTTTTCGGAAGCTGAACATGCCCTGATTCGGCTTCCACTGCCGGGGGAAAAAGGCGCCCACTATGGGAGGCCTAGCAGGCTGCACCACAGCCCCAAATCCCCACGAGGAACACTTACCTAACCAACAGCGAAGTCCAGTGATGAACTCCAGGTAAGAAAACAAAGCACCAGCCCTTTGTCGGCCCTCACCCCACTCCCAGCTGGTAGCAAGGGGGGGTGGCACCTTGCCAGGTAAACCTACCCACTCAATGGGAGGGGGTGAGTGGAAAATTTTGGAATTCTGCCTTGTTCCTTTGTTTTTGGGAGTCTGTCTTTTGCCTTTGTCTCTGCCTTGCTCCTTCATTTTGGGGACTTTTGGGGGACTCTGCCTAGTGCCTTCGTTTTGGGCAATGTGGAACCCAGGTCAGCTACTGATTGTGTGACTGCGGAAATGGATAAAAGCCCCCCACCCAAACAATGACTATCATCAGTGCAGGTAAGAAAAAAAAAACAATTTTAATGTTTATCATCTACGATATTGTCTTATTTATTTTATAGTACAGTATATTTATTGTCTTCATTTTATGGATCAATGGTCCCATTAGAAAGTAAAATTTATGTTAAATTGCTGTTTTAGGGGTTGTTTTTAAAAGCCTGGAACGGATTAATCCATTTTGCATTACTTTCAGTGGGAAAGTGCACCTTGGTTTTGGAACGCTTTGGTTTTGGAACGGACTTCTGGAATGGATTAAGTTTGAGAACCAAGGTACCACAGTATGTAGTTAAATTATAGGGAAGTAAAGCTGAGGTCTTGTCTAGGAGTGCCCTCTGCTGGTTGAGATTGCAATGTGTAATGGTAACATCTATAATCAGGAGTGGTTACAGAATAGATTCATTTGTAAAACCAAAAAGAAAATGCCACTATCATGACATTGATCTGCTCCCATTTTAATATTCCTTTCCTTTCCAAACACTTAACTGAAATAACATATTTTGTCTTTCGTAATTTTAGTGCTCTGGGTAACTTGATTCTTTTTTTCTTCCAAAAGGGTGCAAAACCATTTCCTCTGGTTTAATGTTGCTATTTTAGTAGCTGCTTTCTGTACCTTTTCTCTTTTTATATATTTTACTTACTGTGATTGATTAACCTTACTATTGATAGCATGGAACCATATATCTTTCCTTTACTTTTCAGATCTGAGTCACCAACTCCCTCATGCCACTTTAATTGAAGTGATGAGGTACAGTTTAGTCTTAGTCTACCTTTCACATACTTGGGGAACTCAAGTTTTGCATGCATTTATGCACTTGGTTTTCTGCTTCCAAGATTAATACTTTCCGAGGACATGACTTTCCTCTCCAACCCACCCAAAGTCAGAGCTTGGAGCAAATGTTGCTTCAATTCTTCCCATCTCCGTAGGCACCTGGGCAGCAGGGGACATGCTGGTTTTAATCAGTGAGAGCCGACTCTTTGACAGTGCAGATTAATGGTATAAATTCTCTTACGTTTCCCACCCCCCAAATATTTGTAATGTTTCCAGCTGCCCTAGATAGATCCCACCGAAATGGATTGAGATATTTTTCTAGATCATGTCTTCAACACCTTTCTGTGAAGAGGCTCTCTGGGACATAATCTGTACCATCAGAGGAGTTGCTGTTCCCGTACTTTGAAGAAGATGGCTACAAGTGTAAGCAGAAATGGTATAAGAGCACCTGAGAGCTCCATTTAATTTCCCCAACGTTAAGCTGAGTTGATGCTTTGGGGAAACTTAAGTCTAGGGACATGGGTGGCGCTGTGGGTTAAACCACAGAGCCTAGGGCTTGCCAATCAAAAGGTCGGCGGTTCAAATTCCTGGGATGGGGTGAGCTCCCATTGCTCTCTCCCAGCTTCTGCCAACCTAGCAGTTTGAAAGTATGTCAAAGTGCAAGTAGATAAATAGGTACTGCTCCAGTGGGAAGGTAAATGGTGTTTCCATGCGCTGCTCTGGTTCGCCAGAAGCGGTTTAGTCATGCTGGCCACATGACCCGGAAGCTGTACACCGGCTCCCTCGGCCAATAAAGCGAGATGAATGCTGCAACCCCAGAGTCGTCCGCGACTGGACCTAATGGTCAGGGGTCCCTTTACCTTTAAGTCTTGTAAGATGTTCCAAGCCAAATCATTCATGTTCTTATGCAACGTTCCAATTATGCAGGAAATCTGGGCATTCCGTGCCTACAACATATGAACAAATATCTTGCAAAACATGATAATTACTTTCCCATTAGTAGTCAAGACTGGGACCCGAGTGGCACTGTGGTGTAAACCACAGAGGCTTGGGGCTTGCTGATCGGAAGGTCCCCGGTTCGAATCCCCGCGACGGGGTGAGCTCCCGTTGTTCGGTCCCAGCTCCTGCCAACCTAGCAGTTCGAAGGCACATCAAAGTGCAAGTATATAAATAGGTAGCGCTCCGGTGGGAAGGTAAACGGCGTTTCCATGCGCTGCTCTGGTTTCACCAGAAGTGGCTTAGTCATGCTGGCCACATGGCCCGGAAAAACTGTCTGCGGACAAACGTCAGCTCCCTCAGCCTGTAAAGCGAGATGAGCGCCGCAACCCCAGAGTCATTTGCGACTGGACTTAACTGTCCAGTCAAGTACTGCTGAGATTAGATAATTAAGAATTGATACTTGAAATTGCTTTCTCTCCTCAATCCCTTTTTCATTGTGTATTCTATTACACAATGAGCAAGAACAATCTTCTGCTTTACTCTTTACACCACTTAGTAAATGATAGTTTTTTGACTAATAAAATATTTAAATCAGTAAGCAAAGAGCTGAAGTTCCACACTGGTTTTTTTATAACTAGTTATTTTTGTAAGCCGAACTGGGAGTCCAAAGACTTAAGAGATAAAACTGTCTCAAGGGTTGTATTTTACTGCTGTGTGAGTGAAGTTCTGCTCGCAAAACAGGACCTCTGTTTCCTCCCCAGCCCCCCCCCACCTGCTCCTTCAGAGCTGATTTCTGTGCATGTAGGGGGCTGGAAGAGAGGAAATTCTGTTGCGTGAGCAGAGCTACAGCATTGGATGTAGGCCAAATTCTTCAATCCACATTGTTTAGCTGGGAAAACTGCTAATCAATAACATTCAGTAAATTATTTCTGGAACACAGCTTTACTAGAGCTAGTTAATTCCAGTAGTAGGCATAGCATGAATGTTCCACACAGGCATTACTTGCCATCATGACTGGCGCTGGAGGCTTAATGTTTCTTCACGTAAGTCTTCGTGGTCATCATGTTTCACTTATTTAGTGTCAGTCTCCTAGAAGTCTGAGGCATCCAGTTCTGTTGGCTATGCATTTCCTTCTTGATCTTTGGGCTCCCTCTGCTCATCACAAGTCTCATCACAAAGTTGCCTTGGATTTCAACCCCCTGTTTAACACTCATTTCAGCTGCAGCATTGGCCTTGTTTCCCAAGGTCTGCCCTAGTAGGAACAGCGATCTGTTAGTTCAGTCCTTGTGCTCTGAAATTATGCACAGCAAACCAGCACACAGGAACGGGCGAAGGCACAAAGCAAGTTTGAGTTAGAAAAGTACTTTAATGACAACCTAACATATATATACACTTTCAAAGCAATCTCATCCACTTAAGTAGTCGCTTGCCCCGACAGCAACGACAAGGTGACAAACATGGTTTTCATCTGTCTTTAGGGGTATTGGTTTTCTTGCGTCTAGTGTGGTACCTTGAAGAAAAAAAAGAGAAGAAACACATTAAAATGTATTTTGTCATACGTTCAGTCATTTGAATACTCGGTTTTAAGAGACCAGTGATTGTCATGTTGACATTGTGTTTTGACATTACATTTATTATACCTTGTATATTTGTCTGCCCAATACAAAATAAAAATAAAAATCAAGTCTTCTGTAGTGCAAAAATACCCTGTACTTTTTTGGTTCGTGGGCAAATCCAACTTCCAGCAGCAGACAAAGGATGAAAGTTCCCTAGGAGTCCTATGTCCGATCCTATACTCAGCACAGCATCACATTGTGTCTCTCTTGCTAGCTGTGCTAGAAAAGAGCTTGATCAAGACATCTGCTTCTATGCTAAACTACATCCACAGTGGCTGAACTGCAGGACTATATGGCCAGAGACTGCGACACACAATTCTAGGTGATGTGTGTAGCACAGGAAAATAGGAAATCTGTTTACTACCTGGTCCATCCAGCTCAGTAACATCCACAATTACTGGCGGCAGCTCTCCAAGGTTTCAGATGAGTCTATTTGGTGTCCTCAAATTAAGGACAACTATTCAAGGCCCCAGGGATGCGGGTGGCGCTGTGGGTTAAACCACAGAGCCTAGGACTTGCCAATCAGAAGGTTGGTGGTTCGAATCCCCGCGACAGGGTGAGCTCCCGTTGCTCGGTCCCTGCTCCTGCCAACCTAGCAGTTCGAAAGCACCTCAAAGTGCAAGTAGATAAATAGGTACCGCTCCAGCAGGAAGGTAAACAGCGTTTCCGTGCGCTGCTCTGCTTTGCCAGAAGCGGCTTAGTCATGCTGGCCACATGACCCGGAAGCTGTACGCCAGCTCCCTCGGCCAATAAAGCGAGATGAGCGCCGCAACCCCAGAGTCGGTCACGACTGGACCTAATGGTCAGGGGTCCCTTTACCTTTTTATTCAAGGCCCCATTACCCTGAGACCCTGAATAGTTGTGGAAAAAACTATTGGGGCCTTTTGTCAAAATAAGGTTCCAGCAGATGCCCTCGATATACTTAGAGGAATACCCCATATGGAACGGAAACACATTTATGGATGTAATCAGGTCAAGGATATATATTGATTTGCTCCTTATATACAAAGTCCAATGGAAATGTTTTATCGTCTATTCTTAACCGGTTCCCAGGCTGATCCGCTCCAGGAAGTGACAGTTGAACTCATAGCTGATAAATATCTACAATATACTCATCTGGTAGCCAAATTTGCTCTGGCAGCTAAGAAGCTCTGCTCCAGCTATGTTAATGCTTGTAATCTTATATTTTATGTGGTAAACTTTTATGCTGTAGACTTTTATAGACATGTTATCTTAGAGGAAAGCCTTGTTTTCCCCATCTACTGTTCATTGTGATACTTCGAATGGGTATGAAGTTTTCTATATCTTTGAATAAGTATAAATAAAGGTATGTTAAAAAATACAAAATAAAGGAATTCCTGCATTTTTTTAAAAAAGCAAGTTTGTTTTCTTGTTGGTAGGGCTATAGATGACTGCCAAACATAAAACTGGATCAGTATTCATGCCTGCATGAATTACATTGTTTATACAAAAAATAAAATAAAAATCTTACTGGTAGGACCAGATGAGTTAAATTATTATCAATAATTCCCAACATAACAAACCATTCCAGAAATTCAAGCGCCATGTTTCCTAGCCCACTTAGGTATTGGATAAGCACAAGTCTTCTCATATGTATCTGGATATATATTTCTCTCTAAGGTACTTTATTATCGGTATAGCCATTTAGGTAGGAGCTAAAATCAGAGCAGATGAAAATCCTGGTATCTTACCCAAAATAGCTTTGCCCCAACTATTCTGGAGGGTTGAGGGAACCTCTGAAAACGTGGAAGAATGAACTGGAGGCTGCTGGGGGAGGAGGGAATCAACAAATGTTGCCTTCCTCCCCTCTGCTAGCAGGAAAACCCTTCTGTGGATGAAGGGGCCTTTCCATCTGTGGAAGGCAAAGTCTGGATCCAGCCCAATCCAGGTTCTGCAGTACTCGTCACCCTCCCACACAATACTTACTGTCCCACAGGGTACCAGCGGTGCTTTGTTGTGTAAAACATTTTACTAAGTTCCTCAATCATAGGACCTTGCTGGTTCTTGAAGTCCTTTCCATCCAATCTAGATTTCAGGATTTGATCATGTGTTTCTTCTCTATAATCCAGTGGATCTAGTTGTGGAATGGGCTGTCAAAAGAAAACTGCCCCAATTAACAAACTAAAAAAAATACCCCCCCCAAAGAAAAGCCATAAACATATATATTTATTGCCTTACAGTTATGAAATGTGCAGGTATTGCTAGTTTTAGGCTGAATGTAATTTGCCATTTTGCTGTATACATCGTTTAAAACCCCACCCCATCCAAAGATTACAGCATGCTGAATCCTGGCCATTATGCTGCAGAACAAAAGCGAATACTCTTCACTCCAAACAAATTTATCAGTCCTATTTTTCTCTAGCTTTTTTGCCTGCCACTGTTCTGAACCTTATATGGGAATAACCTGCCCCTCTTTTGATCCAAGCAACTTCTGCTGGAACTAAACTACTTGCAATAGCTCATTCTCACTACTACTTGTGCATTTCTGGCTTCTAATTATCCATGAAATGTAGACTGCAGCCTCTTTTCTGCTGGCTCTGGGAGAACAGCTACTGAAATAGTGCTCCACTTAATGGAACAGAATTTAAAGATGAACATAATCTAGATATCTGGATTACTTTGGGAAATAACAGCAAGGTGAAATGATGCATGCAGTCTTGAAAAGGGCTGAAGACTAGGGTGTTCCGCTGAACTTGTATATATTGCCACAGATCTGAACTTCTTGGTGATCAAGCTGAAAATTTAAGCTATGTTAAGTGTGCCAAGCTTAAGTTTTGAGCACAAGCCTATTTTTAAATCACGTTCATGGTAAAGGATAACCACCAAGAAGAAAACTGGAAGGGTACCCAAAGATGAGCTATGTTCGCCTGATAAAATCAGGAAGATATTTTTTTGCAGATTCACATACTCTTGTGTGCTCATATGGAATGTCCACTGAAGGGTGATAGCAAACAATAGTTTTTCCATCCGATGTCACAGCAAGTTCCACTTTGCTAAAAAAGAAAGAGATGACATTGGACAAGGCTTTTTCCTTCTTGTTTTAACTAAAAGGTTTGCATAATTAAATGAAATAATAATTTTAAAAATCCAGAATAGAGGCTAGACCTCAAGAAAATATTTTTATACAATATTTAAATTGATCTAAATTTATTTATATGATTTAAAGTTGTTCTAATAGACCAAAAATGCTGTTTAGCTGTCCAGTAAGGCAGAGCACTTGTTTTCCTGTAGTATAGTCCTTTGAAGTATGTAACCTTTGGCATGCACTTTGGCATCAGTCTTTCCACAGTGAGTAAGCACTGTTTGGGTTTCCTCCCCAGTTCTTTGCAACCAGAATATGCACTAACGGTACGTGTTGTCCAAACAATCCTAATGAAATGTCTGACTTCAATATCAGTTTTTCTCTCACAGCAGCATTTTTATGGAGCCACTGACCACACTCATAAACATCCAAATTAGTGAGTTTATTAGACAAAGAGCATAGAGACCTTCATTTATATTCAAAAAATCTGTGGGCAAGGTAGAACAATACTAAACACCTAAACTAGGGCTGTTGAAGCCAAGTTCCTTGACAGCAAGCCCAACTAAGCTGATATCCTAATGAGATGTTCAGCCTGATGCAAGACAAAAGTGATTACTATGAAAGCAGTGCATAGGAACGGTGCATAGGAAGCTGCCTTATACCAATATACCTTATACCTCAATCTTCTAGAATCTGGCCAGCAGCATCTCTCCAGAGTCTAATACATTTTCAGCAAGTCTTCATAGCTCTACAAAAGCCCAACTCCACTAAAATATGGTGTTTTATTTTAATGAGAAATGAAAAGAGATTCTAAAATTCATAAATTATTCTAGCAGTAAGAGTGGACTGGCAATTGTGCTACTTCTAATATAGCAACTGACATCCTGGTGTCTTTTCACACACTTGCGAAATGAACTTTTGAGTTAAATCTGAATGGCTTAATACATACCAGTTATAGTCATCGGGAAGAGCTGAATATGTAGATTTGGGACAAGCACAAAATACAGATGCATCTGAAAATATAAGAGCCAAGTAAAACACCGGAAACAGAAAACAGCACAATGTGGGTTTCCTTTGAACACTGCTGAGCATAAAGTGGTCATTGTAACAACTCACAGTGCTAAACTAGGGATTGGAACATAAATCAATGTGAAGACATGTTAAGTCAGGCATCCCCAAACTCAGCCCTCTAGATGTTTTGGGACTACAATTCCCATCATCCTTGACCACTGGTTCTCTTAGCTAGGGATGATGGGAGTTGTAGTCCCCAAACATCTGGAGGGCTGAGTTTGGGGATGTCTGTGTTAAGTTATCTCACTTTTCAAAGCCTCTCCGCAAGCAATGTCCCTCACTGGCACTGCACAATATTTACAGGTGTCAGACTGCTTTGAAAAAAAGCAGTATGACACCACATAACCCTATAGATAGATAGATAGATAGATAGATAGATAGAGGCATATGGTATAACAGAAGAGCTACACAGCTCTGTCCTACCTTTCTTGATTGATAGCCAAGTATTCTTCCCTCCCCCTGCCCCTCCTGCAGACTGTTCAATGCAAGGGAGACCCTTCCCCAGCTTCAGGCGCCACATGGCAGAGTTGCCACTCAATACGTTGCGGATAAGAAAAGAAAGTCCAGTGCTGCTTTGCCACTTCCTCTGCCTCTGTTCTCCAACTGGTGTCACTTTAGAAGCAGCCTCCATTAAAAAATGGTGGGGAGTGAGAGGAGAAAAGATGGAACCCACCCAAATTAGGTAAGGCTGGGCAAACACATACACCCTTTGGGAAGCTGGGTGTGTACGCCATTCTGCAGCAGCACACGGTCCAAACTCTATGACAGTATTCCCTAACCAGGCGCCCTCCTGATGCTGCTGAACTACGACTCCCATCAGCACCAGCAGTGTACAGCTATGCAGCTTGCACTGATGGGAGTTGCAGTCTGCCACCAGCTGGAGGGCACCAGGTTGGTGAAGGCAGCTCTATGCCAAATACTCTGGGAGAGATGGGCAGGAATAAAGGGGAGGGCTCTACTTTTCCATCCCCTGGCATGTAAGGCTACTATGCCATTGCAGGTTTTCCCGGTTATTTCTCCTCCCCTCCAACAGAGTGATTGGGCATATAGTCTTCCTTCTTGCATGTCTGTCAGCCAGCAGCACATTTCTCCAGGCTCCCTGGACACAGACTTGGGCAACAAGGCTTGAATGGGAAAAGAAAGAAGCTTCTCTTCTTGTACTACCGGAGTGCTGCTGAACTGCCTTTGCTGCAGCAGAGCTGGCTCAGTCATGCTCCTCTTGAGTGGAGACACAAACTCTTTTCCCATCTAGAACCACAAGCTGCTTAGCTCCATGGTGATGGCAGCAGCAGCAGCAGCAGCCACCTTCTGTGTGTGCAAAGCAAGATCCCACTCCATTAGAGTTAAAAGAGAATCCATGCACACTTACTAGGAGACAGAACTTGCTTGGTGAAAGCTGCCAAACGCGCCCATGCAGTCCTCGACAACACAGCCCTCCGTGATGCCATGGCCATGCTAGCAGACAAAACAGCTGTCACGTCACAGTGATGTTTAAAGAAAATCTGCGCAGTTCAGTCCGTCACTGTTTGGGAATCAGTGGTTTGTCAGGAGATTAGTCAAAACGTATTAGATCCACAATTTGCAAGTCACCTTGTACACATTTCAATAGCTCTTCCAGACTTTCACTGTTTAATTTTTCACTATGCAAAGTCTTCTCCATCTTTGCCTTGCTATTTCCCTGTGACAGGTGTGGGGAACCTCAGGCCCAGGAGAACAATGTGGCTTGGCAGGACTCTCTCCCTGGCCCTTGGGACTCTTCCCCAGCGATGACTATTGCTGGCTTTGCTTTGCCCCCCCCCCCCCGTGCTTTTGGTTGGCTAAAACGCATCCTTGACTGCTTGTGTGTATGGAGAGGTGTGTTCAGACCCCTTTCTGGAATGCCACTGCCACTCTAGTCCACACTGAGCTAGATGGATCAATGAATCTAACTCAGTAGAAGGCAGTTTCCTCTGTGTCTGTGGTGTATGCAGAAAACTCTGATGTATGGCTGGAATGCCGTCAATTGTTACAAAGGTAAGAGTCACCTTAATTTCTCTGCTTCACCCATTTTGTGTCCTAGAGTCCACCAACCACTTTCATGAGACAACCAATGGGTTGCTTGAAAAAAAGCTTCCCACCCCTTCTCTAAAATTTCATTATACCAATTGTACAGACTCTGGAGGCAGAGGTGTAGCAGTCAACCAAGTGCAACTCAGAGCAGACCCACTGGAATTAATGAACATAAATCACGAATACCACCCAGGAAGTTTATCTCAGCTTTGAGCCCCACAAGACAATGCAAGTGCTCCATGGCTCAGTCACAGCATTACCAAACAATGTTACCACGAACTGCCTGAGCCATGTGAGAACAGTTCTTTCCTCATATAATTTATTTTTAAATACTTTTTATCCTGCTTTTCTGCAAGTCTGTACATCTCTTCAGAAGTTAATCTCACTGATTTCAATGAAGCTTATTCCTAGGTACTGTAAGTAGGTGCAGGACTGCAGCCTTAAAACAATTAAAAATACAACATAAAAACAGCAAAAAGCAGTACAATAATCAAAGGGTTCCAGATACCTCCTTCTACAAATAAACTGGATCTAGCTTGGAACCAAAAAGAGAGAACAGGATGATGCACACACACACACACACACACACACACACAACAACACCTAGCTTGCAGGACTGTTTAGAGCTGGCCTGCCACCACACTCTTGAACAACTTGGCCCCAATTAGCAGCTGGTTGACAGAATGCTGTTCACTCAGGTTCAGCAAGATATTTTTCAGAAGTGATTTTTCTCCTTCCCAGACCCTTCTTCAGCAGCAAGATGGTATCAGCTATGATGGACAGGTCTGGCTCAGGTGGCAGATTCCACTCCCATCTGCTGCTTGCAGGGCTGTCTGTGGCTGCTGCCACCGCCACCACTGCAACCCCCTACTATCAGGAGCTTCCCATGGAGCAGCAGCACCACTTTTAAACACTGTTTAAATAGCATTTGCAGCTGTAAGGAAGGAGCTAGCAATGATGCAACAGGTTTCTATGTAGTGTGGGCCCAAGCCTCCCTCTGAAGGGGTCCTTTATTCAGAGGGAGGCAGGAAGTGGTCCTGGAGAGGGCTTCTACTACCACGGGGTCCCAAGAGCAACCAACACTGTTTCATGCTTATGAACCTTCAAAAGAGACTTTAAACAAAGAGCCACTAAACTTTTGTTGCAGCGAGTAACCTTCATGGATTCATGTGCCAAGGCTGTCAAAACCACATATAGGGAATGCGGGAAACGTTCTTTACACTGAATTGCGCTGGTTACACCCCTAGCGGCAAGCAAGAACAGTATGTATCCTATGCCTGCCTTGATTCGCCTCAGGCTCGCTTCTGTACACGCGTGTGTGCACTTTCAGATGCAGATCCAGGGTCTCTCCAGAGCGGCAACTAACCATCCAAACCAGCCAATAAGTATTTGCCGCACTGCAGAAACGAACCCGGATGATTCGGCCGGTTGTCAGAACGCTAATGTCCAACACTAGAACTTCTCGGATCTATTTTAAGACAGGGTACCGCGGCATCATTGACAACAGTTCAGCCACGGGTGCTTTGCTCTCGCAGTGAAATCGTTGCTCGGAGGAGGCAGAAGTGAACACGCGCGCCTAATGACCCGACCGGGGCATTCTGCACGTGGGGAAGCGCTTTTGCTTCCCTTCGCCTCCTCATCGCGCCCCAACGGCAGGAAAGGATTAGGAAAAGGGGCTTTTCGCTTTCCCCGGCAGGAGCAAGGAGAGGATTCCCAAGCGCCAAACCGACAGGTCAGGCTCTCCTTGCTCCCCGGCTGCCTCCCCCACTTTCCAGGACAAGGCGGCCAGGAGGCGAAGTCGGAAAAGGTGAAGGTAGGAAGGAAGCCGCTTACCCGGACGAGCCAACCCAGCAGCGACGGATCCCACCGGTCTCGCAGGAACCGTCCGCTTCTTCCTTTACGGCAAAAAGGAACTCGCGAGGCAACGTCCGGGAGCTGCTCGCCTAAGCCCCAAAGCACACTGGGAAATGTAGTCCTGGCAAGGGCCCTCCGAAGGCCGCCCAATTAAAAAGCAGCTGAGGTTTTTAAGACTGCATGTTTTTAATTTTAGACAGTGGGTTGCAGCAAAAACAACAGAGCACGTTAGTCTTTAATTTGTCACAAGACTCTTGCTGGTTTTGCTGTGTTGTTGTTGTTGTTTTTTTAGGAGCACAGAAACTTTCCACCCACACTGATACATAGAGCTAGAAAGAGGTAGTACAGGGGCATTTCTCTTCCAGCCAACTGCTTCACCCTAACTTTAGCAGGCGAGACTTTCCCTGCTCTGGGGAAGGAGTACAGTTCACCATAAAAGCATCTGCTTGTTGGTGGTGATGGTGGGGGAATCTCTGGTTCAACTCCTCAGGTAGGGCTTGGAAAGATTCCTGTTTGAAAGCCTGGGCTGGGCAGCTACTACCAGTCAGTGTTGGCAATACTGAACTTGGTCTAACTCAGTATAAGGCAACTACCCTCTTTGGGAGAAGATTTGCTTTGCATGCAAAATGTGCCTAATTTAACGCCTGGCATTTCCAGGTAGAAGGACGTCTGTCTGAACCCCTGGAGAGCTGCTGCCAGCCAGTGTCTGCAATAGATGGCCTATAGTCTGACTCAGTTTAAGGCAGCTTCCTGTGTTCCTAGTATGGGGTTGAAACGTTGATAAATGCTTTGTCTAACAAATTTCTGCATGCCAGGCAGCTGTTAAATAAAGGCCGAGGAGCACTGCAGGTGGCAACTTATACAACTTTTGCCACTATTTTTGTGAATTCAACTCAGTCACTTATGAAGAGTGTTGTGGATTACACAGGCATGGTAGCAGAAATGTGCATATGTGATTAGATAGAATCAAAGGCAGAGCTCTTTCCCTTTAATCAATATGAAGCAGAATTAATTCAGCAAATCTGACTTTTGCTGCTATGGTATAACGAACTGCTCATGCAAACATGACAGCTCTAAAAAAATAGCCTAAAATCTTCTCAGATTCATTTTTGGCGTAGCTCTTGGCTATGAATAGAGTTTCAAATGCTACACACTTGAGTTGGAATGTCGCTGGTATCTTTAAAAAGTCTTTGCAGGAAGCAAAGTTGAAGCAAGGATAATTTGGAAAGGGGATTGGCATATAATTTCACTGCTTGTGACTGAAGGGCAAGGAGTTGAGTTACAGGGCTAACTGCAGTTGAAGATCTAAAAGGAATCTGCTTCTAGGAATGAATTTCTCTTCCTCCCTCCCTCTCTGTGACACCTTCTCACTTACAAGTAGTTAGATTATGATTATGTAAACTTGGAAAAACTTAAAAACAATGGGGAAAGCAATTAGAAACCTTTAGTTCAGAATTCATGGCAAAGCCTTCATTCATGGCAACGTTTACTACAGAGTTTAGGCCAAAATAGTACTAGCGGGGTGGCAAAAGGCAAAATGAGAGGTAACATTATGTTTGTGTGGATGCCCAACAGTAGCATATACAAAGTAGCATATACAACAGTAGCATATACAAAATATTTCATTTTGACACAGGTACAAAAGAGGACAGGATTGCAGTGCCTTTACTAGAACTGTACTGTTCTTGTGTAGAAGTGGGGGTTTCTAGTGGTGTTGTATGTCAAGCAAAGTTGAGAAAAGGCTGCACTTGCTGAAATTTCCTCCTTCACACAACTACTCAAGGAATAGAAGTCTAGTCAACTTTTGTATTTAATTATTGGTCCTGACCTACTGTGGAACATAGAAAGCTGCCTTATACAGGGTCAAGCCATTGGTTCATCTAGCTAATCTAGCTTAGTATTGTCTGCACTGATATTAAGTGGCTCTCCAGGGTTTCAGCCCTATCTAGGATTGAACCTGGTATCATGTGTATGCAAAACAGATGCTCTTACCATTGAGCTAAAACACTTCCCCAGAGGTACTGAAGAAAGTAGCAAAATTGTGTTATCACTAATTTACTACTATTGTTTTGAACGTCACCTGGCTTAAGTTTTATATAGACTTGATTCAGATATCAAATTAATGCACAGGGGGAATTGGGCTGTTTTTGGAATACAACTACTGTAAGAAATCCAGAACACAAATTTGCACAGGCTGAATTCAGACCATTGTTTAACTTGACAGGAATGAACTGCAACAAAGCTTCAGTTCACACACTCCTCCTCTCTCCTCTTCCTCTGGCACACCCTCAAGGAAGAGATAGAAAAGAGAACAGGAATCTTCTGCATATAAGTGCAGGAACCCTGTCCTCTTTTTCATCTGGGCACCCTAGCTGTATGGAGTCCTTTATTTCCTTTAGTTTGTATTTGGGTATAGCTGAATGAAGGACTTGTAGCTGTCTCTCACACTAACTATATGCATGTTCTTTCAGCTGCTAATATGTGTCCTGCATCACCCAGTACCAACTCTTTTGTATTGTTGGTTTTGTTTAGCTCAGTATGTAAGTTTATGGGTGAAGATGCTAAATTGGCGTTCTGGTCTTCTCTCAATCACAGGATTTTTCACATGGTTTTGCCAAGGCTAGATCTTGTGTTAGTCAGTGTATCAACGATACAGAATTTCAATATTTGCTTTCAGTAGCCAATAAGTCCAGCTCACCTTTGTCATTTGGCTTTTACCCTACCTCTGTAAACAAACCAAATGTTTCAAAATTCCACCCTTGCACGTTTCAATGTGACACTTTCAGCTCTTTTGGATAGGAGATGGCGATATCCTACTCTGTCCCTGTGGTTCAGAGGGAATTGAAACAGTATGGCATGCCTTATTATTTTGTAACTAACATTGAGATATCCAGAAAGAGATGATTAATCTGATATATAGTTTAATCATTTGAACATTGCACTTTTCCCCTCTCCCCGATGCAAATAAGATTGCTACAGAAACTGTAGCTTTTTTTTATGAGATCTATGAATATATGAGTACAAATCTTACCTAAACAAATGTAACCATGTTTTCCTACCTGTTAGAAGAGATATTCAAGAATTTTGTATCTTCCATTTTTGTTTGGTAACTGATGCACAAGTTTTACTGTGAGGTCTGTTTATACATTGACTGAAGATAGATATGATCTCTGTATAATTCTGTTGCTTTACATAGGTGGTAGTCAGCTGATGTTGAGAGGATATATAAAATGCTGTAACCCTCTTACATATTTTGAAAATGAATGCCACAGCATTCTCCTTATGACCTAATTAAAAAGCCATGACAGTAGAAAATCTGAAAACAAAAAAGCCCACAGTCTGCCAATAAAAGTCAAATAGCCTGATGTCATTAATAGTTTTTTCAAGATGTGTAAGTCCCTCTGAGTTCAATTTGTTCTCAAGTAAGCATGCGTAGGACCGTAGCTTGTAGTGTGCTCTGGGTGGAAGCTGGAAGCATGTAACTGCATATAACATAGGTCATTAGGTCATCTTGGTTTGTTCCTCCTTTTGGAGCAAACCACAGCAGTCTGCATCAAATGAATCATGCCCCGATCAGAACAAAGACATACAGATGAGATCATAAGTCTATGGACCTTACTAATCATTGTCCCTGCCTACTTACATTTTAGTTGCCTTCTTTTTCTTGGTGATCTGAGTTCAGGCTATTTCTTTCTCTTTATAAGACATTCCTAGCTGCTAGGAGCAGCTAGAACGTGTGGCGTTTGCTCCATTTTGCCAAATTTAGCATCCTGCAAACCTTAGTTTTCACTTTAAGAAGGCAAAGTTCTAGTTCTTAAGGCCGCGGAGACAGATTTGAAAGTGTGAGGCGATCTACGATATACCGTATCTTTTGCTCTACAAGACTCACTTTTACCCTCCTAAAACATTAAAGGGACATGTGTGTGCGTCTTATGGAGCGAATGCAGGCTGCGCAGCTATCCCAGGAGCCAGAGCAGCAAGAGGGATTGCTGCTTTCACTGCGCAGCGATCCCTCTTGCTGTTTTGGCTTCTGAGATTCAGAATATTTTTTTTTCTTGTTTTCCTCCTCCAAAAACTAGGTGCGTCTTGTGGTCTGGTGCGTCTTATAGAGCGAAAAATACGGTAGTCATCGTCTTGCTCAGCTCAATGCATTTTCCATGAGTAACAGAAGCAGGATAAAATACATAAAATAAGCGAAGACAGGCAAAAAAAATTCTCACAGAACTCAGGTTCTTGGCGCGGCAATGCTTAAATCAACATTCTTCTATGGCTAACGCTTCGTGTGTCTCTGACGAAGGGCGCTCTGCCCTCCACGGAAGCTCCTGACACGAGGCACCTGTGTTAATTCGGCAGGTGCGGATTCCTCGCGCCGGGACTACGCTTCCCAGCATGCCTCGGGAGGCGCTGCCGGTGACGTCACGGGAAGTGAAGCGCAGAGCTCCTTCCGGTAGTGCGTAAGCCCCGAGCGGAGCCGAGACCCAGCGGAGCCTGAATCCCAATAAGACAAGATGGCCGGGCTGCCCCGCAGGATCATCAAGGTACCCGCTCCCCTTCCTCCTCCGGCCTGTCCCCACCCCCTTGCCCCGCTCGGCCCTCAAGCTGCGCGCAGGCCTCGCCGGGCCTCACGCCCAGGCCCGGGGCCGCCGGAGCCCCGAGGAAAGCGCTGAGGGCAGCGCGGCGCTTCCGGTGAGCGGGGCAGGCAGGCAGGCAGGCAGGCGGCGACTTCGCCCTCCTTCCTTCCCCCGCCGCTGCAGGGCGCGGGGGGCGAGGCCGGCCTGGTGGCGACAACGGCAGCAGCCATCGCGGGAGGGACCAGCCGGTGCGCGCCTGAGGGGCGGCGGCGCCTTGCGAGCATCCGCCTGCCGGGAATGAATGGGAGCCGCAAGCAGGGCGGATGGAAGGCGCCCCCCCCCCCGCCACCTTCCGGGCCTGGGTTCTGAGCCGCGCGAGTCACGGCGCTGGTCCCCGCCCTCTCCGCCGCTGCAGCCGGCGCCCCTGCCTCTGCTGAGCCGCGGCAGGGCGAAGGGAGGCGGCCGGGGCGGGCTCTCTCTCCCACTCGCCCGCACGAACTAGGCGGGTGTCGGGCGAGACCTGGCGGTGGCCCAGGCAAGCTGGTGTGAAGCGGCGCACGACACCCGCATGGCAGCCGACGGGAAGGCGCAGCTTTGCCTCAGCCTCGCGTCGGCTCTCAGGCAGCAGCAGAGTCCGCTGCTGGCTCACGGTGGTGGTTCCCAAGAGCGACGGCCGAAGTGAATGGGCTTAGCCAAGGCTCTCTCCCCTCCCCAAACGCGAGCTAGGTTTTGTTGCAGTGCCCCTTTTTTAAGGGAGAGGGTTGCATCCGTTGAATCAGAGTAGGTCCATTGGCGCCAGGGTGGTATATAGTAGCTAGAATGTTGGACCTGGGAGACGGGGGTTCTGGTCCCCAACTCACTGCGTGGCCATGGGCTAGTCGCTGTCTCGCCGCCTAGCCTGCCTCTCAAGGTAGTTGTCAGGATGAAATTGTGAAAGGGCTGAACTGTGCACATTTGAACGCCTTGGAAGAAAGGTGGGGTATAATTGTAATAAATAAAATGAACAGACCTAGGTTAGTTAGGTCCATTCATTTCTACAGGTATGAAAAACACTGGATGTGGCCCAGAATGTTTTGATTCCATGCTGCCAGATAAAACACATATGCACATACTTCTCTTGAGTTTTTGGGTGCTATCATGTTTGGCATATTATGGAGCACAAAAAATGGTCATGAAATTGTATCGCTTTTTCTTTTCACATGTAGCTTAAAAGTTAAAAACAGGAAGTATCTGATTTAAAATAAAGAGCTTCCAGAACTAACACCCTTTGTGTGTTGATACTATCACTGCTACACTTTCAGCAGTGCACCCTTGATATGTAATTCTGAGTTTTCAGATTATGGGTTACATGATCTTAACAGTGCTCTGAAAAGGTCACAAGGCTGTGTTTTCAATCAGTTGCCTTGGATTCCAGTAAGTGTTGCTGTGGAAAAGATTTGTATGATTGAGACATTGTACTCGGTTCTTAGTTGTGCATAGAATTGCTGCTAAATTTATACTGTTGAAAGCTCCAGCCAACTTGCAACCCTAAATTGTACTTAAGCAGGGGGTTAGGTCCCACTGAGGTCTGTGGAACATGGAGTAAACATGTTTAGGATTAAGTAGTTGAATGAGCAACAGTGAGAGGGCTTTTGTGGACAAGTTCTGCTTGTGAGCTTTGCAGAGGCATCTGGTTGGCCACTGTCAGAAACAGGATGCTGAACTAGATGGACTATATGTCTGATACAGCAGACCTCTTAGGGTATTAATGGGAAACTTGGCATTGATTTGCCTCTGTTTTATTGAAGCAAAAACATGTAATGTTCTACAGTCAGTATGCTGAGAGAAATGTTCAGTATAGTATGAGTAAATTCATTGTGTATTTACCTTATTTTTATTCTACATACCCATTTGACTTGGAAATACTGAGTTCACTCACACTGAGTTCAGTGGGATACACTCTCAAGTGTGAAAAGGGATGCAGCTCAGATTCAGTTCTACTCCTTGTTACATGGAGAAACAAAGAGCTACACAAGTTACTGAAACTGCGCAACTAACCATGAAAGAATTTAGCTTTTCCACTTGATAGGAGATCTCACCAGGCATTGATTTCAGGCCTATCAAAAATTGAAACCGAAAGCTGATATTTCCTAGAAAGTGATTTCTAACCTAAAACCAAACTTATATCAAACTTGAACTCTTAATTTCTGAACGGATTGTATACTTGTGTTGCTCATGTATGGAATCACAAAATAAATGCAAAACCTAAGTGAGTCTTGTTACAAAAACAATGCTGGAAAATTTACAGGAATCCGAAATTTTACCAAGAGACAAAACAGGGCTGGAAAATTTACAGGAATCTGAAATGTTAGTAAGAGACAAATAGTTTCCCAGCTATCCCCAAATAATTTTGAAAGTGGCAAATAGGCAGAGCAGTTCAACCCCCACCCTCGGGATCTTGCATCAGTCCCCCTTCTATCAGCTGAATGTAAGGAGAGCTGCCAGTGGAATCCCCTCCCCCTGGGAGGCCCCCAAAAGTGGATTTATGGAGCCCTTGATTAACCATCTCAAGTAGTCAATAGTAGTTGCAATTCAAAATACCCATCCAACATGGAGCAATGACTCAATATATACACTAATTTTTGTTAAAAGGCTTTCTAGTCAAAAAATAGTTTTAAAAAGCGCACTCTCTCAAAAGGACTTGAGGCACAATCCCAACTCCCCCAGGCTTTGCTGAGCAGCAGGGCCACACAGCACTGCTGTTCATTGTAGCCACCACATAAGATTGAGTGGGGGGCAGAACTAGCATGCCTGATGTTGTTAGTGAGACCCACTCAGGATCCAGTGGATCCTGGACCAACTCAGTCCTTTCACCCGAACACCTCGTTTTAGTAGCAAGTGCCTTTCCTTCTGTGTATTGCGGAGAATGTAGGAGAGGGGGGTTGAGTATTTCATCATCATCATCATCATCATCATTACAAAAGGCAGAAACTTCAATGTAAACTAAACAAACTTAGGTCCTTTCTTTTTTCCCTCTCTCCTTCCCTCCTTTTGCTCTGAGGCACAGAAATGATGCATGAGGGCAGCAACAAGCAATGGCTGGCTAGTAAGCCAAGCCAAAGTTTGTGGGCCCTGGTTAATTGGGGTATGTGCGAAGTTGAGTTCTTGTGATGTGCATTATCTGTTTGAAAGGTAGGACACAGTAGAAAAATATAGAATTGTACACAGGGTTCAAAATTAGCAGGGTGCCAGGCGCATATTGCACTGAAAGGTTCTCCATTTGTGAGCACCTCAGAAAGTCAGAGTGCAATTTTTTATGCCTGCCTGACACTCAAGGATTACTGAAATATTTGTGCTTTGAAACTTCAAAGTACAGTATATATTAAGAATAGACAATATGTTAAGGAATTTAACAATAAAGAGTAGAATGTTTAAACTGAAGTATGGTTCCAATATTTTTATTGTAAATACCTAATTAAACATGACTAAGTGGCTTAGTCATGCTGGCCACATGGCCTGGAAAAACTGTCTGCGGAAGCGGACAAACGCCGGCTCCCTCGGCCAGTAAAGCGAGATGAGTGCCACAACCCCAGAGTCGTTTGTGGCTGGACTTAATTGTCAGGGGTCCCTTTACCATCACCTTTAATTAAACATGTATTAACAATTCCTGCTAAAAATGTGATATTAACATTGTGTCACTTATGTGAATTGTGCATTAGTTCATGTTTATCAAAATAATAAATAAAAAGTGTTGCCGGCACCTTCCCCCATGGCAGCTAGACATTCTGTTTTGGCCCACAACCCAGGTCCTAGAAGCCATTTGGCTCCTAGCTTTTCTATCCCAGTTTCTAACACTGATTGTACAGGCCACACCAGGCAGAAGCTTTTGTTATCCTTGTCAGTACTAAAGTGTAACATATTAATCTATTTGAGAATAGTTTTTCTTTTGGCCTTCTGTATACTAGTTTGTGCATAGTTCAAAACCACTAAACTAGCATTTCAGTGACAAGTCTTATGTAGCTAGTCAGTTTAGTGCTGGGTGCCAGCGTGGTGTAGTGGTTAAGAGCGGTGGACTCGTAATCTGGTGAACCGGATTTGCATCTCCGCTCCTCCACATTCAGCTGCTGGGTGACCTTGGGCCAGTCACTCTTCTCTGAAATCTCTCAGCCCCACTCACCTCACAGAGTGTGTGTTGTGGGGGAGGAAGGGAAAGGAGAATGTTAGCTGCTTTGAGACTCCTTCGGGTAGTGATAAAGCGGGATATCAAATCCAAACTCTTCTTCTTCTGCCTTCGTAGTGACAACACACAGATGTTTCTAGTAAAGTTCTGCTGCTCTCTTTGTTTGATCCCAGATCTTCTGGGACTGAATGGCCTTGTGACCGTGGCTGCGTCACTCCACTGTGTACTAAGCAGGTTTGGGCTTCTTTGCCATGAGTACAGTGAGTTTGTATTGGAGCAATTGCCAGCACTGGCACAGATCACTGACCAGGAACTTGCAGGGTTTCAGTATCAGTAGTATTTTTAACACATTTGATTTCAGTGATAATAGATCCAAGCTGGACTGCTACTCTATAATTTATTTGAGGGCATTAAAACCATACATAGAAACACATTGCTGTTCTTCCAATACCTCTCCTGAGTTCTTCAAGTAACTTTTATAACAGTATGTAAGATTTGGATACGCTGTACTTCAGTTGCAATAATAATATCCCACCTATCACAACATTTCTGGGGCCTTTGTAGAGTATATCTAGAGAGATGACTGCAGACATGCTGCCTCACTAGTCTCTTTAGCCTAAATGTTACTGTGCCTATTTACTCCAGTGTATCCTGCAGCAGGATTGCAATTTCAAGTGTGAAGACTGTGTCAGAACTCAAGAACAGAACAAGGAAATAGGAAAGCAGACCTACAACCATCCTGCCCAGCAAGCAAGAAAGTTGAATAGCTCCTAAACTGGCACCAGTTTAGCCAACATTGTTCTCTCACTACTTGCTGCATTTTAAACCTATTTATGCAGCATGAAAGTAGCAAAGGTGTCTTTTCTTTTGAAGTGCCAATTTGGAAGGGTAGTTTGGTTTGTTTGTTTAACTCTAAAAATGTTGAGACATATTCTGTAAATCAGATATGCCAAAATAAATATGACTAGGTCTCAGATATAAGTATCAGCGTTGTGGGAGGGAAAGACTGTCTCCAGTAGTTTTTCTCAAATGAGTTGGGAGGAAACAATTTAGGTGTGGGGCTTGTGACTCAGATTGAAGTGGCAAGGAGAAGTAAAATGGGCTAATGACTGAGCAAGTGAACAGATGATCAGGAAATAAGATCTGCAACTGTCTTTACTCATGTATGACAGGTGTCTGGTAATCTCAATCTCTTTAAATGATTTTTGACTACTGGCTGAGATCTAATAATAGCTCTGGTTCCTTTAAAAGTTACAAAGAGGTGTGGAAAGAAGGCATCAGATGTCATAAAGGCAGTGAGCAAAGCTGGGAGAATGCTCCGGCAGGAAATTGAAAAGTGTCTTCATTCTTGTTCTTCCTACACCTCTAACATTGGTTGTTGGCATCAACAAACTGCTTGGTGCTGTGGAACACCAAGTTGTACAGTCTGCACCTGGAGGGCTTGCAGTCTGAATCTGATAGGAGAGGACATGAGGACGGGCCAGTCAGAGGAGGAAGGGGATGATGAAAATGTAGAGCTTAAAGTGAGCCAGGAAAGGCTTTTATGGAAAAAGTCATTGAAATCAGTGATTGGAAGGAAGGGAGAGATAGAAAAGGCTCTCACTAATGAAGACAGTAAAAGAAGGGACATGGATCGTGTGAGAGTTTAGGAGGTACATGAAGAAAAGCATTTTCTCCATGTTTTCTTTCTTGGGGTTGGAATATATTAAATACTTCATTAAAACTAAACCTCACTGCTTTAAGAATATGAATGGCTTGAGTACAGTTTGGTATACAGTATTTATGACACTTAATTGAGTATTTATTTTTAGCCAGATAAATACATTATTCAGACAATAACTGGGAAAATACGTAGGCCAGCGTCCAAATAACTGTGACACTAGTTCCATGAGTCAAAGGGAACTATAGACTTCTTTCCATCAATATCAGTCTCCTTGCCACAAGGAAAACTGCTTGTGGAACCAAGGGGACTTTCCAAAACAGTTCGTGACCTGTGTGAGAGTCACTGTTCAGATATAAGACACAAATCCACTGGGCCTGGCACAAGTGCTATGAGGAAAAGCAACTCTTTGAGTCCGAAACTCAGTGTCAGATATGGAGCTACAAGTTATTGCAACTCACAGTATCTTAAGTATATCTTAGCTTTTGTTGTTAACACTGTAACAAAACAAAAAATAAGTTTTTACAGTGGTGCCCCGCAAGACGAATGCCTCGGAAGACGAAAAACTCGCAAGACGAAAGGGTTTTGCGGTTTTTGAGGTGCTTCGTAAGACGAATTTCCCTATGGGCTTGCTTCGCAAGACGAAACGTCTTGCGAGTTTGTTTCCTTTTGAAGCGGGAACTGGGCTGGCAGGGAGCGAGCGAGGGAGCGACCTACCTTTTCCAGAGGGATCCTCTTCTGGAGAGGGCACAGAGGAGGCAGGTGGGCTGGGATCCAGCGGATCTGGCTGGGTCTCTGCGCCGCCGCCGCCTCTCTCTCTCTCTCCCCCTCCCCACGTGGCTGCTCCATTTTGCCCTAACTGCGCGAAGGCAGGAGGAGGCGGGACAAAGGAGGAGGAGGAGGAGGCATCCACTGCGCTTGGGCCGCCGCGAAGGCGCCTTTGCGGGGGTGGGAAGGAGCCGGGAGCAGCTGCCGAGACTGTGGGGAGCCCGGCGGCATGGCGCAAGGTAACGGGGGGAGCAAGGGAGAGTCCGCACCGGGTGCTTCGTGCGTCCGCCCTCGGTTCCTGGGCTCGAACTTCCTTTGGCACCTCGTGGAGATAGGGAGAGGAGCGGGCTGGGGCTTTGATGTGGGACGCGGTTTGGCGGAGCGAAGACGTGGCAAGGCTTGGCGACAGAGGAAGGGGGGCTGTTTTCGTGGGGAGGTGGGAGGGGGTGTCTTTGCCTCTTCCAGGGAACAGATCCTCCAGGCTGTGAAACTCCTCCTGCTGGGGAGCGACCCGCTTTGTGCTTTGCCCGCTATCCCATTATAATACAGTACCAGGGTGCATCCGTGCTTCGCAAGACGAAAAAATCCGCAAGACAAAGAAACTCGCAGAACGGATTAATTTCGTCTTGCGAGGCACCACTGTACTTCTTAGTCTCAGGGTGCGAACTAATGCACACTTACTGTATCTGAGCATAAGCTCCATTGAAATCAATAGGACTTTTCTCTGAGTAGACAAGAACTGTTTGAAACTGTTTGAGGACTCTTTGAGACTGGCCTGGGAAGCAAATATCCTGTTGATGTAACTTAAGAAATAGCAATGGATCTGGGTATTCTAAAAATAATGAACACTTCTGCTATACTGAATCTACAGTCCTAAACTCATTAGGGAATGAGCCCCATAGAACATAGTGAGACTTATTTTGAGTAAGCATATTTACCGTAGATTGTGCTGCTGTTCAGACTTGCAGCCTGATCTTTTATAGAAGTAATAGTCAATTCCTGACATTTAACAGTGTCCATCCATCAGTGAATGAGTTTCCCTTCCCCTCCTCTCACCTTCTGCTAAAGCGTATTTCTCTAGACAAAACCATTGTCTGAAAAATAATTCATAGCCTGAAATACTGAAGTTTCATTTTAAACTTCATGGACATCAGAAACAGGTTTATATGAATTGAAACAGGTTTTCCACAATTAATGTGCCTTGCTTTTGTGTGGGTAGTTTTCAGACATTCATGTCCCTTGATTCAGAAGATGGAGGAAGCAAGAGAATTCAGACCACGTTGTCTAAACATTGCAGGAGTGATGTGCTTGGCAGATTCCCAGATCACAATTCTGTACCAAATAGCTGAAGATATTCTGTATTTTTTGATACCAATCCAAGGTTACTTGTTTAGTAATGCAGCCAAACACAATCTCACTGTTATCAACACTATCATTACTATATTTGCATCTTGTAGTGAACCGATTTGTAGTGGCATGAAACTGCTGCAGAGCAAGGTTATCTGGAGTTTTGGAGTATGTTGTCAGCAACGTTCTGATGACACACAGATCTACTCCTCCTTACTGCAGGTGTAGCAGTGGAAGTGCTGGACCAGTGTCTTGTCTCCGTAATGGACTGGATGACAGCCAACAAACTGAATCTCAATCCAGACAAGACTGAGGCACTGTTAGTGGGTGCTTCCCTAGACCAGATGGATAGGATGTTGCCTGCTCTTGATGGGGTTGGTTATACCTCCTCTAAAAGAGGGGGTACGTAGCTTTGGGGGTACTCCTGGATCCTTTGCTTGAGGTTCAGGTGGCCTCAGTGGCAGGAGTGCCTTCCATCAGCTTCAGCTGGTGGCCTAGCTGTGCTCCTATCTGGACAGGGATAGCCTAAATTCTGTTGATTAGTTGCCGGGCCCAGTTCAAAGTGTTGGTTTTGATCTATAAAGCCTTAAACAGCTCAGGACCACCTCTCCCCATATGAACGGATCCAGACCCTGCAATCATCATGTGAGGCTATTTTGTGTGTGCCTCTTCCACAAGAGGATGGCAACAGGAGAACAGGTCTTTTCTGCGGTGACTCCCTGTTTGTGGAATTCCCTCCCAAGAGGCGCTTGCCTGCATTGCAGGGGGTTGGACTAGATTACCCTTGGGGTAATGTTAGAAACTGAGATAGAAAAGCTAGGAGCCAAATGGCTTCTGAGACCTGGGCTGTGGGTGCCAAAACAGAATGTCTAGTTGACACTTGGGGGTGACAACACTTTTAATATTTTGATTAGCAGGAACTAATACACAATTCACATAAGTGACACATTTTTAGCAGAAATTGTTAATACATGTTTAATTTGGTGTTTACAATAAAAATATTGGTACCATACTTCAGTTTTCAAAGCACTCTGCTCCTTAACATATTGTCTATTCTTAACATATACTTCAAGGCTTCAAAGCACATACATTTCAGTAATCCTTGAGTCGCAAAAAATGGCACTCAGACTTTTTGAGGTGCTCGCAAATGGAGAACCTTTAGATGTAAAATGCGCCTAGCACCCTGCTAATTTTGAATCCTGCCTTGGGGTCCTTTCCAACTCTATGATTTGTATATCTTTTGGTGCCAGGCAAAACATTTGGAAGTGGGGTTATTGGTTGTGTTTTGTTTTATTATGTATTTTGTATTTTTATGTTGTGAACTGCCGTGTGATCTTTCCTGGTTATTTATTTTTCCTGCTGATAGAGACATCACAACACAATAGAATGATACTGCACTTTAACCTCATCTAAATATAGCAATATGAAACTAAATTTACTAAGTGATAGCTGGACCTGTTTGCTTACATAATGGAATATAGGAAGGGGAAGTGTTTGCAGTTCTTGGTGCTGTGTTAATACAGTGTGCCTGCTTCTTCATTGATGTCTGAAAAGTTAGATTCACCAGATGGGAAGTTAATATTCTGAAGGTTTGGTAAAATGTACTGGGAGGACAACAACTTGTATACTTCCTTTGTCCATGGATAGCTGCCCTCTTAGAGGAATAGTACGTATGTGTGTTCCACTTTGGTTTTCTCTCTCTTTCAGGAAACCCAGCGCTTGCTGGCAGAACCTGTTCCTGGAATAAAAGCGGAACCAGATGAAAGCAACGCACGTTATTTTCATGTGGTCATTGCAGGCCCACAGGATTCTCCCTTTGAGGGTGGGACATTTAAACTTGAACTATTCCTTCCAGAAGAATATCCAATGGCAGCTCCGAAAGTACGTTTCATGACCAAAATTTATCATCCTAACGTAGACAAATTGGGAAGAATATGTTTAGATATTTTGAAAGGTAAGTATTTTGGAGCCATGATAAGCATGACATATCTTTCTCTTCCATGCATTTTTCAGATTATTAAAATAGTTGAAAGAATATTTCATATTTCAGTTATTTTAAGGGGTGTGTGTTTTGTATTTGAAATGTTGCTTTAGTACTCTCTAACTTGCTTCCTCAGACAAATGGTCTCCAGCTCTGCAGATCCGTACAGTTCTGCTATCAATCCAGGCTTTGTTAAGTGCTCCCAACCCAGATGATCCACTAGCAAATGATGTAGCTGAGCAGTGGAAGACCAATGAAGCCCAAGCCATAGAAACAGGTAGTGTGCCCTTACTCTAGACTAAAGAAAATTGAGTTATGAATAAAATTCTTGTACTGCTTTTGATCCCAAATGCAGATGCCTAAAGTATCTTACAAAAATAAATCTTTGTAAGAATCACTCCAAGTCATACATACAATAACTCAAATACCGTAAATATAAAATACGTCCAGCCTTTTAAGTCTTGGGGACAAAAGAGATGAATTGTTAATGATGTGCATGCAATTTGTGCACATAGTTTTTGTTCTGTGAAGAAATTGCCATGGGGAGACTTCGCAAAGGGAGAAGGCACAGGGGAGGTTTAACAGTTTCTCTTCCTGTACAGTGCCAAGGAAAATTCCCTCTCCAAAGCTGCTATTTGCATTTCAAAGGTCACATCTTGGCCATGTAACTTGTGCAGTCTTGGAAGCCTACTTTCTAGTCTATGAGTGCGGGCGTCATCATGGGCTTATGGCCAAGTCTGACCTCTAGTTGACTTTTTCAGCTTTCTTGTATGAGTGTGTACATAGATTTATGTGTGGAAACTATCAAGTGAGAAACCTACTGGTTGATAAGTTGTCTCTTGTAAGCGGGTACTGCCTTTGCATCTGATGTGCGTAAGAGTCACACAATCAATGTACCATAGGTTGGTTGTGTCACATTGTTGATGTGAATTTGTAAATGGCTCTATAGCTCTATAAAGATGAGGGTGCAAAACTATGGAACATTTGGCACTTGATTCATTTTATTATATGTAGTCCTCAGGAATAGCCAGTATTCTAATGAGTTTTGGGCAAGAAAGGTGGGAGGGAGTAGAGAATTCTGAAGTTAGATGCTTTGTTGTCTAATACATATTTCTTTTCTCTTTTCAGCCAGAGCATGGACTAGGCTATATGCCATGAATAATATTTAAAATGTGCTCTGAATCAGTGTGCATCACTTTTTCCTGTTCTGCCAAGACCTCTTCCTTTTTTTTTGTTTGTTTTTTTTTGTTTGCATTTAATGGACACAGTCTTAGAAAACATTACAGAATAAAACCCAGACATCAGTTCTTTGGTGATTTAAATGCATACTAGCAAATCTGTGTCTTGTCCTAATTCACTCCTGTTCCGCATGAGCAGAGGCTAGAAGTATCATCGGGATTGTTTGTGAAATTGTTTAAAAGCAGTAGCACATCTCTGCTTTTAATAAGTTTTCCCCATCATGAGTTAAGTGTAAGCACTGTGAATGAAAGTAGTCAGGTTTAGCTGCAGGGATTTTTGTTCTAATTGTGTGGGCTCTTCCTCCCTTTTTTATGGTGATGCTAATTGTATCGGTTAAAGCAGCTAACCAGTTATACTCTAGAATATGCCCTCTAGCCAAGTCTAACTTAGACGCTGTAGATGGACAAGCTTGGCTGTTTGAACAAAAATGGGAACATTAAACATCCATCACTAATAATATTGTGATTCTGCTGTCAAGTGTAAAAACCCTCCCTTCAAGAAAAGAAAAAAAAAGCTTGTGACCATTTTGTATGGCTTGTCTGAAAAATCTTCTGTAAATCTTATGTTTTAGTAAAATATTTTGTTATTCTACTTTGCCTTTGTACAGTTTGTTTTGCTGTGTTCTTTTGTTCACTTTTCAATTGTGACATTTTTTTTAATGAAGCCAGATTAGAACACTTTGATTTTCATCAACCTAACAGCTGCAGTGAAATATTGGATTCCCCCCTCTCGACCTGTATTCACCACATTAGTGTTCATAATATTTCTTTTGTTTTTAAAAAGCCTCTGATAAATGTAATTGTTATCAGAGTCGGTTAGATGCATCATTAATGTGTTTGTACTTGCAAAGTTAAGTACCACTGAAGCAGGAAGCTAGCAAAACAAACAGTAATTTTGGGTGTATGTGTACCTTGTCTGTCTTGTGCTATGTATTATCCAGTATCAGAATACATTTTAAAATAACTAGGATCTTAAAAATAAATAAATAAATCCTCTGCATAAAATGAGATGTTAACAGTGCAGGTCAATTGGTTGCTAAGGTATTTACAATTAGGCTTCTTAGCTCTGGCTGTACCTGCAGTCTTTAAGCTACTACTTTCTTGACCCATTTCTTCATTTGAAGATGGAAACTTCTTATTTCTTAAGATATCACGCAAAAATGTAAATAACTCATGGGAGCATATTTTGATCCCAACTTCTACCTTCTGTATTTCTTAAAATTTCTTTTCTTTTCTTACCCTACTTCTTTGCCTTGACCATCTTTCTGATATCTCTGCTTTTCATGTGGCCAGTGTAATGCCAGCTTGGCATGGGTAATGTCTGTCTTGCAGTTTGGGGGGTGGGGGGAAACAGTATTGAGGTCCATAATTTTCTGCCCATCATACCTATTCTAGCATCATCTGGGGTTTCTATAGAATGTGGTGTATGTATTGTGCTCTTATGTAAGATAAAGAATATCTATTAAAATCACATTTTCAACAGACAAAAATGCTTTTAGTGATGGTATTGTCAGAGTTGACTGCATTATAGCATGATAAAAGGCTGATAATCTGCTTCAACAGGAGAGCGAGACCATCTCAAAAATTGTTTCTAGTTGAAATTCTTTTTTAGATTGTTTCTGGGCTTCTAGCTAGTCCTTGTCAACTACCAATGAATAGCACCACTGTCTGCCATAGTAGAGAACTGATTGTGTTATTCTTCTCTAACACTTGACGAGCGTTTAAGTTCTCATATGTCAGTGACTAGTATGAACATAACCACATGCATAGTGGTATAATCTCTGACTACTCAAAAACAAGTCCCACTCAGTTTAATAAAAGTTATATTGAAAAAAATGCTTATGTTTGCAGCTGTAGTAGTTTTTTAAAGAAAGAAACTTGAATACCTGCATAGCAAATGGCTTTAAAATGCTGCTACCATGATATTATTTTTAAAAAGACCAGACAGCGTAAGCTCTGGCTCTCTGTATGTCACATTCTGGAATAAAACCAATGGAAAAAATACCATAAAACCTGTTAAAAATGGTACACAGTAGCTGAAGTCAAGTACATATGGCAACTATATGGTTGGAATGTTAATTAATGTTCAAACATAGGGCATAATTTAGCAAGAGCTATACAAATTTCAATGGGTTACAGCTTAATCCTAAATATTTTTATTTGCTGTAAATCCCACTGAATTCAATTCTGCATGAGTGCACATAGGATTGTAGCTTTGAACACATGCTATATTTCTCCTATTGAAATAAATGGGCATGGGAGGCGCTTAACTTTGGACTGTGTCCTTTCCAGCCCTGCATATGTGGTAAATGTCTTTAAATGTGTACAAATAACTGTTGAATCTATGCTGTGCACTAGAGAGGTGTGTACACTCAAATTTGAGGATTTCTCATCAGTTGCCCATGGAACTGTGTTGAAACACCTTGTGTTGAAATCTTACTAAGTTTAAAATAGGGAGTTGGTGCAAAGCAGATGTATATGCATTTGTAACCTAGGCATACTATATTTTTTCCATGTGTGCATTGAAAAACAGCTCTTGTGCCAAAACTTGGGAGTTTAGGCATTCCTTTAGGACTGCAGTTAAGGAGTAAAATATCCAAAAAGCCCCTCTGTGTTCTGGCTCTAAATGTTGAGAGCAGTAATTAAAATAACTACAAGGGTTGGTTTTGAATTTCCATTTTCCACCTGAATCTTTCTCCTAATGAAGTGTAAACATTAAGAACTAGACTTTTATCCCTTAAAAAAAAAGGTCAAGGAATGTGGCTAAAGAGTCACTGAAGGTACTTGAGTCTGTGTTTGATTGAACTAACAACTTTTATCTGTAAAGGAGTTCTAAAAAGACTATCAACAATAAATAGGTCATCTTGTTCGGTACATCTCAGCTGGTTGGAATTGTCCCACTGTATGATACTAATAAACCAAGTAGAATTATTTACGTATGTTTGCTTTATGATAGGGCTAGGTAGAAAGATGGGGTTCCTTTACTGAATTACAGTACAGGTGTTTCATATTAATCTTGGTGCTAATAAATATTCAGGCCAGTTATCTGGCATGTGTACTGATGTATGAAGCCTTGGCTTAAATCAAAACCATGTTCACGATAACTCTTTTTCCTTTAGCTGATAAAAATATAGTTCTTGTGTGTGTTCTTGAAAGAAGGAAGACCCCAGTGACAAATAAATCCATGCTTTGCATGGGTAGTTTTACAAGAGTAAACATACTGAATATCAAGTGTAATTATGGCCTAAAATAATGTGGATGTTATGCTTTTAAATGAAGCATATGCCCAGCAAATTATGGTTACTGTAAAATCTTCAGGTCTAATACGGTTAGAAATCATGTATATCTGAGTGTAATGTACATTCCTCCTATGTTCAGGATTATTTTTTAAATGCCTGATAGGTTCTGTTTAACATCTTCTGACTGTAATGTTATGACACTGAATAAAAGGAAGAGTGATTATTCATTATACAGTGAGCTTCTCATTTTAAAGATTGGTATTCGCACAGTAAATTTTCAAGCATATTTGTACAATGAAAAAAAAAAGCAAGTTACCAAATAACCTCTCCCCCCGCGAGAAAAACTTTCCATGTGGCAAGAAAGAAGTCCTATCCTTTTCAGAAAGCACACTGGTTCATATTGAAGTTTTAGTGGCCCAAAAATGTTTCCCTATTTTGTTTAGGATACTTCTATTGTGCCATCAGCAAAGTTTAAAATCAAGTGCACCTAAGTACAAATACAGAAATGCAAGCTAGAAGTGCAAAATTAAAGTTACCTCAAAAAAGTACATAAATTTAAGCTGAACAATAACAAATCCTGAGACCCCACGAAGTTCTTTGCTTTGTAACAGAAATCCACCAGAGGGGGTGCCAGCTGAGGCTTTGGGGGGACAGCATTCCAAAGTTGGCATGATGGGAAAGTACCTCTTTCCCTATAGCCATCTGCTGCACGTCATGTGTTGGGAGTACAGAAGGTCTCTAAGAAAGGATTTGTTTGGTGCATTCAGATTCAGGAAAATGGAGAGCCTACTAGATCTTGGGAGTCCCTATTGACTATGCAGGATACAGCCAATGGAAGTTGGAGTCAAGTAATAAGTGGAGAGCAGCAGATTAGCCCTACCAGGTTGCAAGCCATAATGTAAAAGCTTTTTTAAAAGTCAAAACTTGGACTTGCAAATAAACCCAGAGCTAGTGCTCTTGCACAACGGTTAATGCGCATACTGCTCAGTCTTCGCAATCTTTCACAGCTGTGTTCTAAACTCTAAGTTTCCCGATTATTTTTAAAGCTGAAGCTCAAGTATAATAGTCATTTAATTTTGAAGGTTACCAAAGCATGGGTAGCTGTTCAGATAGGGTCACAGCTGACATACCAACTGAAGTTGGCCACCTCAGTCTCTACTGGCAAAGCTTGAGCCAAGATCACCCCTTGGTCCTTCAGGTTTAGTACAACCCTATCCAGAAGAACAGAAGCTCTATTTTCTGGTATTGTGACTGGATTATGAAACTATTCCATTTAACAGCAACGTTGCTGGTCAAATGTCTTAAGTTTAGAAGTGACATGAGTATATAGAAATTGTTTATAAATTAAAAGACAAATATACACTCACCTTATTGTCTCAGTGGACTCCCAGTACCTGTGGGAGATTAAAATTGTAGAGTAACTCAACTCATTGCCTAGTGAGGGAAAGTTACAGGCTCACATAAGAGGCCAAGCACACTTCTGCTGTGCAGTTGCAGATACTTGCTTTTCTCCATTGTTTCCTTTCACACAGGAGGGGAAAAGTTCAGTGGAATGCTGAATGTATTAATTGGGAGATGTGGGAATGTCCTTGAGAGGAGTATGTGGGGTGGGCATCCATGCCGTGGTTTAAACATATTTGTTATTAACCCCTCCCCCTTTACTGGATAACATGCTTGTTCAGAGCTGCTAAGCAGTCCTTGTTCTTTAAATCTGCTAACTGCAGATTTAGCAGAGTGAGGTAATGTATCAGGAGTGTGGAGAAGGGGGTGGGGAGGCATTCTCTGTGAGCCATGCATAGTGCTACAAGGTAAAGTGTGGTCCAGACTTATACAAGGCTTTGCTTCCACACTGGCTGGATCACTGAACAGACGCACTTGGGATAGACAACAACATGCTGTTGTGCATCCTAACATGTCAGAGGAAGCAGAGCAGAGAACAAGTGAGAGCAGGAGGTAGGGAGAAGTTACTAAATTGCTCAAACCCCAGGTAGAAGTTTGCCATTTCAATGAAGATCGAGCCCTTCTCCCCCTAGTGGAGTGTTCATTGTTCTGAAAGGGATAGCCTCATACCCAGCAAGTGCAGCGGGTAGGGTTAAAGTAGACCAGGAGCAAAGAGATGGGGGCCTGAAATAACTGCCCCTTCAGGTACAAGAACAAGTATAGTATTTCCACATGACATCACTGCAGGTCACTTGTGAGTTTATAGCATGTAGCTGATGTCAGAAATGGGTGTGAGAAGCAGGAAGTGAGCCTAACCACGAAGCAATATTTGTAAGCAAAATTCTCAAGTTTGTGGACACATCCACAAAATGAAACAACAGTCAGGGACATGGGAGGCAAGCAAGAGCGTTTCTTCTTGAGTAGCTTGGGCATACAGGCAATAGGCAGCAATTCTGTATAGGTTTATCTGAAAGTAAATCCCACTGAATGCCATGGGGTTCTTGGGGTGCAAAGCATGTTGTGTACCACTAAGATGTGGTCCCTGCCCTCAACTACAAGCACAGAAAAACTTCCAGGCCACAGAAGGAGGTAAAAGTCACTCATGTTTTATAAGTTTTCCAACACTGTTTTCTACTACAGACTTTGCAATACACTTGATTTGAATGAGCCACTCTCAAACACATGTTGAGTTGGAGACCACTGTTCCCAATACTTAAATCTGAATTTTATTGCTACATAAAGAAGCTACAGTCTTTGCAGATTGTGTTTCAATTTTTTTATTTTTATTTTGGAGGATCATTTCAGATATAAAAAGTCAAAATTCTTACATCAATCTTTAAAAGAAAGCCATGCACACAGCTCAAAATGTTTACAACTTAACTTGTAGTTTTCCTTCAAACGTTTTACTTCTCAGAAGCATGTTGAGCATTTGTTCCAACATTTTGACAGTAGCCCTGGTTAGTCTGCAATAAGCACTCAGGATGGTATTTTTACTTTTAATAGCCTCTATAACCTACATAAATACTCTTGCAATGTTGGTATGGCATGTTCCCAATTAACTATTCACTGTAACAAACTCCCACTGTATTAAGTCAAGACCTGCCTATACTTCTCTGGTAATGACCTTCTGACTTTGCAAACCATGTCTTAAGATACTGAAGACATGGACTGCCCTGTGGAATCTGGTCCTAGTCAACTTTTATTTCCCTGCCTTGTGAAGCCAGCTACAGGTTCAAAGGTCACTTAGGGGGAACACTGGCCTAGTTCCACAAGAATGCTTCACTATATATTAATCCCTCAGCATTTTAATGTCAACCCTGAACCCCTTACTGGAGTTATTTGACTATGGTTTAATCTTGACAGAAGAGGTCTTAGCTGTTATTTGACACATTCATGCTGTCCGGTCTATTCTTCCAAATGACAGAAATAGACAATGTTTCTGTGTTCACTTGTCTATAAGTGAAAATGCAACAATGGCAGCTAAATAATACAGTGGACCTCTTGTCATTCCAGTGTTATGTTGCAAGACAGACTTTAGAAGTCAGTATGAATAAGGGGCTTTATCTGAAGTTGCATAGGCAGAAGAGATCTGTACACCAATATATTTAAAACTGTATGTGGCACAGCAGCCTGGAGTATTTATAAGCCATCACCTTTGATTTGGTTAGCACTGACAACTGTACATTTTTACATAACACATAAATGTTAGAAACCAAAGTAATCATGCACTACCAATATGTAGCTTCTCTATGCTTGGCTTGGTTTTATGTTCCAAAAGCAAAAGTTGAGATGAAAGCAGTTATAGTAACCAAAAACTAATTAAAATTGCTCTTACTTCCATCACTGTGATGAACAAGAGACATTTCTCATATTATCGTGTGGTTAGTGATAACTGAATAAGAGTGTGGGGTTGAAGTGCTGACTTAGGAATCAGGAAAAATGCATACTTGTTAACTAGCCATTTCCTTAATCCGATTAGTGTACAAAGTTTCACATTGATGGGTCTGCCACCAGTCTACTATGAATGTTCTTTTGACCATCTGAATCAGAATATGGAAAGTAAGGCTCTTCAAGCACAAAACTGATGACATCTACGGCTCCACTCAGATTCTCTGAAGCCAGTAACTCCTGGAAGTTCTAACCTGAGCAAGATGTTGCAAGTCCATCTCCAGTTAATAGTACTTACTTATGGCTCTTGAAGCAACACTCACAACCAAACCTCTTACTGATGTTCCTTGCTTAAATGCATTTCTATGGCACTATGTGTGATTCCCACATGTTTCTAGAAGGAAAGCATATGGCACCAATATTTTCCTTAAAAATTGTAACAGCACGTGGGTTAATTTATAGCAGCATTTTTACCCAATGTATTGGAAGTTAGTGTGTAAGTTTGCCACCTTTTTCTCAGACAGGATTCCTGTGCCTTTATCTGTTATGTGATGAGCAGGAACTCACTAGGTGAAGATTCAGTGAGTGAGCTATTAAAGTTTCTGCTGGTTACATAGCTATTAAGACACAGAAGTCCTAGGTAGTAACCTACTGGTGTGAGCAACAGAGTATTTACATTACCTTTTCTTTCCACTTTACACTATACACCAGTTGGATTATTTACAGTGGGTTTATGTTACATAGAAAGAATGAGAAGAGACAGTTTCATAATAGAGGTAGTTCTTTACCTCAACCACAGTATGACTTGAGGGATCAAGGGAAAGTTCAGCGTACAGTAAATGCTTTTAGAGATTTCTGAAATTAGACTTCATATAATTTAGAGAATCTCTATAGCCATATTTTAGTTGCAAGCATTAGAACAGGATTAGAACACCATTTAGTCTGCTTTTTTTCCTTAAAGCTCAGGACAGTTATCTTCCCAATAGTGATCCAAATCATGTGTTTTGGAAACAGGCTGGAAGAAGCTGGGATGGTCCCCAGTAGTGAATCAACACCTGCTGGAATAGCAAAGAAAGCCAAGGCTGACTTTGGCAAGAGGAGAGCAAGCAGGTTAAGGGGTTGGCATGTTAGCATCTTTCTCGAATCTGCCTGTTTGCCTAATAATTGTAAGCAAGAGCAGTGTGAAGGATTGGCAGAGGCAGACAAGCTGGCACTACTCTGGTTAGGATTTGTAAGTGAAATATTTGGGGAGGACACTTCTTGACATAGAAGGCACTTCTTTGTTGGTTTCTGCTGCCTTTTAACTTGTCCAACAAATTTTATACTGAAGTAGGGAAATAAGGATGACTAAATTAAAAACAGTTTCCCAAAAATAGCATTTTTTGATTTTTAGGAAATTTAACAAAATTAAGCCAGACTCAAATGCCAAATTACAAATTCACTCCTGTTTTTTTTTTAATCAGGTTTTAAAAAGCCACAAAGAGGACCATTTAAGGCATCTTTAAGAATTCCCTGTATGGCTTTGGTTTGTTGAAATATTAAACATTGCTAAAAAAAAGAGAATGAATGTATATGTCTGAACATAAAGTGTTCACACACTCAATCTAAATGACTATACACATAGCACATGACCACTAACACATCTCCCCTTGTGATGGTGAACAAAAAAGTAGCTGAATTTTATCTTACAGTTGAGGGCAACCCAGAAGTCTGTGCAGGAGTAACATATAGAGAGTTGTTATCAGGATGGGAAGAAACCACAGAATTTCCATTGGTTGGTGAACATCCCAGTTTCAATTTTTCCAAGTACTCTGCATGTACTGGCTTGTGACACTGAAGGACCTTGATTGCATCTTCAACCTTAAACCACTCTCTTTTCCTTCCTACAACATGAAAAGAATAAATGCTTCAAATAGTGGACATTTTGAACCTTACAATCTGTCAACTTTAAAATGAAGTGGGCAAATGTGGCTGAAACATTCTAGAGAGTCCCCCAGAGATCCACCCACTATTTAAGGGCACTTAGTAGAAGCAAGCAGAATTGTGAAAAACAAGGGTATTAACTACAGACAGCCAAGATCTTCAACTCTGTTCATAAAATTCCTAAGTTGGTCTTATGATGTTAGGTGCTGAATAAGGATCATGAACATTTGGAGCTATAAATAAAGGCTTCTAATTACCACAGTTGGCTGAATGGTTCACTGTGAGACTAACAGGCTGTGTCTACTTTTATTAATGTATTATGTTAATTATGTGCAAATTAACATGAAAGTTAGTTTGTCCATCTGTTCCCTTGCCAACAAGCAAATAGCCTGCTTTTTATCTACTATCTTACCCTGTTCTGATTCATTAGAAGTATATGGCATTCTGAATATTACTCATTATCCCAAGTTCTTTCAACCAATTAGTAGTTTAAAGTATCTGTAAAAACAGCATGCCATGGAGTGTCAAACTGCAATCAAACACAAAATTTATCTACTTCCATAAATTATTTTATTAATGCTATTAGAGCAGTGGCCAATTAGTGATAAAATAAAATGGTGCTGGCTGCTCTTGAGTTATCCTTTGAACCTTTTTAGTACACCTCTAACTTTAATAACTTGCAGCATCATGCTTCTTGAACACCAGTTGTGTGAAAGCTGTCCTAAAAATAGCATGGTTCTCATACTGCATTACACACTTAGCACACGCAGGGTTGAAAATGTCTTGCCTATATTAACCGAATCCTCCCAGTCTTCCAGGATTTCAGTCACTGTAAGAACATAAACATAAGTCCTATGTTTCCGGTCTTGATTCTGCTTCAGTAGGAAGGAGAGAGAACAGACATATTAATTCACACTTGCAACATTAGATAGCTATTTACTTAGAATCACTTATATACTATCTTTCCACTATAATATAGCCCTCAAGGTGCCTAAAATTCAAACACTGCAACAAGATCATTTAAAAATACAATGGTACACATACAAATTCAATAGTTTAAATGGGGGGGGGGGAATGTAAATTAGAACTGTTTTTTAAAAAAAGCCAATGGAAAAACAAGTGAAAAGCAAATGTATACTGTTGGTAGTAGTACAGAAACATGTCAGTCTTCTAAGAGGCAGCTATGAGTTCTCTTGGCAAAGCTTTACCTCTCATTTAAATTGGAGCCAGTTGAGGCATGTGTGAGTGTCTGGAGGCAGTTGGAGGATGGATGGCAGTTAACAGATTGAGCTTGAATCCTGACAAGACGGAAGTACTGTTTCTGGGGGACTCCCTAGTCCTGAATGGGGTAACTGTGCCCCTGAAGGACCAGGTACACAGCCTGGGGGTCATTTTGGACTCACAGCTGTCCACGGAGGCGCAGGTCAATTCTGTGTCCAGGGCAGCTGTCTACCAACTGCATCTGGTACACCAGCTGAGACCCTGCCTTCCTGCCCAATGTCTCACCAGAGTGAGACATGGTCTGGTTATTTCCTATTTGGATTACTGCAATACACTCTACATTTGAAGGTGACTCAGAAACTACAATTAACCCAGAATGTGGTTGCTAGACTGGTGACTGGGAGCAGCCACCGGGACCACAACACCAGTCCTATAACATCTACATTGGCTCCCAGTACGTTTTTGAGCACAATTCGAAGTGTTGGTATTGACCTTTAAAGTCCTAAATGGCTTCAGACCTGTATACGTAAAGAAGCATCTATGCCCCCATTGTTCAGCCTGGACTCTGAAGAAGCCCTTCTGGCAGCTCTCTCATTGTGGAAAGTGAAGTTACCAGGAACCAGGCAGAGGGCCTTCTCAGTAGCCCCACCCCGTGGAACACCCTCCCATCAGATGTCAAAGAGATAAATAATTCTATGACCTTTCATAGACATCTGAAGGCAGCCCTGCACCAGGAAGCTTTTAATATGTGATGTTCTGTTGTGTTTTTGTATATTCTGTTGGAAGCCATCCACAGTGGCTGGGGCAACCCAGTCAGATGAGGTGGGGGTACAAAACCATCGTGATCATCATCATCATGAACTGTGATGCTAGAAACAGGGCTCCACTTTTTCTATCTGCATATATTTCATTAGGAACTGCGGGTTACAGCATCTATCTAGGAGTTAAACTAACATTCTCTGTTCACTACTTGAAAACTAGAACTATACAAACACCCCAATCCTAATCACATTTCCTTTCAAATCTTTGTTGCATTCATTAGGTCAGTCACTTTGCAGACCAGCAAAAATGGGATCCTAGAGACAATTCTTATTCTACTATATTTTCACCCATTATTCAGGTACTGGATAGAGTCCCCATCACAATCAGCACAATTTACTGAATCAGCTCCTTTTAATATCTTCCCTACTTATAAATATTTTGTACATGAATGTCAATATTTTTCTATTCCCAAACCTGACTTATTTATATATGAAGTGTAGAAGGTATTCAAATTATCAGTCCTTAATTAAAATACCTGTTTTCCAAGATTCCACCCCTTCCGTATTAGAAATGCAAACTACATTTCACAGCATGTACATCACAGAATATATATTTTTAAACAGCTCACCTCAAATATTCCCAGCAATCTGCCTAGTTTTCCCTTTACTCCAGCCTGCAAGGAATAAAGATAATCAGATATATTCCCCACAAGCAATCATTCTTACGGATTCATTACAATATTCGAAACCAATGTTTAATTTACTAGCATGTCCAATAATGGTTTCATGATCTATTAAATCTGTGCCCTAGCCAGAGTCTCTTTAGTTTTCCTGAAAGCTAAGGAACAGGGAGCACATTTTTCTGATTATCAATTTTTTTTCAGACGCACAACTAAATTTGAGAAGCTTCTAATAGAGCATCTGCTTTTCTTTCTTTTACAGAGTTTACAGTTAGGAAGCATGTGAGTAATAAAGCAAAAAGTGTGTAGGAATTTAGCATACTTAAATAATGTAGCTAGTTCCATTCTGGCTCCCACTTTTTAAAAACTTATATTAATGATTTGGGGCTATATTTAGCCAATGCAAACTCCCCCACTCTGGTAATTAGGAACAGAAATATCTGCATCTTGATGAATGCAGATGATTTAGCGCTCCTCTCTTTCTGGATTGGACCTCAAACATCTCTTAGAGGTGCTCAGCACATACTGTAAACTATTTCCTAGCTGAGATTTAAAACTTCTAAGATTATCCATACATTCAAACAAAGAATATTTCATTCTGTGATAAGTGCTTCTTAAGTAGCACATCCTGGAAATTTCAGTTTATTTATTTGATTCACTACCTGCCATAAGATTACAAGGAGGTTCACAGCAATTTAGAAATGCATTTTTAAGAACAGTTTAAAATAAATTACAGGCACAATTTATAGGGTGAGTCCTATAAATATCTAACTCAAAGGCCAGAGTGAAGAGGGGCCTCTTCAAGCAAACAACAGGAACTATGTAAGGAAGGTGTCAGACACATATAATGAAGGTGTCCCTCCTCTGTGGGGAGGGAATTCCACAACTTAAGGGCTGCCTCTCCTGTACCAACACACAAATGTCTGATGGCTGTGGAATTATCAAGATTGGAAGAAACTGTAGCCCGGAAAACAACTCTAACCATGCAATAAAGCAGAAGAGTCCTGTGTGGTCTCAAGTGTTTGGCAGACCCAGCTGATAGGCATCTGTTGGAAAGTGTTTCACTTAAATCAGGAACAATTCAATTCTTTCAGTAAGCTATTATCTTTATAGCCAGCATCTCATGAACACAAGAACTGCCATGCGGATGGCTACTGTCATTTATAACAGGTCTGCCACATGCCTGTCCTAGGAGGGGAGTAGCCCTTGTCTATGTGGCTCTCAGTTAAGTTTGCTTAAATGAGTCATCTGTTAAAATTCAGAGAATGCATATCCATACAGCATTTCAAGCTGAGAGTTCTAAATTCTTTACCTCTTCATAGACTTCTCTGACAGCAGCACCACCAGGTTCCTCTTCTGGTTCCATTCCTCCACCTGGAACAATCCACTGGTCTGGGTACCGGCTGCTACTTACTAAAAGAACCTGCAAAGAAAAAGATTTTCTTATGACTGTGTGAATTAAAACTCAGTGAGACTACATGAAACCAGACTGATATTTTGTGAAGTTAACAAAATGTTTAAGATGTCCACCAAATGGTACTCAAGGCAGCCAACAATATCAAATATATGTTAACAGATCCAAGCTTGGGTGACAGGCTATAAAGTTCAAGAATTCTGCACTCCTTCCCTAGCATCAAACTTTTATATACATATTAAAGTCAGATAATATGTCAAGTTTTGAGTATGCTTTCCTGGATGTTTCCATATTTGGTTCACAGTCAACTTACTGCAAGACTGTCAGTTTTAATAAAATATGACCCAATTAAGTTACCCCAAAAATAAAATAGCTGTCTATTCAAAGCATTTCAGACACGACTGCAAATGTTTTAATAAGTAGAAGGACAGTAACAATGGAAGCAGAACCCAATTCAGAACATCAAGATAATGTTCCTGGAGAAACCCAGACCAAGATGACAACTTATTCAGGCCAATACAGACTGAATTAGATACCCTATTCCTCTGTGTCTACAGTGGAAGTCCAAAGCCCATTTTGGACATGAAAATCTGTGTATGCACCAGTGTGTTAATGCGCACACAGGTTGAAGAAACCTAATACTTTCCATGTGCACTTTTGTGCACATTCTTGTGCTTTCAACTGAACTCAGTGGGTTACTTTTTTTTAAGAAAAAGTGTGTCATGACCAGCCTCACTAGCAGCCCACAAAGGATTGCTTCCATCCTAGTGCTGAGGGCAGTTTCAGCCACACATTCTACAGTAAAATGCAAGGGTTTAGATGCAGAACCATTACCTTTCCTATTATATTAAAACATTAAACACAAGGAAGCTAGACTGTGATTCAACAAAGCAAATACAAATCTGTACAGGCTTCTTGGATTCTTACAATTCAAAGCAACTTATTGTTTAGATTCCATACTTTAGTCTTATGAAGTTTACATTGGTTGGAAAGCCAAGCCAAGAAATAAATATGAGAGGCATTCTCCTGCACTTTCTAATGTAGCTGCCACAAGGAAGAGGGAAAGCATATTAAACTGGATTTAATTTTTATGGAATAGCTAAGAGCTCGTTCACACTTCCACTTGCCCCGTGTTTTCTAGGCAAAGGTCTGGGTGGTTCTGCTTTGGCCTGCTGCTTTCACCCAGAAAACCCACCCTTTAGCACTAAAGTGGACAAAAGGCAATCTGCAGAAAACCCAATTGCTGTTTTCCTGGGGGAAAGCGACAGGACAAGTGGAAATGTGGAAGAACCCAGTGACTCAAATGCATTTGCCTTACATACTACAGTATTTCAGAATTTTAGATAGAATTTAACTGTCTTTAGCTGTGTGTGTTTTTAGGTATCTTGAATGTTTTGTGCTCTAGCTATGAACTGAGGATACCAATTTCCTTTCAGTGAAGGAACTAAGTGTTTTCCATAGTCATGTGACCAACAATTATGAACACCATTATTCTTCTGTTTCAAAACACTCGGCTTAGTGAAATTGTTTCAATCAGCATTTACATTGATCACAGGCCTGAACAGAGATCCCAGTTACTAGTGCAGGGAGGAAGGAGTCATTGTTTGTCCTGTCTGGAGCTTAAATACATGGCTTTGTACCATTACATAAGATTCAGAGCCATGACATATCATAACATGACAGTGTTTTGAATTACGGACCCTAGCATTAGTGAAGAAAATTCATGTGTTTACAACTGAAGTATTTATATTAAATAAACTGAATGTAATCCAAAGAGTTTCAGAACACATGTCGGATTCATTAGGTACAGATCAAATTCTACAAGATAAATATACCATGCTATCATATACTTTAAAAAAAAAAAAATACTACAAGATTCATAATGATGTTAGAACTGAATAATCTCCCTTACTTTCTTATATAGGAAAAATAAACATGATTGATCCAGGATAATTTGGGAGTCTCTCAATAGTCTTGCTTTCCTACAATTCAATACAGTTGGGAAGATTACCCTCCAGAAAAGTATGGTCCAATCACAATAAATTTCCACAAAGGCTATTCGCATTCATCATGACACTTAATTATAGTGCTGAGACCTATTATAGACATTTTCCAACTCATCGAAGTGCCATCACTGGTTCTTAGAACAGTGCTGGAGACTCTCTGACTTGTGGCCCACCAGACCTCTGAATAAAGCATGAGAGGCCATTTGCTCACCTGTCAGTCACCGGATGTCAGGTGTGGAGATCTGTTCTCTCTTATGTAATCTTTGGGATAAGCCTGTGTTTGACAATAAAAGCCAGTATTTCCACCCACCTAGAAGGTATTTGCTTGCAATCCCAGCTTGAATTCAAGCCAGGGCTGTGAAAGAAAAATCTTCCTTTGGAGCTGCTGTTTGAACTTTGATTCACCTGACATCATATGACTCAAGGGGTTGACAGTTCAGTGCCCTGCCCACCTGTCAAATGCCCCAGAGAAGATGGGTCAAATCTGGACCCTCCATCCAGATCTAATTCCTCACCCCAGTCTTAGATTTACAACCAAGAAGGTATGCCCAGAGGAAATAAAGTAGGAATAGTGCTATGTGTACTAATGCATTGAACAGCGCTATTCCTGTCCACCTGCATTCTTTTGCCATACTCACAGATACCAATCTATTGTATTCTACCTTGTGCATCAACAAACAACCTTGGCAGATGCGCCCAATGCTTTTATCAAAACTCCAGATTTCTTTCAAGGCTTAATGAAAATGTCAAGAAACCTGTTTGCTATTGCTTGGGAGCAAACAGCAGCCACAGCAGTGGGTTCTTCCAAACTGATAGTTCCTAGTGCTGATCAAACATGGCAATTCTGCATGCAGATTACATCAAAGAACACTTTTCCACACCTCAAGGTGGAAGCAGGATGTATGCACATAAAAAGTGGTGTGTTCCATTCACACTAGCAAGCATAACACAGCTAAGAGAGAGCACATTTCTGTTTGGGTGCTAAAGTGCTTTTTAGTTTATTTAGGCATTTCAATCTCACATTTGGCTATGAAAATCCCCCAAGACAACTCACAACAGAGCAAAAACATAAAATATATAATCTACTTCTTGCACAACTGTCAAGATTGTTTTAAAATGGGAGGCAACTCCCAGCAGCAGATCCCACAATATGTTCCTCCAAAGTTCTGGAGTGCTCAAACAAATCCTTGCTTCATTCTCTCTTCAGCAACCAACTTGTCCAGCCAGGCAAATTCTAAGCATTATCTTTTTTTTTTTTTTAAATGATATTTATTAAAGTTTCGCAAAAATACAGAAAACAAAGAAAAAAGTATAAATTACAGCAAAAAAGTAAAAAGTAAGAAAAAACATACAAAATAAAACAATTAAAAACACAATGATGTTCCATAACCTATCTTCCTTACTCTTATTTCCCCAGACCTCCTCATACAAATTCTAAGCATTATCAGCCATGCCTGATAATGTCTTGGAAGAGTCATTTCCTTGCTCAGTATTTAAACACTATCACATGTTCTACTGCACATATATTTATTTATACACATATGGTGTGTGAGAAAAATGGCATTCTAGACTAAATTAAATATTAATAACATACCAATAAAATGGTGCTAGCAGAATTATGAAGATGTGCAGGCAAGCCTTTTCACACACAAAGCTCACCTTTGTTAGAAAGAAGTTGGAGCTACTGTTCTACCCTTTCTAAAGAACAGTGATTTGATGGCACAATGTATACTTCCCATAAAAATAAGTAAACAAAGTGTGACTACTCCAGGGCAAAAATCATGTCTTTAGTTTATTGACATTTAGCATGTCTACACTGATCATGCTCACTTCTAACAAGAAAAAGGCCTAAAGTGAAGGAAGACGTTAAAGAAGGAAATTAGAAAAGAGACAGCTAATAGCGTTGGTAGCTTAAGGCTGTTCAGGTCTCTCTTATGAACAGTGCAGTCCCTCTTAACTTTGCTGGGCAGCTGACAGACCAACAAGAAGTTCTTTCTGCAGCTACTAAATGTTGCTGGAGAGGTTTCAGTAACTATAACAAGGATGACAAAGCAACTGACTGACTGCAGGGTTACTCCCCCACAAAACACTTTTTTCACCCGTTTCAGTGTGCAAGTCATTAGGTATTCACTTGAGCCAGAGTCCACCTGACTGGTCTTGAACCAAAGTGGACTGTGTGACTGACAGACTCACCTTTGTAAGCTAAATGTCAAGAAACTATTTCGAGTTCCATGTATCCACTGTCAAAATGTTCATTTTTTTCAGCCAAGGCAAGGACAGTGCAGAAAGGTCATTTACACTGCTTTTACCAATGTTGGCTATCATATGTTTGTAGACAGGAATGAAAAAGGCAACTTTTCAGCACCATTTTCCCTCTGGACAATAAAGAGTACTATGTTGTAACTTGAAATATGAAGGAAGAACCCCAGAGGCTGCCAGCTTACCACATGGTTTTGTCCCATTTCAGCTGAGAGTTAAGTTGTGAGTACTCCTTTTTCTATATTAAGCATTTTTTATTATATAGGAAATAGATTTTTAGCCATTACAACTTCTGTGTGAGGACTAACTTTCATCAAGAGAACTTACAGACCAGAACAGCCCCACTTCAAGAAGAAAAAAGCTATTTGAATTGTATCAAATGTACCGAGATGCCAACTCTCTCTTCATTACTGGAAGCAATTAAGACCCTGCAGAGGCTAATTGAAAGTCACAAACAGTCTCTACCAACTGACAGTATAACGGCATGCTAGTATATAAGCATAAACTGTTACACAGAAATGAACATGTAACAGGCACTTGTAAAAGACAGGATTACTGCAAATCTTGTCCTTTGCTAACAGAACACTTAGTTTCATATTACCGAAGCACCTGCAATCTCTGTGCTTTCGTGATGACTGGTAAAACTCCTTGCTTTGCAAACACCAAAACTGTACCCAAGAGTCTTGCAAGAATTCTGAACAGAAATTCTTTGCAGAATTTTCTGAAACACAATATCCTATTGAGAATGCAAAAAGAGGAATATGCCAGGATTGTTTCAAGATAATACTAAGAGACATAAATTAACTATTGCTATTGCTGAAACTCTGACAAATTAAGTTTTATCTCCACCACTGGAGGACCCCAATACACACAAGAGGTCAACTAGTTCACACACAAAAATGGACAGTTTTTGTCCTTATATGTTTGTGGAATTTTGAGCAGTAGATCTCTCAAGCCACTCATCCAGAGCTGCTAAACATTAAGGACAAGTAGTTGCCACAATACAGTTACTGTCTCATTCTTTGAATATATGTTGTTTAAACCTAAAACAACAATTAAAAGATGCTGAGTATCTCACTTTTTAGTATAGCTGGAGCTCCCTCTACAGCCCCAATACTGTGCAAGAAGCCCCTTGGAAGCATATACCAGCAATATTTAGCAAAACAATTCAGGTGTGCCAACAGACTTAAAGCAGTACTTTTGCTTTAAATTTGGACCCATTCAATTACATTGCTGGTAGCCCAGCACAGCAAAGTGAAGTTTCAAACAATACAATTACAGAAACTTTTTGTACTAGCTTAGACTGCTCTACAGAGGTTTACACAAAAATAACTTTTTAAACATAATAGCTAGACGTAGTAGTTCCATGTGCCTAGGCAGTATTTCTGGTTGCTAAATACCAGGGGCACAATATTTCTGGTTGAAATGCAATTTGTTTGGTTGGCCTTTTTGTCCTATGTTAGCAGTCCCCACCCACTTCAGCTTTAATCATGCTATGTCTCAGTTGTACTTCCCATCTAGCATATACTTCCAGAAGCAAGATCCAACTGTACCAGGGAATTGTATAATTGCATCACAGAATATGGAAAGCTTTTTCCTAACAGCTGATAAGCCAAGCCTACTTTTGGCAGAACTGCCTCTAGGTTGTGTGACAGAACCATTGTGTACTAGTGTTGGCAAAGGTAAATCTGTAGAGACTGTATTATGAAGTCAGGAATGCTTCACAGTTTCTCCCTACAACTACACTGCCTCTCAAGATGGCAAATGGCTCTTGGTACTTCTCGGGCATGTTTAATATTTTTTTCTGGTAAATGATATAATCAAAGGATAGAAAAATAATATCCTGTGCTTTCCAATAAAGGTCCACAGTATAATACTTGGCTTTTAAAAATCTGCTGCTTACATTTTATGTGAACAGCCCAATTTAAAATGATAAATGAGACCATAATCTCCCTTTCAAGAAATTGGAGTAAAAGCAGCTGAAAAGCTACACCAACCTGCGGCCCAATTCTTATTCAAACAGATCACCGAGCTAAATGGTAACTAACCCCAATTATGTATATACAGGAGTGTATCCTTAGTCTCATATTTTCAGTTCTCTCACATTCTTATGGACAGCAACACAGAAAGGAAGCAATACAGACAGGCAGTGACAACAGGTTATTTGAAAAATTATTTAAAGAGGCTCTAGAAGACTTAGTAATGGCTTCATATGTCCCCAAAATATAAAAAATCTTGACTGCCTTTAATTTACCATCTGATACATTAATGCATAGTCACATTTGCTATCTTACTTTGAAGTGCAAGAAAAACAGCAAAATATAATGCTGTTAAAAAAACTATATATGGCTAGAAGGTAGCAAAAGTAGATTTCAAGGGGGGGGGGGTGAGCCTTCTTTTTCAGTGCAGACCTCTATCACAACTACAGTAGAAATCACTGTTCATGCATATGTATATCTATCTCAATATCCATATATTTGAAACCAGAGGTAGTGTGACATTTCAAAGCCTATTCAGTGTTACTAGATTCTATTATACTGTATGCAGAAATATGCACATTTAGCCTGTTGCAAAAGTGAAACTGCATGTCTGATTTATACATGCTGTTTGCCTTACAAACAGGTATGAAACACACATTCATCCAAGCACGCTGGGAGATATCCAATCAGTCACAATCAGAGTAGACCCGTTGTAACTTAAATGCACTGATTTCAGTGGGGCTACTCTGAGCATGTCTAGTATTAAATATCACCCACATAGCAGCCAACTCCTAGGGGCCAAGGCCCCCCAATATTCGAGGGGACCCCCCCAAAGTTGATGGGTATTGCCATTCAAATGGTGTGTGTGTACCATCCCCTCTTTTATTCAAGTGGTCACCCCTAATGAGCCATTATAAACATGCTTCAAAACCACATCACTATGTCTGAGCTAACTGGGTAGCAACTGAACAGATATTAACTATTTACTCTGAACGCATCACAAAGAGATAGAGTAAAAAAAAAAAGTCATGTACAGGAGCTGGTTATGCAGATTGTTGTTGCATAAATAGGAACTAGTGCCGCCTACCTGTCTGCTCTGCTCTGTGTGCGCGCGGGGGCGGAGGGGGGGTGTCTGTAAAAACTGACAGTCACAAAAGCAACTCGATCTCCCCGCTGTGGCAGAAGAGGTCATTGAACTCAAGCCATGCTGTTTTCGGAGGCAGCCAGATCTGTCCGGCTAGTGTCAAATGTATTAAAGATGCGCAATGCTCAAGGCACAATGTGCAACCCTTTCATTTCTGGTTAAGTAGCCACTGGCGGGCTAAAAGACCAGCCAGCTTTATTTCCTTCCTCCCTCTCTCTCTCTCTCTCTCACACACACACACACACAAAAGCACACCACGTTTTAAGACCGGCGGCAGTTTCAGCTCCACTCTCTCCCCCCGCCCCCACGTTCCAGCCACAACCAAGTCACCTAAATAAGCCGACCTTGGCTCACCCCATCTCTCTTGCCTTACAGAAGCGGGCTCGGCCCCCTCCTCGGCCTGCCTCGGAGGGGGGGGAGAGAGAGAAAAGTGGGTCTTAGCCCCCTGGCGACCACGCATCCCGCGCCAAAGCCCAGCCCCGGAGAAGGGACGGGGAAAGCGGGCAGGAACCCTCGAGGCTCGCGAGAGGGCGACAAGCCCGGCCGGCTCCGCAAAGCCCCGCACACAAAGGGGGTCCCAGGCAGCGGGAAGGAAGGGATGGCGGGGTGGGCAGCGAGGGAGGCGGAAACTGGGCGCGGCACCAGCGCCGCGAGAGGGAGACGCGGCCCGACCCCCACCCCCCCAAACCGCCCTCACCTCGTCCTCCCGCTCGCTGCGGAAGCACAAGCACGCCGCCCGCTTCTTGAAGCCCTCCCGGTCGTAGGTCCGCGTCTGGTTGGGCTTGAACTTCATCATAGAGGCAGAAATAATAATGCCGCCGCCGCCGCCGCCTCTTCCTCCGGTCCCCGGCACTGCGCCTATTCCAGTCGCGGCGACGGCTGAGGCCCCGGCGCTCTCCCGCTTCGCTCTCCGGCCCGCTCCGAGGGGCGGCGGCGGGGCGAGAGTGAGTCCCGTCGTCAAGGGAGGGAGGGAGGGAGCGAGCGAGGGAGGAGGAGGAGGAGGAGGAGACGACGACGCGCTTTTCCTCTCAGGGGGACCGAGCGCCGCGAGGAGCGGAGGCGCTGCCGGTGCCGCGGCCGCCCAGGAGGAGTCCACGCCGCGCCATGGAGACGCTCCGACTGCTGGCCCGGTGCCGCCTTCCCGCCGGCGCCTCTGTCCCGGAGCTGCTGGAAGAAGCGCTGCGCTATCTCTTCGCCGCCCCACCCGCCTCAGTCAGCCGCCCTCATCCGGCCCCCTGAAGCGCCGCCACTCGCCGCTCCTGCGGCCGCTGTACCCACTATTTAACTGTAACGCGCATTCCTCCACCCGCCCGCAGCGGCCCGGCCTCCGCCGCTCACTACGCAGGCGCAGGGCCCGCCTCGGAGGAGGGGTTGGCGAGGGAGAGGCGGGGCGCAGCGAGTAGGCTCCATGGGCTGATCTTGGGGGGAGGGGGCTGCCCTAAGGCGAGGCAGCCTCCTCGGCCCCGATCCCCTCAGCCTAACGTAAAAGGAGGAAGGCCTAGCTGGTCCTGAGGCGGCTGCCTGCCTTACTGCCCTCGCGCAGTGATGCGCAAACTAGAGGCTTTTGCAATTTGGAAGCGGGAAAAGCGCCTCCCTTTCTTTTCAATGAGAGTTGCCCCCCCCAACATGCCATATTTGTAGTGATGACTAGTTTAAACTCGCGCAAGCATTGACAAAAGAATTTCATAGTTTAGGGAGTGCGCACGGACAAGGCTCGATCCAGTTCACTCCAAATGGCAGCCGCCCGGGCTGTGTACAGGAAACTCTCAGTAGGGCTCTTCCTTTAGGCATAGGATTACAGAGAATGGTGCGCATCTCCCATATCAGATCCTTCAGTTTCTCAAGGAATGGAAACTCCAAGGAATATGAGTGGCGCCTCCGTTTCCTTAGATCCACTTGGTACTCCGAGTGCCTCATTGTGTCGTAGGGCAAGGGGGAGAAAACAGGTACCCAGGCGCTGGGAGTATCCCCCTGAATATAAGTGATGCAAAATGGTTGAAAATTTCAAGGCTGAACTGTAATGTGAAATTCTGGACCGTTGCAGTCAAGCAAAACTAGGATATGGGGACTCCTACCAAAGATCTCGCATTAATATACCAACCCTGAACTTCACATGGAACACAGCAGCAGTGGAGTGCAAAAGTGCACTTAGCCCTTGGGTTCTCCCAATAAGTGCCTGATAAATTCTGGACATGGTTCCATTATATTTTGAAGAAATACACATAGTCCAATATGGAATTATGATGTCATGAGGGTCCAAAAGCCTGTATAGTCAAAACAAGTATCTATACCCTGCAAGTTTTAGCTAAGATTACAAGTCCTCCCCCCCCCCCATAGAGTCTGAAGATATGAAGATTAAACATTTACAGATGTATTTCTTTTTTAAAAAAATCTTGCCTTATCTTAAGTGGTCACCTAAAGAAATACAAGGTTGTCTCCAAATAAGTTTTACTCAGAATTGGCCCACTGAAATTAATAGATCTAAGTCATGTCCTTTAATATTAATAGGCCTGCTCTGAGGGTTAACATTAGATACAGCCCATGGTGTTTAGCATGTATTGCTGCATCACTGATGGAATAAGCAGTATAACTAAATACAGTTTATTAATGCACTATTAACTAGCTCCATTGTAGGTAGCCTATGTGATTAATAGAAATGGAATATTATTTGTTTGAGTTGTGACACAAGACAAACAGCAATCAATCAAAAGGGATGTCTGATTACTCTTACCTCCTGACCCACATCCCTACAGAATTAATCAGAGCAAAACTTTCAGAATATGATCTGCTCAGACAGTGGTCATAAATGGAGGTCCCCATTGAAGTGTGTGCAGGAATGTCCTGTGAAGACTGAGTTTACCTCTATCTTTCTGTTTTTACTTTCTAGATTGCATTTCCCCTTATATGATCACATTGCCCTTCTTGGCACTGGAGTAATAATGCCACACCAGCCAAAGACTTCTTTGGAAATCATTCCTATATCTGAGGCTTGTCCAGAGTGTCTGTTTTGGCTAGCAGGAGCAAGTAGGAATGATGAAAGTAGCAGATAAAAAGGATAACTGTCTGGAGGAAAGATCCTAAAAACCAGCAGTTCCTTTTGTCTCTCCTATTACAGCTCCCTGCATTCTGCTAGGAACCTGGGAAAGTCCCTCTCTGGGCATGTTTCAGATGCATGCAATGGCAATAACTTTTACAAACTGAAGACAAATACTACTGTTTTCAGTGCTCCATGACAGATGTTAGCATCTCTCTTATGGTTCTTTCCCCCACCCCCATGGATGGTTCTCCCAGGCACATTTGTACTGGAGCCAAGACTTATGTTGCAAATCTAATTTTGCTGTCATTTCAAAACAAGAAGCAACCATGCTCTTTTGGCTCTTAGCCAAGCAATTCTTTGCATATTTGTGTGCGAGAGAGCGAGCGCTAAGCATAAGTGAAGTTGTTGCATTTGTTAAAAGTTCTAATGTGCAGATAGATTAGCTTGCTTCTTCAAGTGTACTAGAAACCTAACCTGTAGGGCTATATATATATATATATATATATATGGGTTGTCCTGGGTCTCTGGGTTGTCCTGGTTTGAAATCCTGGTACCCTAACTTTCATTATGTATGTATGACTGCCATGAGGTTGTAGCATCCAGTCATCTCCTGTCCTGACAGTGATGAATGTTCATGTAAATGTTCTCCAGTGACAGAAACTAGATCCCAGGCTGTTTGTCCATACTCCAAGTGATGTAAAATAGAATGTGGTGCAACTTCTGTATAATAAACAGTCCATGTTTTGGATATGCAGTAACATCTCCGTAGCACCTTTTCTGCCTTTGACCTTGCATTTCTGTCATATGCTATTCTTGAAATTTATCCAGGGCCTGGATTCCAAGCAATAATCAATTCAGAATACACACAAAATGTTCATTTTAAGCCTTATGAGTTAACAGAGGCTGCAATCCTAAGCTTGCCTACCCAAAAGTAAGTCCTACTGAATTTCGTGGCGTTAACTCCTTGTTAAATGTCATTAGGATTGAAGGTGCATGTCTTAAGCCATCCTTACAAGATTACTTATGCAGTACTTGTTGAATGGCAGCAAAAATGTGGCAGATCATAGAAGGCAATGAGTTTAATTCTAAAAACATGGACTTTCATAGGAAAATGTTTGCTTCTGGTGTGTCAAAACTGAAGCTGAAGTCTGCTGTCAATTTTAGTTCTCAAGTACAGTTGGTTTGTGGCACTTCAATCTGAAACATACCACTTGGGAGTCCAGCTCATTTTCAAGGACCCATAAATTCTGTGCCAAGTGTTTAGAATCAGTATCAGTTCACTAGACCCCTGCCTGCAAAGTTAAGGGTTGCAATGAGAGAGAGAGAAAATGAAAGCAGTTTATTGCAAAGAGAACTATATTTAATATTCTCAGGACTGTTTCTGCTGGTTTAGAATCCATCAAGTAACAGAGATCAACAAATCAATTTCACACAACCATTTCATGCTTATTGTGAGTTTCACATATGCTTGTCTATTTTTTGTCGCACTTATGTTTACCATAAGTTTCCTTTGCATGTTAAATGTATTTTTAACCAATTATGTTAAAGCTAAGTAACAGTGTATGCTGCAGCCCATTGGCAAGACACATAAATTAAACTGTGTTATGTCTACTCCCAAGCATGATAATAATAATAATAATAATAATAATAATAATAATAATAATATATTTATACCCCACCCATCCGGCTGGGTTTCCAAGCTGTTAGTTTTAATATAATAAATTAGAAATAGAGACAATTTACCAAACTTCCCTGTTATGTAATTCTGCATCATTGTACGAAACAGTTCTGGTCACTTTCATCTGAAAACTACACCATGATGGTAAAACACAGAATTCATTCAACGTATCAGGTAGCAGCTTCCCACTTTCACAACCAATACCTGATCAGATATGGAATCTGTGTCTGGCTACGGAAGTGATGGTGTGACAAGCCTTAACAAGATAGGAATGGACTACAGAAATCCTAGCCTGCAGAAAGGGCATGTAGTAGAAACATCATGATGCTGAAGCTTGTTCACTCTTTTTTTTCCATCCTGGAAAACATTAAAGTACTATTCAGCCTTCTTCTCTGTCAAGACCAAATTATGTTTAATGTTTGTACTGTAGCATGATTAGGACTGTCCACATCTCTTTCTATTTCTAAAAAATAAATAAGTCCGTCTCCCCATCTGGAATAGGACTGTGATATGGAAAACAGGGGTGTAACCCTATCCCCTGAGCTGTGTTTGCTTGTCAAAACACCCTGAGGCGTTATTCCCCCCCACCCCCCAAAAAGTGTTATTGGTAGACTCTATCTCTATGAGGTGCCAGCACCTCACAGCATGGCTATAATCACCATGTTAAGCATTTGTCTTTGCAAGAACAAGATTTTCTGCTTCAAACCTGTTGTTTTTCCTGGGCAAGGTCTTGTAGGAATACATTCCAGAGACAATATGCCTTTAAAACAAGACTCTGCCTGTGCTGAGTGGTGTTCAGTTTCCCCTGAGGTGGGTTTTCATTGCAAAGAACTGGATGTTTTGCTTGTAGATTATTCTGATGTTAGAATACACAACAATAGTTTAAACACACACACACACACACACACACACACACACACACACAGCATCCCTGGTGGTGCCTTTAAACTAAATATACTGCTGGAACACCCTTCCAGCAGAAAAACTGACAGGGCGAGTCATGGGCAGAGAAACAGTGCAAATGCCACATTAACATCACAGAAACCTTGTTGAATCAGGCCATAGGTTTATCTAGTCCAGCATCCTGTTCTCACACTGGCCAAGCAGATGCCTGTAGGAAGCCCGCAAGCGGGATATGTGTGCAACAGCACTCATTCCACACTCTTACAACCTGTGGCCAAAACACCTCAGCCCTGGCACATTTATTTATTTGATTGTTTTTTAAAATTGAATTTCTCAGTCACTTTATCTTGCCCAGGGCCACCCAAAGCAACTTAGAACCAAACAGACAATAAACCCCATTCAGATATATTAAAACCAAGAGGAAAGAGAAACACATTATTAAAAACACCCCACCCACTTCTAAAAGGTCTCAGATAGTTAAAGGCCAAAGGCCTGGTTATAGAGGAAAGTTTTGGCCTGGCGCCTAAAGGTATATAATAATGGCACTCTCAGGTGGACTCCCTTGATAGGAAATGGAGAAGGGGTGCTTTGTGCTACAGAGAAGCACTTTGCAAAACGTTTGCAAAACCAATGTGTGGTATGTGGTTAGCATATCTGACCAGAGCATGGAAGACCAGGGTTCAAATCCTCATTCTGCCACACCACAAAGCTCACTGGGTGACTCTCAGCACAACCTACCTCACAAGGTCATGGTGAGGAGAACATAAGGAGGAGAGAACCACACATGCTATTGCTACATCAGCCTCCTTGAGGGACAGGTGGGATATACATGTATTAAGAAACAAATTCATAAATATAAAATGGTTCTTCTGAGGAGACACAGGAACTTGAGCATGTGCCAAGACTTTCTCCTCCCAGAACCTTAGCATGAACCTTGCCTCAAGCACAAGCACCCATCAGCAACCTCCATTCCCAACAAGTGGGGTGCCTGAATTGAGTATATATATATTGCCTGAAGATAACATGAGATAAGTACCTTGCTGTAACCTGGCTTTGGTCAATTTCTGGATGTGAGACCACCTGGGAATACTATGTGTGCCACCTTGAGTTTTGTGGTTGAAGACACAATAGAAACGTAATAAATGATCAATAATTAAAAGTAACCAACATTACCAATGAAATAAATAACATTCAATCCATTATATGCTCCTCAGTATGTGCCAGCTTACACTTAGCATCTAATTGTAGTTTCTAGTTCAATCCTGCATGGGTCTACTCAAATATCATCCCAGGGTTGTGAGTGTAGGATTGCAGCCTTAAGGTGCCTTTGGTTACTGCTCTACCTCCTACTCCCTGTTCAATTTGGTTATCTACTAAGACAATGAACGTGCAGGTTTTCTTGCAGCAGTTACACATGGGTTATATTTACTTTTGTCCACAACTCTTACAATAGTTAATTGATGAAACATTGTTAAAGGGACATGAGGCTCTCAGTTATTGATGCATCTTAGAATTGCAGGGGATGGGATTCCCCTTGGTTTACCTGCAGTCCCTGCTGCTTTTGTGCATTGTGGACACATATGAATGACACTTGTGAAAATGCCTTTAGATCTTTTGCATGTAGTGTATCCATGGCTGAAAAAGAAAAAAAAGTTGAGAAATACAGTTGAACCTCGGTTTTCGAACGTAATCTGTTTCAGTAGACCGTTTGCTTTCTGAAATGTTGGAAAACCAAAAACTCAGTATGGAAGCCTCAATACAATAGGGCAGGCATGTCCAAAGTCCGGCCTGGGGGCTAATTGCGGCCCCCAGGCTGGTTTCAAACAGCCCACCAGGCAATTTTGAAAAAGCAATCTCTTGCAGCCCCCGAGCGCCTGCCCACCAAAGCCATTTCCTTTTTACGGGCTTGTCACGAGCTCTCCCCTCTGGGGGTGTGGCTAGCCCTCCCCCGCGCCATTAGGGAGGCCCCGGCTGCATCACTCCTTGGGTCAACCAATCTGGTTGGCCGGGGGGCGTGGCTAAATAAATAAATAAATAAATACTACAGTACACGTTCGGGACGTTGATGCTGCAGCGATGGTGATGACAGAGGGGCGGCCACCTTCTTGACCCAGTGTCGGATTTATGTATAGGCCAGCCTTCATGCATGTTCACTTCATCAAATCTGGCCCTCTTTGAAAAAAGTTTGGACACCACTGCAATAGGGAAACTCAATATGGAAGCTGTGTTGCACATTCGGCTTCTGAAAATCGTTCAAAAACCAGAGCAGTTACTTCTGGGTTTTCGGCATTTGAAAGTTGAAACGTTCGACTTCCCAGACGATTGAAAACTGAGGTTCCACTGTGTATATATATGAATAAAATTGGAGCCCCTAAAGTCACATTTGCAGAATGAGAATTACCTGTTCCCTGTTATCATCGCAGGAAAGGCTAGAGTACAAGATACAGAGCTGACAATGTTTCCTAAGCTGCTTTCTCCCACTGTTCTCACAGTTGTTGAGTAAGCGGTGGCTTGATTTCACGACTGCTTATCTGACAGGGACAAAATTTGCACTCCATGCACTCTGCCCTTTGAGCAGATCCTGTTGCAATGCTGAGTATGTTGAAGCCCGTGATAGTAGAATGGAGATTATTTGGACCAAACTCCCATCTCAATTATACCAGACAACCTCACTGAACTCAAAGGCTTGCAGCTGAAACAAGAGTGGTTAGCTGCATATTTCTTTGGGGGACCAGCTTGGACCAGCAAACATGAGTGAAGGACAGAGAATCATCATGTTCTCACACAGCAAGTTAATTGCATGAAAGCAACTAATGTATTGAAATGCAAAAATCAGGGGTGCTGTCACATGTTAATGGATTTCACTCACTTAATGTAACAAGTGGTTTAAACCCCAATTGAAATAATAATAATAATAATAATAATAATAATAATAATAATAATTTATACCCCACCCATCTGGCCGGGTTCCCCCAGCACGCTCATTCTGCTCTGAAAACAAGGGCACCAGAATGCAGAAGATATGTGTTCAAATAATCTCCGCTATACTTTGGAATGCGTTTCTAGCTCTGTTCAGATGTTTGCCAAGAATGCACAGAGGGAGGCCACACAAGCTAACTTCACCCCCAGTGCCCTGTTCCTGTCAGCTGCAGCCTCAGACTCTAATGATGAAGAGCCATAGCTTAGTGGGCTAGTATCTGCTTAGTATGCAGAAGGTCCCAAGTTCAATGCTCAGCAATTCCAAGTAGGGCTGGGACTGTCCCTTGTCTGAAATTCTAGGGAGCTGCTGCCAGTCAGTGTCAACAATACTGAGTTAGAGGGACTGATGGATTGACTCACTATAAGGCAGCTTCCTTACTGTGTGTTTCATATCACATGCTACCTGAGTTCCATTGTCTGAAGATGCCAAGGATGGAACCACAGACCCCCTGCAAGTTAAGTGCATGAAACACAGTGGTACCTCGGCTTACATACGCTTCAGGTTACAGACTCCGCTAACCCAGAAATAGTATCTCGGGTTAAGAACTTTGCTTCAGGAGGAGAACAGAAATTGTGCTCCGGCGGCGCGGTGGCAGCGCAAGGCCCCCATTAGCTAAAGTGGTGCTTCAGGTTATGAACAGTTTCAGGTTAAGAATGGACCTCCAGAACAAATTAAGTTCTTAACCAGAGGTACTGAGCTATGGCTGCTCCTCAATCAGAAATGAGGCCAGAAGAGGTCTGTGGCACACATCCAGCTCTGATCTCCAACAGAGGGGAATAGCTAGGAGTGGGAGGCTGCCCCTGCTGCCCCACCCTCCTTCTGCTACCGGAGGTGGATTTAGGGCAGCACGGGGGGGGGGGCAAGGCACAAGGGGCACCTACTTCCCAAACCCTAATTAGCACTTGCCCACCTTTGGGAAGGAGGTAGGAGGGCTCTAGGATTCTGCCAGAGCCTTGCACCACCTTCCCAAAGCCTGATGCCCCCCATTCCTGCCTTTGGGGAGGTGGCATGTCTGCCCCTGCTGCTACCTAAGGCAATTGCCTCACTCTGCCTAATGGTAGGGTCAGCCATGCCATCTGGAAAGCACCTTAGGTCAGAGATAAAGGCCACAGCAGTGACTGTTGGGAAATTTTGTCTCAAGGCTCCGCAGTCTCAATATCTTGAGTGGAAAGCAAACTGACAACTTAAAGGACAGAGTATTAAACCCGCATACACAGAAGGTCACTCAAGTGTGTTTAAAAAACTGCTTGCAAAAGGCCTTTCCCCCTCTCAGGTGAAAACTGAAGCCTGGCCAGCAGAAATTGTACCATTTCCAAAGGCAGTTACCCGATTACTGTGAGAATGAGGATTTCTGGATCAGTTGACGCTTCCTTTTTCTACTGAGGTGCATGCAATTAAAGCTTGTTTTGTATCGCTGTAAGTGAAACCAGATATTAGTGAAATAATCCACTGTAGAGCTTTAAAGAGAACATAAACTAGAAGCTTGCTGAACAGTACATCTTTAATTGCTTTGGCCTGATTCTTACCTTGTGGGTTCCCCCCCTTATTTGTTTGTTTGTTTGTAAAGCTACAGCATTTCCACACAGATGGCTTCCAGTCAGAAGGTTTCTCCTAAATCTGAGAAATAGCTTCTAAAAATGCATCATCATTCTGCTCTCCAGGTATGTGTTGGGGAGAGGTGAACTTATCTGTGTGGCTCTTCAGGTGGGAGCCTTAGATCATTGAAACTACTGTACTTGATTAGTTATTGTGGGGAAGAGAAGGAAGGAAGGAAGGAAGGCGTGAAGGAGTGGCATTTTAGATGACTATATCTTGATGTATAACTTCCAGAAGAAGTCTGATGCTCTTTTGTAAACATTAAACATACAGATGATAAGGGATGATGGCAAAGATTTACAGTGAAAAACGCCAGCAATCAATAATGTTGCAATTCACGTTTTTGGCGAGGTTCTGTACAGGCCAAAATAGAATTTCCTTCTCAGGTGCAAAAGCTGGATTTAAGGGGTGCTTCGCAACAAGGGGTACTCTTGCATTTGTGGTAGGAAAAGATGCAGACTTCCAATAGGAAGTCATGGGACATGCACCAATTGGCAACAAAGTAGGATGTCCACTCTGAAACTTTTGCAGGTGCAAACAGTACAGTGGTACCTTGGGTTACAAATGCTTCGGGTTACAAACACTTCAGGTTACAAACTCCGCTGACCCAGAAGTAGTACCTTGGGTTGTGAACTTTGCCCCAGGATGAGAATGGAAATCATGTGCTGCCGCATGCGCTGCTGTGGTGGCAGCAGGAGGCCCCATTAGCAAAAGCGTGCCTCAGGTTAAGAATGGTTTCAGGTTAAGAACGGACCTCAGGAACGAATTAAGTTCATAACCGAAGGTACCACTGTATTGAAGTTGGAATCAATAACTTCCCCAATGCCATGTCTTGGGGAAATGGCTTCACAGACCAAACTGAACCAATTGCAGGCCAAGATTGGCCTGTGAGACAGAGGTTCCCTACTACTGATCTATATGAACAAGGTACTACTACACATTTGCATTCTATACTGTACTTATATGGGTGATTTCAGTGCTTAGATGGAAAACAACTTGTTATTACTCCTTTAAACTGCAATTTTCTTCTTGTCTCTCTGGCTGTCTTTCTCTATCAGAGTTGGCAGGGAGAAAACTACTTCAAATGAGCTGAACAAATCAGGATTAGGTGGAAGAGGGCAGACTGGAACAATGGAAAAAGTAGACCTCTGTTCCTGGTTTATAGACCTTTCCAGGACTTTTTTTTCAGCTGGAACTTACCGGCACTCAGTTCTGGCACCTCTCAGGGGTGCTATTGCTGTTCTAAGAGAATGAGGGAGGAGTTTATGTTGAGTTCTGACACCTCTTTTTCTAGAAAAATAGCAATGGACCTTTCTTTCTTTCTTTCTTTTTCTTTCTTTCTTTCTTTCTTTCTTTCTTTCTTTCTTTCTTTCTTTTCACTCTAATGAAATGCATTGGGGAAGAAAAGAGGGGGAAGAGAAGGAGTGGGAATTGTCCCAAGCTATGGTGCACAGAACACAGCAGGAAGTCTGCACACAAAGAAGCCAATGTGTGCAAAGTTCGTTGCAATTCTGTTTGTAGCTTACAGCACAAAAGCAGAGATGATTTTGGAGCACAAGGAGTCAATAAAAGGACAATTCAAAGCAGTATAACTATTTAATGTGATGAATATACTGCCTCCCATTTTCAACCGCAAATCTGCAGATATGCTGCAGACCAGCTGAATGAAGCTCAAGGGCCATTAGTAGGCTGTGGACCAGTTTGGGAAACCCAGACCTAGGCTTCTTATGGAATCATAGAGTTGGAATCTTGACCACAGCCATTCCTGGGTGGGCTTGAACCACCAACCTTCTGGTTAAGAGCTAGACTCACTAACCCACTGCGCCACTGGAGAACATCTTACGTGATACAGTTTGTCTCATGCCTTTTAAGAATTGTTGAGAGAGAAAAGGGAAGGTGTATATTTAAATATATATGTCATGGATATACAAGTCCAGATTCACGTACAGTTTAGTAGTTCCCAATTGACAAAGATATATCCTGTGTCTCAAGATGCCAGGGGCTCCTGTTTCATTTGTATCACAAGTTACATTGATCTCTGCTTTAACAGTTTTCCTCCTTTCATCTTCTCCAGTTTACCACAGCCCGAGCAAAACTGATTGCAATCTCTTTTCAGAGTTATCTTGCTGCAGGCTGTTTGGATCTAACTGCACGCTTCTTCGTTGTTCTTTTGTGGCTTTCTTATTTGAGTCACTTTGCTAAAATGGAGACAGCATGTTCTGTGCTCTTATATAGCTTTGTTACATCAAGAAGGAATAGGCCAAATGATGATGATGAACATTTTATATTTATCTGTATTTGTAAATAGGTCACCTTGTGTAAGAAACCTACTATTTTTAAAACTGACTTTATGTATTATTTTGCCCTCTTGGTGCCAAGTGAGGAAGAGGTAAGACAGAGTGCAATGTGTTCTGATTGGTTCTTTGCCAGGACACTGCTCCTCAAGAGAATGCAGCAGCTCATCTGCTTCTTCTTCTTTTTATTAAAAAGAGTAACTCCCAACCTATTTGAAATGTTGCTACAGACATTTTTGGTCCTGCTTTGGCAGAGTCAGAAAGGACATGTACAGCAAAATTTCCTTTGCTAGCTGGCAGGAGCACTGGGCATACCCAGAAGACTATGAGGGATTTGCAGTTTGCAAGTTCCAATTTTAATAGCTGCTATCCCCAACAGGGCCAGATTTAGGTTTGAAGAGGCCCTAAGCTACTGAAGGTAATGGGGCCCTTTATATGTCCAGCTGTCCTTTGTCAACAACAAATTGTCACTGTTTTTTGTGTTGAATATGTGCTATATGGTAATTTATGGGCCTAATAGGTATCTAAAGCCATTTGCAAATAACAAAATATGTATTTTATCAAAGTAAATTCTATCAAAGTAATTGCTGAACTGAAATACAATTAAGAAGAAGTATATTAATAGTGAAATACAATTAAGAAGAAGTATAAAGGTAAAGGGACCCCTGACTGTTAGGTCCAGTCGTGGCCGACTCTGGGGTTGCGACGCTCATCTCGCTTTACTGGCCGAGGGAGCCGGCGTACAGCTTCCGGGTCATGTGGCCAGCATGACTAAGCCGCTTCTGGCGAACCAGAGCAGCGCACAGAAACACTGTTTACCTTCCCGCCGGAGCGGTACCTATTTATCTACTTGCACTTTGACGTGATTTCGAACTGCTTAGGTTGGCAGGAGCAGGGACCGAGCAACGGGAGCTCCGTAAAAAATATAAGGTTTGAATATTACATATTCATTTTCAGAATACCCTAACCTACCCCAAATAATGAATCTTTTAAATATTTGGGGAGAAATTGTCATTTGAGGGCTGCAATCCCAGCCTGCTGATTTCTGCTGGGTGAATTATCTGAGAATCACAGCCACAGATGTACAGCTAATATGCACTAGAATTTACAAAGTCTGAAGGCAAATACTTCCAGTTCTTCAGCGATCAAGTCTGCTAGCAAGAAAGATTCGTTATTGTACTTGGGAATTGGGGCCCAGTTAAGCAAGTGATTATGCTGGAAGGTTTTGACAGTCAAGCTTAAATTTAACACAGTGCAGTCAGTTTCAAATGCCAAACCGCTGGGTGAGAACAGGTGTTAACAACTCTGTTCTTCTTCCTAAGGCGAGACAGAAAAAGCACAAGAGTGCACGGTGGGCCCTTTTAAAACTGTTGAGTCTTGTTCGCTAACTGAGGAGGACTTGAAAAGCTTCAACGGTTTCCCAGACTTTATTAATTTAATATGACTTTAAGTGGGCAGGGCTGTAAACATTAAGCCCATGAAACTTATTATAAAGTCTTCTCTTGAAAAGTAGAAAAATAAATATCCTGAAAATTCTGAAGAATAATATGTCATCCCCATATCTGGAATATAAACAACTGAGTACCATAAAACAGCTTTACTGGAGGGCGTGATCGGGAGAAGTGAACACGATCATTATATTAAACATATAACTCACTGTATAAACTGTATATGCAAACTCTAAATAGTTCACTGTCTTGGATTCCAGGCATGCTAGAACATTTGTGAGAGACATTTTAACAGATATTGCGGTTATCTGCTTAAGACGGGAAATATTAAGGATCCGTTTATCACATGGCATCTGAGGTAAAAGTTCATCTATACAGAGGTACCTCAGGTTACATATGCTTCAGGGTACATACGCTTCAGGTTACAGACTCCGCTAACCCAGAAATATTACCTCAGGTTAAGAACTTTGCTTCAGGATGAGAACAGAAATCGTGCTCTGGCGGCGCGGCAGCAGCAGGAGGCCCCATTAGCTAAAGTGGTGCTTCAGGTTAAGAACAGTTTCAGGTTAAGTACGGACCTCCGGAACGAATTAAGTACTTAACCTGAGGTACCACTGTACATATTTAGACAGCTTTGGGCTTGAGGACTCGGGGGGGGGGGAAGCACTGCCTTTTAAATGTTCCATCAGGGTGCTTGTCCCCTTTAACAGTGGCATGATACAGAGAGCACCAGCAGCCAAAACAGAGATGGGGGACCTGTGGTCCTCTAGATGTTTCTCCCATCAGCCCCAGCCAGCATAGCTAGGGATGATGGGAACTGAAGTCCAGCAACATCTGGAAGCCCAAAGGTTCTCCATCCTGGGGTGAACCATTATCTTGTATGGAGATGATGTACTGATGGTGAAAGCTACACCATTGTAACCCCTTTCTGTTGAACGACTGTTAAATGTACAGGAACCCTGCCATACTGCCATAAAAATGCTAGGTGGCAATGATCTTACGGACAAATTGAAGAGGTGTCAAGGATACTTCTTCTTCTTCTTCTTCAGCGATCACTCGTAGCCAAGTAAGATTGTCTGCCATGAACACCGTCTTAATAGTGAATCTGTAAGCAACTGTGGAGGCCAATTCTGGATCCATATGTCTTCCCCAACACGGGCTGAAAAGTCAGCACAGAATAATTTCATGGCTTGCACATGATGCAGAATCTGGCTCCTCAGATTAAATCTGATCCTTTTGGAGGACTCTCAGCCCCATTCACTGCATCCGTAGATGCAGCTGTGCATTCCGTGTACTTTATATGCAAAGCACTGCGTATCTGGGGGAGAGAGACTAGCAAGGGAAGATTAAACAGGAGGGAGCCTCCATTGCAAGGTAGGTAGCAATGGAAGGGAAAGAGGTGGTGAGGTTCCCTTGGTTTGCAGCTATTTAATTAACCATTTTCTAGTGCGCCTGGTGCGGGAAGTATGTTTGAAAAATATTAACCTCTGCTCAGCTGACATGTTTGCCCTGTTTCTTTACTACACATGCGCAACTTGATTCTATATCAGTACCTCTTCCATCCCCCATCCCCCATCAGGCTGTGGGACGGGCACAGGTCTCTCTTGCCTGAGAGTCTGCAGAGGCCTTTAGAAATTAATCCTTGGTTTGGATGATCAGTCCAATAGGGCTGGTGTAGAGAGAGGATGCAGCTTGCATACTTTGTATGCAGAAGGTCATGGCAACACAACCTTGTTCCAAGTCTGAGCAGAGGTCCATCCGACTTAGTGTTTTTGACTCTGCCTGGCAGAAGCTCATACAGGAATTTTTGCCAACCCTACCTGGAGGTACCAGGGATTGACCTTGGAACTTTTCACATGCAAATCATTTGCTCTACCACTGAGCGATGGCTTTGTTCCAGAATCACTCCTTGGCATCTCCAGTTTTAAAAGGATCTCTGGTATCAGGGCTGGCAAAGATATTTGCCTGAGACCCTGCAGAGCTGCGGCCTGTCAGAAGAGGCAATCCTGAGCTAGAAGGCTGAATGGCATACAGCAGCTTCTTACGTTCACAACAGAGAAGCACTGAACTCCTGCCCAAAGCCTTTGGAAGCAAATGTCACCCATAACCCAGTCAGCAAATAGCTCATCCAGACAGCGGTTAGCAGATTCACTCTCATCTCCCTGAAACTGGAGAAGGTGACAAAGAAAATTGATTAGAGCTGTACTTTTAGAAACTGAAAGATGACTGTGGACTTTCCTGAAAGAGCTGGGAGATATCAGGGATGTGGGCTGAGGCAGAACCTCAAGAGGCAATGTCCCCATAGGCACCATGTTTGCCTCACCACCTTTGCTGCTGGCAGAGAAACAGTGGTGGCTTCCAACAAGCTGTCTTGTGACAGCTTGTGGAAATCTCATGAGATCTTGTGCGCTCAAAGATATCTTCCGAAAAGCTCTGTAAGATCTCATGAGATCTCGCCAGAATACACTGTGCGACCCATGTAAGGGAGGCTTTGGTGAGGGTACTTCAGAGGCATGAAGGCACCTTCCTGTTTCACCTCAGGAGGCAAAACAGGCTGGGCCACCCCGTCTTGTTCTAACACATCAGGTACCTATGGCTGCAGATCATTCTAGTGCTGGCTACTTTAAAGAGGGTGGGGGGGAACCTTTTTTTTTATGAAGAGCTACGTAAGTTGCCAATCACACATTGCATTGACACAATGAGAGTGTTCCACATCTTTTCATTTTTTAGAATCACAATATGGCATCAACATGAACAAAATTTGCATTTCACACAAACGTATACATGCACACCTATGGTACATATGCAGCTGCATTCTAGATAGTACAGTAAATCACAACTGATACATTAAGCAGGTAGATAATTTATATTTTCTTAACAATGATATATAATGCAGTATTTTGAACATGTGATCTCATTGCAACTAAAGCTTTTCCTAAAGGAAAGTTATCTCAACTCTTGCATCAAGATGAACAATTCGTGGCCCAATTTTCTGCACTGTAAACTTAGAAGGGAATTTTATTAATTCCATTTCATATTTCAATTGGTTACTTGCTGCATACAAATTGACTTTGGTCTTTAGAAGCTATGAGGACCTTCCTCCCTGTACTTTCTAGGACCACTCCTCAATAATTTTATGGTGGAATTTAAAAAGCAATAGCTTAGTGTTGTCTGTTCAGTAAACCGTTAGTCTTTTGTACAGTGCTTAGATCCTGAACATTGAACTGCTACATCCTTGCAGAAAGTTCACAGGCAGTTTATGATTTATGTCTTCATCTCTGTTGCTGAAAGGAAATGAGAGCACCCAGACGATCTAGTTCTCAATGCTCAACATCCTTGCAATTACCTACTTACACCTGTAAAGGTACATTGCTGTTTCTACCTTTCTCCTTTTCCTTTATCTGATGCTGATAAAAATCTCATATTACAGTTGCCAGAAAAGATGAGAAATAGGTTAATAGAAGCAAAGCGGAAGGAGGAAGCACACACCTTTTCCACCCAGACAGAAATTTCATGGCACTTCCTTTTCAGTGTTGCATTAGAAATGGAGTTCTAGATAATGGAATGAAAAGTAAACACAGACTTCCTCATTCAGGAACAACAGGCAGGTGAGGCTTGCAAAAAAAAAAAAAAGCATGGAGAGGACCAGCGTTTTTCTTGTTAAATATGTGTCTATTTTCCCATATGTATTTTAAATAAATGCAGTATCTGTATATTCTCCATTATCACATGGTGAACTTTTGGATACGAGTGACAACTTTGTCTGCCAAGGCCTGGTTCTTTGTTGACCTTGAGTTCACTTGGAGATGCATGCACAGTGCTTTCTTGTTTTGAGGAAGTGCCTTCTTAGAAAGTTTGGCTCAGGTCTCGGTAGTACCAATGGGTAGAAAAGGTAGGAGGGCAGATAAGCATTAGAAGACATGTCCTAATTATATAAGACAATAGGGCAGTCTGCCTCAAGGAGCTGGTGGAATAGGCTCTCTGCTACAAGTATTTCAGCAAGGATCAGCCATCTGCCAAGGACGCCATTGCTGCATCCTGCATTGAGCAGGGAGGGGTGTTTGGACTGTATGAACTCGCATTTCCCTTTCCAGCTCTATGATTCTAAGATGTTCCCAGTGCTCTGTCCCTCATTGCTCCTAATATTTAATTTCTGCCTATAGAGGAAGTGTGGCTGGAGTGTTGGACTTGGACGGCGGAATGCCCACCTTTTGACCCTTGTTGAACCATAAAGCTCAACAGGTAGGCTTGAGTAAGTCACTTTGTCTCAGCTGAGAACTTACCTTATAGGATCACTGTGAAGCCAGAAGACCTCAATGAATTCATTGACAGAATGGGGTGGTGGTGAGATGCACATTTGACCAATTACATAAATCATAGTATAGGCCAATGGTTCCACATTTTGCGTGCAGAGGACACAACACGAATGGTTCCTCATTGTTCCATATTTACTTGTCAGGTCCAGCTCATCATAACCAGGAAGCTGCCCATTTGCACCTCCCGGGTGTGTGGCATTGTTTCCTGTACACAGTGTTGGAAATTTGGCAATGCACTTGAAGAGCCTTTGCTTGGAATGATTGACTTGAGAGTCACAGCAGTGGGTGGAGATTCAGGCTGTTGTTCATCCTCAGGCAGTTAAGCAAACTGCTAAAACAGCTGTGAATGCACCTTGACTAATCATTTCCTTCTACTAATGCTGAGGAGATCTTCAGTTGATAACTCATGTGTGAGCTCCAGGCAACAAGCAACCTTCTCCAAGGACTATTGGCAGCACATCTAAGGCTCGGCTTAAAACAAGTGCTAGTGTTGCATTTTAAATGTAAAGTAATAATAATAATAATTATACTCTGAGTATTCCAGATACTTCTTTGTTGTAGTCCCAGCAGTTACCTCAGTATCCTGACTGCAATTGTACATCACTCTGGATACACCATTTAATAGTAAGATACACATATTACAATTCAGTACTCTCAAACACTTGATGTCAGGGGTGGGGAAAAAACCAAACCCATGCTGGAAATACAATTATGTACCACTGAACGGACCTGTGCTATCTTCTCACTGGGTTTAGATGTGGACAAGCTTGGTCCTCTGCAATGAAAAGGTGAACAAAGTTTAGAATAAGTTCCTAGTGTGTACCTCTTGGAGGACAGAGAGTTTTTTCTTCTGTGTTCTAGGCACCCAGAGATCACAGCATTGAAAGCAGCACAAATAATATGTCAGGACAGACTTGATTCATTTTCTCCATGGTGTATGGAAATGGGCATGCTTTGTTGAGTCAGCCTTCATTAACTTTTAAGTGCTTAGGGTCTCTAGAGGTCTTACTCCAGACCTGCCTGACAGCTAGGTTAGACAGAGAGAGAGAAAGCGGTCTGAAGACACACAGTGAGCTTCACGGCTGTGTAGGGATTTGAAACTTGGGTCTCTCAGATCCC